GGAATTGAATATGCAAAAATTAATGAGATTCAACTGCGATGGGGTTTGCGGGAGGATTTAAAGTGTATGCAAATAAGCCAACAAATATGGTTAGACTACAAATTAATATAGAAGTAAAATCAAACCAGAAAAGAGTTTAGAAATTTTTCGAGAATGTTTGTTTCTCTTGTGGGAGCAAGGTTATTGTTTCAAAAATGTTTGTTGCTATGAAATTCAGAGGTGGGCTACTAGTAGCAATTCTTCATTTTGAAATATAATTTCCCCATCAGTTGGTTTCGTATTTCCACTATTTGTACTAGGGTCGTTATTTGCTCAAAGTAAACCAGCTTGGAGACCGGCATGATCTACCCCAATGTGCTAATTGGAATCAACTTGTTAAAGTACTTTATTATAGGTAATCGGTTTATTAGTGGTAATCAATGGGCGAGAACATATGGGTGCGCTGTCAGTGAAAACTTTATTGAGTCACGTGTTGCATTTACATTTTCCTCTTTTTGTCCTTCTCATTTTCGCGCCGGCCCTTTGACTGCTTAACCTTTACCCTCGAAATGCATTAAGGCGCGGGCAAACAAGATTTGTAAAGCATTCAACCGAGTATGAATCACGTTGAACCGGGCTCTGAGTCAGTGGGATGCCTTTCTCCCACTTCCACTTCCACTGCCATCTCCACCTGCACCTCCACTCGCTCCCTTACGCCACGCGCGCAGTTTGCCCTTGCCAAATATCAACAGAAAAATGGGTGGTAAGAGAAGAGAAGGGGCCAATGTTTGTGCCAAAGTTTGTGCTGCTGTCTGATGAGAGGGTCTATAAGCAGATGCGGCTATTTGCATTTGTGTTTTTTCGCCATTCGATTCCTCAATATTTGTTTGCCATTTTTACAAATTGTAAATCAACACTCAGCCATAGCCATAGCCATAGCCATACCCACACATAGAATTAGTCGTTGTCGTATTGGTAGCGATAGCTAAAAGCAAAACTGCAATCCAACAGTTATTGACCCTCAACTTGAACTAGAAAACCAAATAACCAGCTGGCACAAAGCTTTAAATTGAATTCTATGTTCGACTGGTTGGATTGGCTGTTGGCTCTCCCACCAAATAACAACACCACCCTCTTCTTAGCCTCTGTGCGACTGTCTAAGCGTCTGTTGTGTTTTGGTTGTTTTGTTGTCTGCTGACAATGCATAAAATTTGAATAGCCAAACAACGAGCACAGCAACAGTGGGCAAACGAAGCATTTTATACACTTTCTATGCAATAGATGGATAGATTTGCATCAAATTTGTATGGGCTATGAAGAGAGCAACCCTGTGGGGTAGAAATACAAAAGGGATGGTAAGATAACTTCTAAATTGAGGGAAGTGCGCTAATGGAACTTTCTGTTCTCTAAACAAAATAAGATCTGATCAGATGATCAAAATCAGATGTACCCTCTGCAAGGGTATGGGTATAACAAACAGCATTAAACTTGGTTTTTTTTTGCACCTATTTTTTGCTTTGTATATTTTGTTGGTCACACTTTAGCTCCAGCAGTAGCAGCAACAGCAACAGCAACAACCAAACTACCGCAAGCCCCCAGAGCCAGGCCCCTGACATTGCTCAGGGTCATGGTGTGTAACTGTATAAAGTGGAAGCCAACTCTCATTAGCTGCCTTTGCATATAGGAAGAGCAGACACGACCAGAAGATACAGACAGAGAGAGAGAGAGAGAGAGAGAGAGAATAAGTAAGTCGGACCTTGACATTGGAACGGGGTTAGGTTACAGCTCGTACGTACCAACGCTGTCTATGTGAGTGTCACTTTTTGACTTCTTTCCCGCTTTTACACTCTTTACCCATTCATAATCTACACTTTAGCACTCTTTTACACTTTTGCTGATGTTGTGGGGCTATTCGCTGCCCTTTTTGGTGCCGCATCTGGCGATTGTTTTTGTACGTGACCTTTTAGCGGAACGCTTTGAATGAAGTTGATATTTGTAGCCACCCACTTTTGCCACGAGCGAACACGTGCAGATAAATATGGTGGTGGGGAGAGCGGATAAAGTAGAAATGATTATATTCCATACCATTATTTCACAGCTGAAGAGCACAGTTCTGATTGTTTGTTAAGCGGGCTTTTGTTTGTTGTTTTAACCATTGTTTTGTTGTTCCCGCATATCACTTACATTTATTCGTTTTTCTATGGGTTTTTTCTGTGTGTTAATTGGGGACTAAACTAATTGCCCCCCTAGAATAGTTTTTCTATTGTTTGAAATGGATGTATCTACCCCACAGTTGAGGTACGCAAAGATTAACTACAATTAAACTGCGTTTAACTGCTGCCTGCTCCCTGCTGTGGGCGCGCAGCTGAGGGGCAGGTGAGTTGGCAGTTAGCGACGAGGGCGTGGCAATGCTATCGTAAATCAAGCAACTAATTAATGGCCCTCTCTCCACTGTGGCAGCAGCCACAGGAATGACAACCACTTTATGCCCAAATAGTGAATGTAATTAATTTGAATTAATTAAATTGCACCCAGAGTCGGGAGAGCATTGTGGAGAGGGAGCACCGGAGACCTTTTATTACATTTAATCCAATTCTTAGAATGTATTCAGAAAAAAAGAGTGTGAATCTGCGTATAAGCAGCAACAAAGAAGTAATTTATTTAATGGTGAATATGCCCCGAGCATGATGAAAGTCCTACATAAATCCTCGCATACTGCGTGTGGGTGTGTGTGTGTAAATTAAATTAAATTGGACGCCCCTGCCATCTCTTCGGAAGAGTCTATTAATACGCTGCCCTCTGATGCTGAGGGAGTGTAAGAGTTCGAGTGCGCGGTAGCGTGTGTGTGGGTGTGTTTGTGTGTGTGTGTGTGGACATGAGTGTAGGGCCATTCCTTGATTAATTTAAATGCAGCCTCCTGCTGCGCTACTAATCAGATTAAGCGTACTTATCAATTAGCTGCACATGCAAATTATTTATGAATTCCATTCAATATACATATGTACACTACATTTAAGCTATAGCCATATTTTAGAGCCATTAAAATTACTAGAATTTAACTGATGATCTGGTCAATTTTTAATATGCTAATGGGGAACGAAACGGCAGACTAAGTAGATTGATAAGCAGCCATCAGAAGGGTAAAGAGGGTAAAAAATATGTTTGTTGACCGAACTATTACATACATATTAATTTAATTTACTCAGACACTAGCCATATCTACTGTAAAGTGTATATCTTATCTGGTCAACAATCTGCAGTTTATATATAGTTTTTTAATGGAAGCAGTCCCAATGCACTCTGCATATTTATTCTGAAGAATTTTGCAATGAATTCCTGTTGCTCTTGTTTCAGTTGCAGTTTCTCTCTGGCTTCTAATTACCTCTTACCACGCTCTCTTTCTCTCTTTGTCTGACTCAGTTAATCTTATCTCCCTAGCCCTCTGTTTAGTTTTGGTCTACTCTGTGGAGCACAATTGTTTGTTATTAGCTTAATTGCTCTCAGTGTGCTCTGGGTCTCGTTAATAATGAAAGCGAGAGCGAGGCAAACAAGTTCTCCGAGGCCTGGAGCAGACAGATAGAGATAGACAAAGAGAAAGAGATGGAAGGACAGGTATATTCCCCCGCTTACAGTATGCTTGGGTAACTATGGTTCGGGGACTACGTGACACAGAACACATTGGATCCATCAATTCACTGGCTTAGAACTAAGAATATACATATAGATGTATGTACTCCTTATATGCAGCTCCCAAAACCCACTCAAAATCCACTCTATATGCAGCTGAGCAAACCCCCCATGACGCAGATCACGCAGAGTCCGGCTGCTGACGTCAAATCATGCATAAATATCTAAATATATCGATCAGTTGGCCAAAAATGCCGTCACACCTGGCGGCACCTGGCCGATTTCCGCTGCACATTAAGGGGGGTGGGCTTAAAATATACTCGTTGTAATCGAATCGAAGCGGGATATTCTGGCCGAACATTTGCATAAATTATAGCAGCATTTACTTTCGTTGCGTCTGAACATCTTACGTAATTTGACACGCACATAATTAATTAGAATTTCAAACATTTTTTTTAGCCGCGAGAGACGCAAAATGCAAATAAAAGCAAAAGTTATAACTGCCAAACATATGCAAATGAGTCTGAATCATAATCCAAAGTATACGAAGAAGAAAAACAACAGACAGACAGTTGGAGACGGAGATACGAATATATTTCTGCGAATATTTAGATAGGCATCAGGTAAAATGAAGATAATACAACCCGTACGACAGAACAGCGTTCTCAGATCTTGTTATCATCAGGCCGCTAAGAAGCAGAACCCGAAAGAAACCTTAAGCATATAGCCCAAGAATTAATCAGCTTGCTAAACAAACTGAACAAAGACTCAAAGAAAATAAAACCTGAATAAATGGGTTGCTTCAGCAAATCCCCTCTCTGTCATTGTCCATTCCTATGGCTACCCCCAGCTCCACTGTGATCGCAATCAGAAACATAAATCTGTTCCAAGTCTTGTATCATTATATCATTAGAATAAATGTAAAGCTGATTGAGCAACTATTAACAAAACAGAGAACTCCCAATCACTCCAACACATCGAAGTTATTTATACACTAATAAGCAATACAAAAATAAATATCTCATAGATTGGGGCCACTATTGTCCCCTTGCCAAGCACTACAATTCTCCCCCCAAAGACGTTTTATATAATGCGAATATTGCTTTTGTTTACCGATTCCCAACTCTGTTCCCAAACATTTCATTAGTGGGAAATTAAATATATTTTCTCACATTTCTTCCCTCTCTACCTGTGCCATTTGCGAAAAACTTTAAACCAAAATGAGTAATAAAGTTGACCAAAAAGTTCACAGTGCTCAGGGAAAAGTTTTCACTAGACAATGTCTTTATTTATAAAATGAAATAAAATTTAAGTTTGTTTAGAACTCGATGAGAGTATTGTTTTTGGCTTTGCTTTGGGTCGGTAGTTGTGGTCAGTGCCCTCCTCCGCCTTACCTTGTCCAGTTGACTGCGTCTCTCAATCATCTTTGGGCTGTCTTTGTTTCTGATCTGGTTTACCCCCCGAACACTTTTCACTTGAGATTGCACGCGAACACACACTCTCACTTGCACGGACGGACAGATGAATAATTATTTGCTTGACTAATTTCCGCCTAATCGCGAAACTTCTTTTTTTTTATGTTTTTTGGTTGACTTTTTGTGGAATGAAGCAGTGTATCTTTCGGAATTCTAGCGGCGCTCAATGCTCAACCGTCTCGCGTTGTATGAAATTCGCAACTGAACTGAAAGCCAAGCACTTAAGAGTCTCTTACCAACACTCAAGCTTGAAGCCCCAAGCTCCAAGCCTCTCCTGGCCTCTCCTCCTCTCCAACTCAAGCCGGCAACGAAGCGTCTCACGTTTTGTTTTCTTTTTCTTTTCGTTTCGTTTTCGTTTTTTTGCTTTTTTCTTTTTCTCGCATTTTTAGTGAGCTTAAGCGGGAGCGGGTTGTTGGGCGAGTTTTACAGTCTCGGTCGGCGCCTAACGTGTTTGCTATGGGCAGCCAGCAGGAGTATTGGTAGCTGGATAGAGTGTCCGGGGCCCGGGGTATCCGAGCACGAAGCTCAGCTGTTATTTTTTGTTTTTTGTAAGATGTGCGCGTGCGCAGTCGAATGAATTTCGCTCTGTGTAGACAGATGTCGAAGATGACGAACGGGTTGAAGATATGCTATAGATCGTGAGATGGATACCCTTTGCCCAAAACAGGGGATATTTTGGCTAGAGGTGGCATATGTTTACGGTGGTTTTTCAAGGGTTTGGGTCTTGGGTCTAACCTCATTATACAATTTCAGTTTTATGTAAAATTTGGCTTGTATTTTCCACTCATTGTTCATTTAATTTAGGTATTGAATTAAGGGTATCTACGATTCCTGCTTAATAATGCGCTGGCTGCCCCTTTTTTCAACTATATTCAGTTTTTTCTATCTCTGTTGATTTTCTGTCGAGTGGTGTGAAAAGGCAACAGTCAGGCATGAGTGGCTGCTAACTGATTTGTGGCTGTTACTATTGCCGCTGGCTTTGCTGTACGATTGCTCGATGGCAGCTCTTTAAAAAAAAAGCCTGTAACGCTGTGCTGTGTAACCGATTAGTAACTAAACTCGCATTTAAGTGAGCTGCCGGTTTCGTGGCCCGGTCATTGACGTGCTTTTGGGGAGGGGGCACACTGTATACTGTGCACTGACTTTCTTTTCCGCATATGCGGCAATCAATTCGCCATGCAGCCCAAAACACACACACACAGAGTGCAGTGTATCCACAATTAGCGGGACCAAAAACTTTCACTTGGTTCCCGGTCCAGGCGGGTGCATCACTCATATGCCGCATGGCTCTCCAGCCGTGAGTCAGATCGACTGGACTGTTATGTGATGGTGTGGGTTAGAGGTGCAAATATTTGTAGTAGTTACCTTGTTTGCAATTAGGTTTACACTGGACTGGGCTACTTGCAGCACTTGGCTTTTTTGGTAACTTTTTTTGATTCTCGTACTTGCTAGTGACTCCTGTTTGTTTTATCGACTGTGTGCTCGATGGTCTAGAAACTTTGCCCGACTGACACCAGCCCGACCGGATCCATTGTTATTTATTGCCAAATGTCGGAATTACTGGCGAAATTTATTGATATTTATTGAACCACTTGCATGGTCGGCTCTTAATTGCTCGCCCATTTAAATCACACAACGGAAAAAACTCAATGGGATTCAGGGCATGACAAATGATAAATCAGAAAAGAACCGACAAATCGATGGGATAGGAGAAACCAGTCGCTAATGATTCTGGCCGATCCGGGATGAGAACAGTGCCAGTGCCCCCCAAATCAAATTGGAGTTTAATTCGCACACCGACTCCTGCATAATAAATTGGTGGGCCGAGGACAATAATTGGTCCTCGACCTGTACGTGATTCTATTTCGGAACAAGGTTCCAGGAAATGCTTGAATAAACGCAAGATTTGCAGGGTCATCAGGGGCATTCGGACTGCCGACACAGATGAATGTGATTGGATAGAGATTGGGCTTGGTCTTGGGCATGTGAATCACACACGTGAATCCATTTGGCAATTCAATTTCGGTACCCGCTCCTCCAACTCTCCATAATCTGTGTATCCTCTGCTGTGGCTGTGTCAGCCACCCAATCAACAAAATTATTGCAATGATTATCACTTCCAGCTACAAGTTGATGTTCAATATTGTGGTCACATAATAAATGATAAACATGTACATACATACGGTATCTACTTTCCTATATCGTCAGGAATTTCGCATTCTATATTGTAGATTTAGAGATGGAAGATGAAAGGAATTTCCACTGGGCATCCCAAAGCGGAAATTGTGACAAGAAGCTCTTGGGCCAGATTCATGACTCGGCTTCATTTTGCGCTTACCAGCTGTTGCTTCTGGATACCGCTTTTTGGTTTTGTTTGGCTTGCAATTATGCGAATCTACTTGGTGGAAGTCGGCAAGTGCACGCACCGCCCCGCCCCGCCCCGCTCCGTACATTACTTTTCAAGTTTATTTTTACAGCACGCAGAATGAGTTTTATAATTGCCAGCCCGTGACCTTAAACATAAACAACTTAAACTTGAGTTACGTGTAGATTGGGCTTGGGTTTGTCGCTTCTCGGCCTCTCGTGTGTGGCTGTGCGTCATTGAGTTGAGGCATGTAATGTGTTTGCTTGAAGTCAACAAGCTTGAGAGACTCAAGCCAAACAACTTTAACCGAAGATTCAAATGAGTTGTCTTGCTCTGGTCTAAATTCTGTAATTTGTTTCATTTATTCAGTTCCTTTTTTCCCCCCTTCATTTTGCTGGTTCTGCTGTCTGCTGTCTTCTGTCCTGATTATTTCTGATTGATCAGATTAAATAAAGTGTAAGCAATAATTGCCTGTCTGCAGCCCGACTTGTTGTTGATGTCTTTGACATGTGTATAGAAGTTGTAAATAGCCTGTAAATGGTTGTCGCCAAATTGGTTACCCATAAAGGGTATGCGCGCACCTGCTGTTAGTAGCGTGATTTATAATGAGATTTTAAATTTGGCTTGGCTTCTCTTTCCACGCGGATCACCCTACCCACTCTTGGTCGCCATTCTGCTATCTCTGTTCCGCTGACTGCCTCTGCCATGTCCCACAATGAGGCCCATCTGCCCAGGCATTTGATGATCGCAAAATGAGCTTTAAATTGCTTGGGCAATTTCATGTGATTTTAGCAAATGCTTATCTCTGGCTCTAATAATAGCAGCAAACTATCAGCCCAAATATGTCAAGGTCGTCATGGATAAATGTGCACGGATATAGTTTGTATGTATGTATTTGTGCATGTGCACCCATTTGTAGTTGTATCCACATTTCGAATAGGATTTAAATTTGCAAATGAAAACAGAAGGAAATATTTATTTATTTTGCATATTTATGCAATCGCACGATTAAATGAAGCAGATGCAGCAGCAGCATTTGCAGCTGCATTAATTGCTACGATTTGCAGCAATTGAATGCGGCATATTTGAAGGCAACGATACATACAGCAATCGTTCGAATGCTGAGCCGATTATATCGTTGGAATCCTTTGAAGTTTGTGATGCATTCAGCACTGCACAAAGGCCCAAAGAGCTTTAAAATAATTGATTATTAATCCAGCTGAGGATTTTCGTTTACCTGTGATGAATACAGTGCTCTTTCGAGCAGCGCTTAGGGTATTCCATCTTCGATCACACACAATTACTCGTAGTAGCCTATTTGCAGCTGTATAAATTAATGGCTTCCAATTTATGTGCATTTGCGCTGCCCTCGATTGACATGCGGCTAACCCAACAAGAGCTACAAATATATTTTGCATTGATTTTTGCATTCATATTTCTATCCACAAATACTGAAAGCTTTCGGCGGTTGCAGATTTTTTTTTTGTGGAATTTTTTCTTAAGTCAAAGGACACTGACAACGAGTGAAAGACAGACACAGATGGAGAAAAAACAAGACAGTGATAGCGAGAAAGGGGGGGTTACAGATTTGGCCCTAAAATTATACGCCTCATTTACCTGTAAATCGCGTTAAAACCTTTTTAAAAGACATTAAATCGCACGTTATCAACTGCATGCCCTATGGCACGTGTCTGAGTGTATGTGTCTGTTTGTGTGTGTGTGGGGGTGTGATGGCAAACAAACAAGAGCCATATGCCATACGTCATCAGCATAAATCCCGATCATCATCTCATTATTGTCATTGTCAGGGCGCAATTTAAAATTTCAATTGTTGTGTTTGCATTGGCACCAAATCCGCCAAAGGGGACAGGCACGTGAAGCTGCCCGCCTCGCCTCCGAATTGAGCCCTTGGTAATGCGACCAAATCGATGAGGCTGTTGCGCCTCCTCGCCTCATTTATTCATTTATCTCGCTTATTCATTGCTTTCGTTCAGTTGTTGCTTACATATATGTACGTATACGTATATAGGTATATGTATTATGCATGTGCTTTTTGGCCACGTTTATTGCTACCGCCTTCCAGGGCACGCATCATTTCCATTTACATGCGATTAAAGTCAGTTGCAGAACTCATCGTAACCACCCCATTTAAGAAGAACAATAAAAACAATTTATGCGAACGCTTAACTCTCAATTCTTTTTGTGTTTCTCTCCCTGAGTGGCCGTCGACTTGAGGAGCAGCATAAAACTCACTTGACGAGAGGGTACGAGAGTGAATACCCAGTATGCAGTGTCCAGTGTCCTGTATCCTGTTCACAGTAACGAAACAAGCAACTAAAAAAAGTGAAATGTGATGCATACAATCTATACTGAAACTAGCGGGGGAAAAAAACGAATCAGAGCGGCGAAACAGACACAAAGAGATAGCAGCAACCAAACGTCCATTAGGCTTAAATGGTATTAAAGACCACGAGGTTCCAACTGGCATATTGCAGTTAGTTGAACAAAAAGTGCAGACTTATGAAAAAGAAACGCACGTATGTACATATGCATGTCATTATGCAATTAGGAGAGATAAAACACGTTTGATACTTCTGCTACTCTGCTTAATTAATTTTTAATTTTGTATCAACTCTGCTTTAAACTGCTTTAATGCTGCCAATCGAACTGCTTGCACTCGGATTAAGCACTTGAAGCAGTAGCATAATTATATTTAACCTTCTCTTTCACTATTTCTCGGGGCGTGCATCTGTCTCTCTCACTCTCTCTTGCATACACAAGAGCTGTCACTCGCTGTCGCTTTTGTTGTCCGTTAAAAGTAATCCCTTTGGGCAAGTCAAAATCTGTTTGCCCGTCCACCAACCCCCACACTCGTGCAACAAAAATCCTTTTGCTCGACCTTTCGCCTTGCTACGCCCATGCAAAATATTAAGTTGGCTCTGCGGCAGGGCACAAATAACACTCATTAGCCATAATGAGTTATAGTTGGACTAGACTCCGCATTGGACACGAAACACTCTTTAGCGGCAATTATGCGGTGCGACTGCTGGTGTGCGGAGCGTGGAGCGGGGAGAGGATAAACACACAGCAAACAGCGCAGAGCGCATAGCGCATAGCGCATAAAGCAGTGCTTGGCTTTTTATTGACGTAGGCTTAGGTCTGGTCTTGGTAGTCATAAAGTTTTGAGCTATAAATACTTGTACTTTGGCCAATAGCCTTTAGGCCAAAACTTCAAATAAAGCAGGAGAGAGAGAGAGGAAGAGGGAGAGAGAGAGAAGGGTAGATTAGGAGACCACAAATTGTTTGACATTTGGCACTGAACACCGAGGTCTACCGACTGCCAACCGGAGACTGAGTACCAAGGACTGAACACTGACTGGTCGTCCATGTCAGGCGCAATCCTTTTCAACATCTGCCGAAACGTAGGAACTCTGCTGATGAAGCATATGTCCCTGTCCCTGTCCCTTTCTCTCTTGCTCTATTTGTATGCATCCCTCTTGCTCACTCTTCCCTGTTATTGTTACTTGCCAGTGGCAGTTTTGTGTTATTTTATCCAAGTTTTCCGTCACACAAGCAGGACAAACTTTTTGTTGTTAATTCGTGCAAGTTTCTGGCAAGTATTTACGTGCTTCGAAGAGTTGGCTAGAAAGCTAAGAAGACAGAGAGAGAGAGAGAGAGAGAGAGAGAGAGGAGAGGGGGGGAGTGGAAATAAGAGAGAGCTACGTCTGCTATGAAAGTTTTGTATGTTAATGGCATAGTTTAGGCAAAATGTTTTCACTGACGCCTCTCCACCTAACGCTCTACCCCTTATACCATCAGAACAGCCTCCTGCCGCAATGTCAGTGCTATTCCGTTTTTCTGCTCGTTTTGCTTGGCTCACATTTTCTGGCCAAAATTAACTTTCAGTCGCCACATCGCCCGAGCCTCTCGACCCACACACAAATACACATACACCACCAACACTCCCACTCTGTGCCACTATGTACCGCTGGCTCTGCCGCTGACTCTGCTCCTGGCTCTTTCTTAGCCACATAATGTGCCATTGCCCCACGTTAAGTGACTTTCTTATGTCGGTTGTAAAATTTCCCTCTTTATACGAAACCATATGGATCCTGTTTGCCATCCTGTACGCCTGAGTGCGTGTGTGTGTGTATGTGTATGTGTCTGTGTGTGTGTCTTGATAACACTTGCTCCAGACACTCCAGCAACTACTTCTTGCTGCGGTTGAATAATCCAAGACTATGAGGGCCTGTAATTTACTTGAGTACTCAGCGGACTCGCTGGCTCTCTTCGCCCAACAGCCCTCTTTCTCACATAGCTCTCTCTCTCTCTCTCTCTCTCCCACAGATGTGGCCGCTGGGGGCAAGTTAAGCCATTGACAAAACTTTTGTCCAACACAGTTTAGTGGGAATTTTTTGTTTGGTTTCTTTTGATTTGCTTGATAAATTTGAAACTTTTGCGGCTCCCTCGACATGAGGAGAAACTATTAATTTCGAGTCAAAACTGTTTGCAATTTACGTTTAGTTTCAGATCTCTTACACTCTTACACTTTGCACCCTCTCAGCCCACCAGCCTTCCAGCCTTCACGGGCGATTGCTACTAATTAAATATAAAGTTTGGCAAACAATGAGTATTGCTTAAGTTGGCCATCCTTCTGCTCCGCACTGTAGTTAAGGGGGAAAATTGATTCACTTTCACCTGTTGGAGCCCAAGAAACTTGAGTTCTGCGGTTCTATCGTCTTCGGGTGTAACACTTCAAGGGTCCCCACGTGCATACTCCACAGTATGCTCAAGGATGCTGCAGCATACTCATCAAGATCCCCCCATTCGCAGTGCGTCGGCATCCTTTGGCCACTTGTGGCTGCCACAGCAACACCAGCAGCCAGTAACTTGCTGCTCTGCTCTGCTCTGCAATTGGATTAAAATTTTGCCTAACAACAAATTACACGTTCAGCCAAGCGCCCGAGACGGGTGGAAGGGGGGAACGAGAGGAAGTGGCTAATGCCACTGCCACTCCAGCTGATGAGTGCTATGCCACGCACTGAGGGAAATGCTTACTCTGCACTAGAGGTCTGAATGAACACCCAATATAAAACAGTTCGATTCTCGCTTCCTTGGAACAGCTCTCCGTTTTCTTCATCTCTTTGAACACTCATGAGTGAACGAACACACACACTTAGAGATGTCGAACGGCAGAAAGCAATGTAAAAAAAGCCCCATTAAGAAAGATGTGTGCTTGTATGTTGCTATGATAGCTAATAGTCCCACAGTTCTTAAGATAATTTCAGCATAGTGAGAGAGAGTGACTTTTGTACGAATTTGGAAAATCTTTATCGAATTTATTGTGTCACGGCATGATACTAATGTGACTGATGGACTGATAGTGAATGATTCATGCAGGATTTGCAGTACATAACCGAACATACATACATATATCTCTCCCCACTGATAACTGGGTGAAAGTACAGTACACATATCCCGGAGCACATACCCGCATTCTCGCAGTGGAGAAGTTTCGCCAACTTACTTCAACCATCCATCCACCCCAAATGCAATGAACTTTTCAAGTAACAGTTTGGGATGACTTACAGAAACAGGACCTGGACCTAAAGCTGGAGCTGCTGCTGATGACGGGGAGCGATAAGTAGGTTGATGAGAATGATAAGGTCTGGAAGAAATGAGCCAAGTGGCTAAAATACAATTTCCGACTTGGAACAAACAGCTGAGTCTGCTGAGTCTGCTAAATGCCCCAAAGTCCAACTTCCGTGGAAGTAGTTTTTTTTTTGCCTTTATTTTCTTGTTTATTTTGATTAAAAATTAACCACCAGCCTCGGACGTCGGGAAATGCAGAACTGTAGAGGGGGGGAGGATGGGCTTTTGGCTACGTGCTTGGCCTGGGGAATTTGGTTGGAAAGTGAAGTAAATGCGTTTTGTAATAAATTCAAATCAACTTTATAGTATGTATGTCCAATGGACGGTCCGATGGAGTAACTTGGTCGTCAAATTGGTCATCGATTGGAACGTACACACACACACACACACACACACACACACCCAAAGAGAGAGAGAACGAGAGAAAGAGAGTGGAGTCCCATTCCATTTCCAGGCTCCCAATCTTTAGTTTTTGCCAGCTATAAATTGTTGCTGTGAGCTAGTTGTTTTTTTTGGGTTCTCTTCACTTTGCCTTTTCCGCTATCCGTTTTACAATGTTCATTTTGCAGATTCAACACGGACTTTGTGCCGGACTTAAGCGCATTACGGAGTTCGGCTACAACTTCCACTCCCACTGCGACTTTGGACACTGGGCAAAGTCTTTTAATGTCTTAACGCTTGTGCAAATAAATAAAGCAAGCAATGGCATTGGGCTCAAGTCTGGTTATCCCTTCCTGAGCAATTGATTTGTTTTCTGCTGCTGCTGATGCTGTTGCTTCTTCTGCGTGTCTTATGGAAATTTCCAAAGAGATTCTGTGATTCAATTAAACACTGCCCACTCCCAATATAAAAACACCAGCAGCTGCATCTAATTCTTCTTCCTTCGGCAATGCTACACGTAGTGGCTGCCGAATATCGAAATTGAAATAAGCCAAAACCCCAAACCAATTATCAATAATCATGTTCACTCATATTCACCCCAATTTTCGATTTAATTTCTATCAAGTAGCAACTGAACCAAGTGGTTTTTTTAATTAAAATTTTTTTTGGATTTTTTTCACTCAAAATTTAAGCAGAACAAATTTTTAGTTAAGCAATGGAGGAGCTTGAACAGAGCCAGGAGGGGACTAAAATCCAGACAGAGACGAACACAATACACGGTCCCAACGTACACAGCCATGTGTTGGGTCTCGCTGCCCTCGCTAGATTTAGCTCTGTTCGCAGCACTGGCTCTGGGTTCCACATCGATGGTCAGGCCATTCTGTCGCCTCTGTTGACGCAGACGAAGCGGAGCGATATGCAAGTGTCCAAGCAGATGGCTTTTCAGCTGGAAAACAAGTTCGAAAAGGACAGAGTCCCAGCGGGCCAAGAGCGAAGCGGCCATGGCTACACCTCCGTGGCCAGGCGGCGGGGTCTGCCTCAACTGCAGCATTCCAAAACGGACATTTTCGAGCAACCACCTAGAACCAAGAAGTTGTCGCCAGGTCCCCAGTCTCTCGGGCTTAAAATGGCAAATGCCAAGAATGCTGGTGGCTATGCCGTTCAACTATTGCAATCGCTCACCCTGGAGAAGCCGTCCCAGGTGCTGGTGCAGCGCAAGGCGGATGCGGAGGCCCGTGAACAGGCCCACATTCAGCCGGAGATAGTTGGATCAAAGGCTAAAGGCTACTCACCCAAACACCAGGAGCGCTTGGTTCAGCCGAGCCTGGAACAAGAAATCGACCTCATGATCGAGCGCACCTTGAACGAGCATGTGAACGGGCTGAGAAACTACCTACGTAGCCACAGAGACCGATTCATCCAGCTGCTCCAGTCCCAGTATGACGAGCGCCTGCGCATGCAGCAAGAGTTTGACCGCCAGCAGAAGCTGCTCATCCAACAGATTTGCGCGGAAACTGACTTGGCTACCAGAAGTGGTGCCACCTAGGCCTAGGACTACTGCGCCAAGCACACCGCGATTCTGACAGCAAGCGTCCAACAGCAGACGCAGAAATTGGCCCTGAACCGAACCAAATCTAACCTCTGTTTCGCTCGCCATATTTCAGTCAAAAATAAACTATAACTTTGGCTACCTTTTATCGAGTGTGAAATTTCATTCAAGGGGAATATTAATACAATTTTAATGGACTAAAACGACCACGAAATCAGTTCATGGATTGCAAAATATTACTTCCTCATTCGTATAATAATCGTGAACAGGGAGTAGGCCATCTTAAGGGTCGAGAAGAATGTGTCCAAATGGATGCGCAGCATGCCGCCAGCAATCGCTGTGCTCTTCTTCAGCGATCGCTCCACAAAGAAGATCATTTTGCGCTTGAAGCTCCTTCCCTGCGCGTGCCAGTTGCAGCTGAAGGCGGCGTAGTGGAGGCGTCCAAACCAGTACTCGTTGTCGGTGCCAAAGTAGCAGGAGGGGAAAATCTGGAGGGGCATGGCGAGGGCATAGAAGATGAAATACAATCGAGCCATGGGCTCGCTGACAAAGAACACGAGAGCCGCGATGCTGATGCAGACATTTAGAGCGGTGACCCCGAACTGGATGAGCATTGGCAGCGACATGAATCCCTCAATGCATCTGAAGAGCCTGTAAAGGAAAGTCAAATTAGTAGTGCTAGCAATCAGTTCGTTTGGTACCCACTCGAGCAAGCGCTTGTGATCGGTGATGCACTCCTCCAGCTGCTTTTCCGCATCAATGGATGGATCCCTGCCAATTTCCTGGAAGCGGGAGCAGAGCATCTTCACGTGCGACGAGATTAGGCAGAGCATCACGGCCGGAAAGCAGTCATTGACATAGTTCTGCATGAGTTGGTAGGATATTCCCACAATCTGATAGACGTTGGCTATGTAGTAGTTCCTCGTGGAGTTTAACCAATCGAACGGGAAGTAGGCGGGGTACATAAGGCCCCGCTCCTCCTTGAAGAGGAACGAGAGCTCTGCAAAGAGACCACACGGCATGTAGATGCCAATGAAAGCATACAGGATGGTGCGCAGTTGCAGCTTCACTTGGCCGTAGATGCCACGCTGCTCCCTGCCACTCACACGCTCATCCAGCAGCCGCAGGAGCTGCTCCATCCGAACCACCTTGCCAATATTGTAGGCGTAGAGCAGACACTTGGCGGAGCAGGCGAGGCACGTCGCAAAGGTCGTCAGATTGAGGATGTCCTCGGTGAGACTGCGGTTGTGAAAGAGCGACAGGCCCAAGTGGAGCGGATAGCAGGCGGTGGCCATCACATTGACCAGCACACTGTAGCAGATGTAGAGGCTACGCCAGGAGTGCACTCGCTTATGGGCCACTCCGAGTACCCACCATGCCGTCCAGTGGCTCTTGATGAAGCCCAAACTGTCGATGGCTTCGTCGGCCATGGCCTTCTCTTTGATTTCTGAAGTTCCGTTTCTAATAATGCCTCATTTTATACTATGTATACCTGCAGATAGAGATGTGTGCGCACTGCCCTATGGCCTGGCCTTTGTCCAATTATGTAATTATTGTCGCGTGATGGCATCAATTACAAATTATCACCGGTGCCACCTGCCGCTTAGGTTGTGAATTCCCAGCGAGCAGAATTCCATTTAAAATTCCCTCTGGCAAATGGCTACTCTTCGAGCTCTTTAAACTATTTCCCATTTTGTTGGCCAACAATTCGCAACAAATGCAGCACAAGCTGCACAGGCCAACGATTGCAAATGAAATGTAAAATTATTTGATGGTTTTCCTGGGTTGCTTCTCATTTCTGATGCTGATGTTTTTCATAATTTATTAAAATGGACACAAATTCGGAATGTTCGTGGCTCCTGCTGCTTTTGTCAGCGGTTTTTGCAGCATCAAAAATTTGCGCTAAAAAGTAGACTGCAGAATTTATGGCTCATTCGCTGGTCGTCAATTTTACAGGAACTTGCAACAGTGCCACATGCTACTACATATACGATGAAACTATGCGCTTTGGTGAATATTTCAACGCAACACAACCCCAAAGGCATAGTTAGTTTATATTCTCTCTCTCTCTCTCTCTCTGCCGCTCGCTTCATGGACTGATGTGTGTATGGTGCCTGCAATTAGCATGTCCACGCAGGCCAGCAAAAAAAACATTTTGTGTTGCCATATTGCTGACATCGCCCCATAAATTGTTGCATGTTGAAATGGCAGCGAGCCAACACACACACAAACAGGACTAAAAAAAAAGATCCTCCATCACAGGGTCAGAGTATGCGTATGGTGTGATTCATGGTTGTGAGGCAGAGTCCCCGTCCCCGTCCCAGTCCCCGTCACCATTCCCGACCAATCTAATGTCTTAATTGTTGCATGGGGCATCTACGCTTACACTGCCACATGCACATGCATAAATAAAACTCTAACATTCACTGCCATTTATTGTATGTGAAATATTTTCATACGAATTTTTTAAGCTCGTAACCCAATTACGTTGGCGGCGTGGCACAAGATGGCTTCAAAAGTGGAACGGATGTGCCGGCAGATACTCGTGACTTAACCCTCCATATCTGAACCCCTCCAGTTGCAGCGGAAACATAATCACAATGCCCTCTACTCGAGCGTCGTATGCCATAAAATGAAGCATGACAATTCTCTCTCTATGATTTTGTTTTGTGGCATTTTCCCTCCAGATAGTGTTAGATTTTTCCTCCAGTGAAATTTTTGCAAGTTCTGTTAATTTCTTCAGCATTCCCATAGCTAATATACGGCGTTATTCATGCGGCAGGTTGCACAAATGCCAGTTGCATATCGGTCGAACGCAACGCGTTGCTTGCCTAACCCAAACGCAGTAGCAGCTGTTGCTGTCAGCGAACAAGAACGACAACAATGTAATTATCATAATTAAAAGGCTGCCCCCTGTCGCCGAAAAAAAAAGAAAGCCCCCATCCATGCAACCGACAAACAGCGAGAATGGGAGCGAGAAAACGGTCACAGCGGCCATGAATTTCCTATTAAAAGCAGCTCCCCAATGACTACGGAGGCTGGTCGAGGCACGTTGCTGGCTGTGGCAGGGGTTGGGGCCACAGCCCCTAATGGGGTATGGAAAACCGGAGATGGTGGCTGGTGGATGTGACTGCAGCTGCATAATTGAGGTAGTTTCACTAATTGTAAAACGTTGCGCATTAATTGTGTCTGCAGCGTTGCGCATTTTGTGGCTTGGCACTCGAGAGTCGCCCTAAACACCCATTAGACAGTAGTTCCCCCACGACCCTCCCCCCACCACATAACCGTTTTCCTAGGAAAGTGGACACAAAAAACTTTGATGATGACAGTCTTTCTCAGTATTCTTTTTCTTTTGAGACGCGTACTTCTTGCTTTTCTTGCTGCTGCTGCTGTTGCACCAGGTGTATGGGTTCTTATCAGTGATTCTTATCAGTGTGAGAAATTCACCACACGAATGCCGGACGCTGCTCAACAGCTGACAGGCCAGACTGAAGTTCTCTACTTCGTTCTGCGCAGGACCTGGAAGACATCGTAGAATATCGCATATTTGTACGTTAAGAATATCCAGATTTAAAGCATTTCTTTGGCACTTTGAGATTTCTCAGAAAATCATGAATTTATGGGAAAGATTCAAGCAATGACTTGAATGCATAATAGTGGATTGGTCAAACGGATTATGTTTTACATGCATTACATGACTTTTGATAGGATATAAATATGATAAATAACTTTTATTTTACTTCTTTCAGTCATTTAGAAACAAATTTATAAACTGGAGGTAATGCAGATGCAGCTGCCACAGAACCAGTCACTGAAAATGCACGCAACAGTTTACTTTCCACACAGGCAACGGCTTATCACAACAAGCGTTGCCGCTTCCAGTCTAATCAGAAACATCGCTGGAAGTGCCGCCACAGAGAGAGAGAGAGAGAGCGAAAGGGAGAGTGAGAGAACACTAACCTGCCTCAATAGAAGCAGTCAGTGGTAGGGCTTTTACTTTTAGCTACCCTCTTCACCCACTGGCACGATGCTCCACAGACCCACATGGACGAATCCGAAGATGATTCGTGATGGTCGGGTCGGTCTCTTGCTCGTGCTAGGAGCTCGCTCGCTCGTGTCGGGGCGTGGTGAGTTTAGAGGAGCCCAACGCCACCGAATCTGGCGCTGAATGAAGCTCGAGTTCGCATGGCGGCAATTAATCGCAGTTCGTTTTTAAACGCGTCGCGGCGTGGTTGTGTTGTGTGTGCAGCACAAAACGAAGAAGCGAACGAGCGAACCCAAAGAAACAGATTCCAACTACAGGAGATTCATCCTGACGGACAGCCGATCGGTGGTCACGAAAGAAATGCAAGTGAAAGTGAAGTTCCGATGATCGAATGTGAAGATACCTGAATGAGCTTATTGGTGAAACAATATACATACATACATAATAGATATATTAAGCATAGGATAATGTTCATATAAATCGGATTAAATTCATTTAAGTATATTAAAATTAAATTTGCAGTTTACGCCCAGAGGGTGAGTATAATTCCCAGAAAAAATACAAAATTTCCCCTTCCACTTAAATGCAAAAACCATTCAGATTAATTCAAATTATTCAGGAATTGTCAATTTGAGGTACAGTTTCTGTTGTGTTGATTTTTGTATATTTATATACATATGTACTATATTACATTTTATTTTTTTTTTTTTTTCTCTTATTCTTATGGTAAAATAATATCCCTTTGGACTAATAGCTCTCTGATTAAATTATGAGATTCAAGTTCCCTGAAAAATAATTTTCCGTCGGTTCGGGGCCGTACTGCCGTAATCCGATTGTCCAGACAACGAGGCTTACGCGAACCCAATTCCAATTCAATGCACTGTGCATCTGTGCCCGTTCAGGTACTATAATGGGGCTTTAAATGCACCAAAAAGTGAATAATAAAACTACGAATGATCGCATATGCATGGACTGACTGACTGAAAGCATTCACTGGTCTGCAAAATTTTGTCGGCTTTTTTATGTGGCTATTTGTCGACTCTCTCTATGATTTTATTATATATTATTATATATAAAATTAAATTACATTAAAAGCTGTCTTTAATAGACAAAACGAAAGCACCCGGCAGAAAAAAAACTACGAAATGTGTGGGATGCTGTTACTGCTGTGAAAATTAATTCCATTCTGGCCCAGCAGAACAGGCTTCCACTGACGTTCCACATGCCACGTGTGGAGCGGCTCAGTGAGTTCATTTTCATGTTAAAGTCAGCAGCACCCAAAAGGGAGGAACAGGCAAGTCAATTAATTAATAGGATGCCAAGAAGCCAGCGCGGAGGATACACTAATAGGTGGGAAACGAAGAGCGGCCGAAAAATCACGCATACGCCGCGTGAATGTGTAAGCCACCGCTGCCTACAGCCACCATTGTCCTTGCCAGACGAAGTGTGAAATTGTATTTTATTCTCTCACTTGGACTCCGGCATATGTCCGCATTTTTGGTCCAGGTTCATTCCTTTAGTAAACCGTTGGTAAACTGACTCAACTCTTTTGCCTCTGTGCCAAAAAAAAAAAAAAACCATCAGCGCCTAATGGGTAGAATTAATTTGAGGAAAATGTCTGTGAAATGCGAATGAGCTCAAGGAGATGGGCATCCTGCGGATGTCGTTAAGCGGATTTGCTTACGCTGTCTGTGTGTGTCCTGCAGAAACGGAGTTATTATACGCGTAATTCAAGTTAATTGCTTGCCACCTGCCAAGTGGGCCTTCCCGGCCCTCAAGCTCATCTGTTCCTAATGATTGTCTTAATTCGAAGCATTTACCTGCACGCACCATACGCTCGAAGGGAGGCGTACCCCGATGGTTAACCGCGGCGCACTCTCCCTAACCCCTGCTGCCCATTTTTCAGCTCTACTCGTTCTATCCATTCATACTCGTAACAGAACTTTGCATACAAATGGGCCAACTTCTGGCCGACGCTTGTGCTTTATGAATGCAAATTTACACAGCTTCAAGCTTAAATCTGAATGCTTCAAGCTGATGCCTGCAGTTTGCCATTGGCCACCCCACCCCCAGCCCCATGCTGTGAGTGCGCAGTGGCGTTGGCGGCGGAATAGTCGAGTACCAGTTACAGTTATCTATTTGCATACACTGGCAGAAAAGTGGGGAAAGTTTAACACAAAGAGAAACTATCTCCACGAAAGAGTGTAGTTTTGATCTTTTAATTGATTTACCTTTGATTTGTAATAAGTGCAATATGAGGGACGAATGACAGTACGAGTATAACAGTCTTTTCAGATTTACTTCAAATCAGAATCGTGTAACGCAATCAGAATGCAAGAACAAAAAACAACAAAGAAAAGTTACTCTCTTGCTTCATTCTCTCTCTCTCTCTGTTTTCTCACACTCTGGCACTACCTTCGCCTCAGCGCTTCAGCAAGCTTAAGGAGCTTTCGGACATAACTCTTCCAGGATATCATTATGAGGGTTCCTCTCAGTGTACATAGAAAATGCTATAGTATGTAAATAGCCGCTGGCTATTTTTCTTCATCGCATTCACATCTTACCTTTTGGTTTCGCTTTCATTTTAGCTTTTTCTTGTACGATTTGAATAGCTTTAATGCTTTTCAGCTTAGCCACTGAGATTATATCTTCAAAGATTATTTAAATGTTCCTTTACAGTGTGTCTAGACTAGAGAGAGAGATGATTAATGACAAATGATGTTCGTGGAATTTTAGCTTTAAATATACTTACGCATGTACAAGTATTTTTCTATTACAATTTCATTCAACGAATTTGCGTAAGCTCTTCCCACGGTCGTCCCGAATTTAGCAGCCAGCATACGTTGGGAGGAATTTGCATAATTCTATAACTACTTAATTCCCCCTTCGCCTGAAATAATAATTACTTATGCCATCTTTGCAATTCAATTTGCAAATGTTTTTATAGCTGTGTGGGCTTGTATGTCTGTTTGGAGAGAGGCAAATGCAAATTCATTTAAAAATTGAATTATCAAAAAAAAACGAAAACGAAAAGATTAGTGGATTTAGGTGAAAAATAAATGAGATGCTTGTATGTAATTTAGTTTAACTGACAGATGCCACAGACCTTATCCTATATATCATTACCAGCATTAACCCTCCCACGCTGTTTTTTTTCCGGTTTTGATGGAAACTTGTTTATTTTAGTCGAGTGCTTTTGACTACCGAAATCGGCTTAAGGGCTTCGACTTTGGTTCTAGTTTTTGGTTATATTTTGGCACAGAATACGAGTATGCAGCATGTGTTTGAGGTTTCCACTGTCCCCTAATTACACTCAAAGTTAAGCATTTTCTCCATTTCGTTGCTCACTTTTAAGCGCTTCTTTTGGGAAGCTCTTGAACCAATATTTGTGTCGACTCTTACTGGCCATTTGACATGCAACCAATTAATTAGGAGCCCAACTGTGTTCACATCTCATTTCGGGCAATCAATCTAATTGATTGACCGAAAGGCCAACGAATTCCAGTCGGAAAAACACTGATAGGGGATAATTTGAGCCTTTTGGTTGACCTGCTGTCACGCCCATTGTTAAACAATTTAGTTATTTTATCGCGCCACAAGTGGAAACAGACGGTGGAGTGACACTGGTGCACCGACCTCTCCCTACCCTTAATTCCATACTAAATACGTTATGATTGTTGCGTGTTAAACATTAATTAACTCATCCTGATTGCGGTGTGGCGGCGACCAAACAAATCAATTATTTAAACGCTTTTAAGTACTTTCCTCACCCCTGATTGACAGCCAGTGGCATGCGACGTAAAGGGGCGCACACACAATCGTTAATTGCCATGGACTTACTATGCTTTAAGCATCAGTGAGCTGACGAGTTGAAAGGTTCTTTAGTTCTCCATTTCCACGAGCATAAATTTCCCTTGATTATCTCGGATCTCTAAGCCATGTTCATCACAAATCACAGCTGCAATTTCAGGGAGAGAGGAGACCGCCACCGAGTTGATTGTCTTGGCTACGTCTTAGTAATGGAAGGAGTGCAATTCCCATCCGGGGGCAGGGTCGCGGGCGGGCAGCGGAATGGTAAAATAATTGCCCTCAAATGGCAAAGTTGAGTTACGAGCTATGCAGCAGAATGCCTGTCGAACGCCATTCGATGCCAGTTTGGCATTATTTCTTTCTTTCTTTGTTTCTTCTCCTCTACTTTTCCTCCTCTTGCTGCAGATGATTTGTGCCTGCTTTGTTCGATTTTGCTTTTCGCTGCTTGTTGCCGGCTGAGGTGCCTCAGGTGAGGCTTCCTTGAGACCTTGTCTGTGATTGAAACTCGAGCAAAATGGCAACAATTGCCGCGGTTCCCTGGAAGCAAATGGGCGGAGGGTCGGTAGCGGAGGCTGGTTTTATTGGGGGACTGGGGATTGCTCGCTTGTCCTTCCAGAAACTTGTTTGGCCAAGTGTCGTTACCAACTTTGTTGTCTCTGCTACTAAATCTGCCTCTGGTTCTGGTTCTGCCACTGCAGCATGGGCAGTGTCGCCCGGTTGTCCTGTAAAAGTGAGTTATGGGCGACAGTTGTCAGCGCCGTGCGATGCCATGGCACAACTTTTAAGCTGCCGCCTATTGAGAGATGTCCCGTACCGAATCAAGTTGCAAGGAGCAGCAGTCAGCAGCTGCACAAAACTTTCCCCCACCGCCACGAATATCATTTATCAAGGAATGCCGCCTTTAAGCCTGACATCTGCACAACTTTCATCTGCCGCGAGCAGCGTGACTTTCAGCTCAGCCTCAATTGAAGCTCACAGAACTTCAGTTACACCCAAGTGTCAAGGTTGTGATGGCTGAATGCAGACTTTGGGCAAGGACACGCGCGACAAAATTGTCATCTTAAATTGTCACTTGTCTGTGTGTGTGTGTGTGGTCTTACTGTGCACACAAAGGACAATGACAAAGAGGTAAGAGACAAGCATTTCACCGTCACTTGACTGACAATTCGTGCGTGTGGGGGCCCCCAAACCCCCAAACTCATGTGGTGACAACAGCAGCAGCAGCAGCAGCAGCAGTAACACCAGTTGTCGTCCCTTTACCTTTATGCTCCACATTCCCATTTCTTGCTGGGGTATGCACGACTAAGGGGTGGGTAAAAGCGAAAGCGAATTCTGCTTTTGCATGAGTTATAAATATGTCTATTTATACTCATTTCCATGTACAGGTGTTGCTCTCTCGCTTTGTGTGTGTGTTTGCATATACTAGTGTATGTGTGTGTGGAGGCACTCCTGCTGTCATTGTCGTCGTATCCTTTTTTCTGTGTGTTTGTATTGTATTATTTAATGTGCCCATTGTCGTCATTCCTGATGCGTTGATTGTCGGTTCAGTTGTTCTCCTTTGCTTTTAGTAATTTACGAGCTGCGATAAAATGCGAAACGAAATGGAAATGACCCTTGGCCACGAGTCTCGAGCCTTAAGGGAGGTTGTCTCTCTCTCTCTCGATATGAGAACTGCATGAGCCCGAAGGAGCCTACAAACTGAGCGGCATCAGAGAGCTTAGACATTTACCTGTTTTTAGTTCACGTGTGGCACGTGTTCGTCAGCAAGTCTCTTTCTGACTCGCCCACGCCCTCGTCCTCGCCATTCACTCAACCAATCATCCACCACAGCGAGAGACATTTCACGTTCAAGGTCCTGGCAAATTGATTGACATGGCCAGGAAATTAAAATCTGAGCTCTGAGCGCTTTAAATTTCAACATTTTTCTGCCACTACAGCACAAAAATGTGGCCCGAAAAACGTGCCGAACTGTATATTGGTTAAACAGACGGCAAAGCAATCGGCCCGCGCATTGGAAGCCATTAAGAAAATTGGATTTGATTACTTATACATGAGAGAACACGAGAGAGAACGGCTAACCACAGCGACAAAGCAATACAAGGACAGCGACAGCGACAGCGGCAGAGTCAGGGCATGGTGATCGGCCACAAAAAAAGAATGTTGTCATAAATCACATTACACAACAAAAAAGGGAAAATCCGTACGGTTCCTACGGGGATGAGAAGTGTTATTGATGAGCATTTAACTTCTTTTCCGTATTTCCGTTTCCCTGGTGTTGGATTTAAAATTTTTGACGCCGGATGGCGTCATCGTTGGGGGCTTTGGATCTTTACGAGGCATACTTGTGCTTCCCTTCGCTTGTCGATAATTTAGTTAATAGTTTCAGTACGATTCTGTTTGTGCTTACTCGAGCGCTTTTCCATGCGGCCATTCAATAAGGATATACGGGGTGCGGGGAATTGAGGAACATTTCTGGGGATCTCAGCTTGATGAGGCCTCTGCCTCTGGTGATTTGCCTTTCGGGGGCTGCTCTGGGGCTCTGGTGCTCTGGTGCTTTGGTGTTGTGTGGTCTCTGGTCTCTGGTTGGTCAATAAAGGAGCAACGTCATGTTTTATATTCGCCCTCGATGTTGTGGAGTGGCAGTGGCCCAAAGAGTGCCATAAATTAGGGCGAATTCCATTTGACTGAGCTTTGGCTTGACTTTGACTTTTTTCCTCTCGGATTTGCTTCTCGTTTTATATTTATTTTATATTTATGCTCTCTTATTTTTGTTGTTGTGTAAACTTCCTTTGGCCAATTTATGGCTACACATTTTGTCCATTAAGTAGGCAGCCGTTTAAAGGCAAAACTTCTCCAGGCACTGCATTAAGAACGCAAAATGTTCAAGTGCCATACATTCGGCTTTGTATTTGGTCTTTTTTTGCTGGCTAGACATTGTCTGGCTTTCGATTTATTGGCCTGCGATTGTCCAAGGTCAATAATGGCTTGGACAAATATTAAAAAAATGTAGACTAACTTTTGCGGGGCAATTTAATATGATTGACTTTTATTTAATGGCCTCAAATATGCTTTGAAATTTTGATTTTCTTATCCCCGTCGACTCTTAATGAGACATCAAAACGCTGCATGTGACACCACCAAACAGAGAGAGAGAGAGAGTGGGTGAGTGTGAGAGCAGAAACGCCCCTCAATTGGCGTTAATATGGAACGAGAATATTTTATACGGGATTTAAGAAAATTATGCGCATACCAAAAATCCAAAATTCGACGGGGCTTCGGTTAGGGGGGAACTGGAGCTCCGCTGAGGTTCTTACTGATGAAACATCAGACGAAACCATTCAAATTCCGAATGAATCACATCGAAAGTACATTGATTTTGGCATTAGGTTCTAGGCCCCGTAGCTACTTTAAGGGGCTACTATAATATTATAAAATTCCAAGTAAATGGAAATCATAATCTCTTTTTTGGTAGCATTCCAAGAACAACGAACGTCTACGGGCCGAGATCCATCCACGTGCCACCTGCTTATAGCGATTCTACGTACGCAAAAGTTTTCCTTGTATTCTAATTCTGGTAATAAATTTCGCTTGAAATAAACAGTTAAACGTTGGGCTTAACTTGGGTTTGGGTTCGGCTTGGTTTTGGTTTGATTCGCATCTCTTTTTGGGAGAGAGAATACAGAAACTGGATTAGGAATACAGCCTCCATTTTATTGCAATTGCCGCCTGGCCGATTGTGCTTGCGAGGTGTGGCTGTGAGTGTGAGTCTGCCTGCCTCAAGCATGTGGCACACACGTCTGGGTATGGGTTTGGGTCTGGCTCTGGGAGTCTGTTACTGTGTGCAATTCATGCGCTCACGTATAAATAGAATTGATTTTGCTTAAGCATCCCATATATTTTACCTGCTGCCAGGTGATTTAATGTCTGGCGACATAATCTGCCATTTGCCACTCGCTTCCCTGCCATCACGTACCAGAGAGAGGGAGAGATAGACTCTCTCATATGTATTATAAACACTCGTATGTACGTGAATAGCAATACATATGTATGTATATCCGAATCGTGTCTGTGCCTTTAAGCTTCCTGCAAATCCGAACCCCATTTTCATAAGATTCCATTATGCGTGAGGGCGGTAGAATAAACAATGAACAATACACACTCAGCCCCACTCCCACGCTCTCGCACACGGATACGGATAAAATTATATGCTATATGGGGATCCGCGTCGCATGCTAACAGCCAAAGCAATTATGTAAAAATAATACGCGAAATATTTGTCTCCGTCCCTTCCGAAACGAAGTTGAGCTTCTGGTTTATCGCTGCCCATGTCCTCAAAAATCTTCGTGCCACGAGTGTTCACATGTTGGGGTATTTGGAAGACTTTGCTTAACTGTTCGCTGCTCAGCTTCGTGTCTGGGCTTACCAGATTTTCACCACATACAGATCTGTCAATCAGTCGAAACAACTGGTTACTTGCACAATTTAATAGAGGAAATTTTCGTTTACTAGAGTAGAAAATACTGAAATCTTTATATTCGCATCGCATCGCTATTTTGAACTTTAGCTCCACATCCACCATCCACTCGCAGAAGCTTGAATAATTCAAAGAGCTCGAACACCTACACACGAATTAAGGGAGACAAACAAACAAATAAACAACTAAATAAATAAATACCCGGACACAAGCAGCGGAACCTAGAGAAATGGAACCGACGCGTCCCTTGAATCCACAAATGGAAGCTAATGAAGGAAGCAGTTCTTCTCAAAAGCAGAAAGAGAGTAGTAGTAGTAGCTTTCCCCCACCACTCCCAACCAACATCCCATCCGTTCGACTGTTGCCTGTCTTTTGGCTTTAGCAATTTTTATTTTCATAAATTCTCAAAGCATGTTTGCCAGCTCATAAAAACGTAGTACTTTCGCGCACACACACAAACACACACACACACACATCACATTTATCTCCCTCTTCCGCTTTGGCGTACGAATATTCGTACAAATACTGGTATGTAGTCGTATAAGAGGCAAAGCCAAGCGCCCAAGTGGCTCATAATCTGAGCAATTTGCTTGCGTTTTATGTGATTTTTGTTGCTGGTATTAGTGGCTGTAAAGCACACACCCCATGCACATATATATATGTATATGTGTATACCCCCAGGTTGAGCAGTGAGTCTGTGTGTGTGTGTGTGTGTGTGTGTGTTTGCATCAGCGGCTTTGTGCATCATTTGTATGCAAATTGAAAACGTCTTGTTTGACTCTCATACATAACAGAGTTCTGTGCATATGCACATGAGACCAGACCTGAGACTCCGCTTCGGTTTCCCCTTCGTTCTGTTTAAATTTGAAATTAAATTCCAATTGAAATCAATCGAATTGTCGACAGCACCTGACGGAGCTGAGAAATTAATGAATTTTGACCGAAATCAATTACAATTCCATGGTATTAAATTATACGAATGCCAGCAAAGAGAACGCTTCCACCGCTCTCTCTCTCTCTCCCTCACAGCCATTGAAGAGAGGGGACCAGGCGAAAAATTATCCAATTTAAAAGTCAAATGTCATTTTTCCGCCTTCCTTTTTGCGCCTCTTTCTGTTGATGTTGTTTGCCAGCAGCACATAATGTGAATTACCTAACAAAGGTGACGGTGGCTCTCTTGATGAAATGGAAATGGAGATGACGGGTGACGGGTCGCCTTTTCCATTTCTTGCTACCCTAACCCAAAAGTGTGCTGGCTACGGCCACAAGTTGGCTATACACATTCTTATTAGGGTATCCCTGGAAAGGTTTGCTCTCCTGGAGCAGCACCTGCCTGTCTGCTTTGTTGTTGTTTTTGTTGTGTTTCTGCTTCCGCTTTCTTTTGCTATTTTGGCAAAAGACATTTCATTCATTCCACAACGGCAAAGGCAGAAAAATTACTTGAATTTCATTTAACGCAAAAAACTTTGTCACTGGCAGCACCAGCAACAGCCCCACACGCAGCCATACAAAGCGAATGCGTTGAGTTTGTTAATGTGTTTGCATAAATTTGAAGCCCAAAACAGCAGCAGGGAAAGTGAAAACTTCCAGACAAATGCTGCAATAGCAAACTAAGCTAGAGCCCGTTCTGAATCAAAATTCAGAGCATAGGATCCCATATTCAAGTTCATTAATCAAGCTGAGTATGCTGCCTCGGTCGCATCACAAGTAAAACAGGCCACAGTTTCATCTCCCAATGCAATTGCTCCTCTCATCAAATTGGATTGTTGCTTGTTTTCCCACAGACGAGAGTTACATATGTGGCATGGGAGAGAGCATAGTTTGGCCAACTGCCTGCATCACATGCAGCCACTTAGCCATGATGGCGGCAAGCTTCTGCAAAAAATGGAAAAAGTGAGCTGTAAACGGGAGGGAAGCGCCAGTACTGGGGCGAGTGTGTCAAGAGTTAAGTGCATACGAATGTAACGAGTATCTTCCTGTACCTACAACGTAATGCATTAGCCGTGTGCGACACAGGATGGGAGAGTTCAGAGGTAAACCAAACTTTGAAACCATCTCCTCCTGGATACTTTTTTTCGTGAAGTGTCCTGCAGTCAGATTTGTAAAAGGATTCTGATTAGGTATCCAACACATGATTGGGGAACCTGTCCTGTGACACATGAATATTTAGTGCAAAAAAAGGACTTTCCAACTAAATAATCCCACCCCTCGGCCCGACGACCAATTGTTTATTTATTGTTAGATTCGCTTGCAGTCTGCCAACCCAAGGGAAAACAAAATGGAAACACGACATTTGGATATAAAAGATTCATCAGTGTTTTCCATTTCGATTTTGGAGCCAAGTCCACCCACAAGTTGATGTGGCATTTACTGTGGCATTTACTCGTACTGTGTACTGTGGCACTTACTCTGGCCATCTGGCCTTGTGCTGTGGAAAACTTTGTTGAACTGGTTGCTGACTCTAGCAGATTGTATAGTTTTCTAATAGAATATTGATAACATTCATAAATTCCAACGAAATATAAATCATTTCGGTTCATTTTAGCGAAAACTTTAATATAAAATTTTCCATAAATTTCTTGTTTATCCGATGTTAAGGCCCATGGTGCTGCCGCTTTGTAAAATGTTTTGTCTGCCTCCTCCTCCCTGGGTGCATGTGCATGGGTGTCAATTACTCTTGCCGCTCCCTGTTCCCCGTGCCACACTCTATGCCCATCCATGCCGCTGGCTGCTGCCACTGGCTGTTGCTTTTGTGTACGGCTCTCTGTTGATGTTTTGTCTGTTGCCTTAAAGCAATTTTTATGGCTCATAAAATTCGAAATTAGAACTGGATGTGGCACTGCCTTTGCGACTAGCAAAGCTATCCGCAGCTATATAAGCCTGAAGATTTCTATGCCCTGCCCCCCTCGCCGTTGAGCGCAACGAAATCTGGGACCTGCCAAGAGTGGATTTTCTTTTTCAGAATTAGTTGGTATTACATTTAAATGGCATATAATTTGTTAGCGCCATAATATTTATGCGAATTGTGGCCGTACACTTTTATTTATGTTCACTCGGCTGCTCCTCTGGCAGCAGCCAGGAGGAAAACCGCCCCACAGTACCGACGCGGTACCAGCGGCACCTTCCTATTCAGCGGCATCTACAGCATTCAGTCGCTAAATCCCCGAGCTGACAATCAAAGCACAGTTCTTACAAATTGCCTTTAATTTAAGTAAAAAGATGTGGGGGGAACGGGATGCCCTGACTTTCTCCCCTCCCTTTCACTTGGCACAATGCAGTGGCACTGAGCGGTACACAGCGGCGTATGCGCAATATTTTGCTGCCTGGGGAAACAATTATTTATTTTGTTGCCTTCTATGCTGCCTTCTGCATAGATGCGGACATTTTTAATTGCCGCCTTAGCTGGAATATTTGAGAGAAAGGACTTTCCCGCGTTGTTCTCCCCAAAGCTTTTGTCGGACAAGGGCACGAGGCTTGGAGTCCACGGACATCCAACGTCCAAGTCCAGCTTTATTTCCTGGCATTTGAGAAACTCGCGTAACCCTCTTCCTCATAAGCACAAGACCGAACCCTGTGAAACGTGCGACCTTGAGCTGGTGGCAGCTCTTGTGGCAAGTAAATAACAAAAGGGACTCGCATAAATCACAGCAAATATTTTGCTTACGTTTTAGCACGCCAAAAACAAAACAAAAAAGAAAACACAAACCAGAATGAAAAGCTAACTTTGGGACACATAATCATAGCTGCCATAACTCTAGTTATGATCTGTGGATTCCAGGGGCGAGCTCCACCTTTGCGCTCTACCTTTGCTGAATATCCTATGTACTTGGAGTAATTTAAGTTTAAAGCTCGTCCTTTCTTTTAGCTTCAATGCTTCACACGAAGGCTAATCTTTGGTTTTTGCTCTTTCCCATTTCAGTTTCCCATTTATTTCGGCATCGTGTTGGAGTTAAAGGACACAGCAAGGAGTAGGGGAAAATGGAAATGGCCATCAAAGCCGCGACAATGGCGCCCATGTTTTTCCGCTGACCATGGGCTCGCACAGGGGACATGTCGATGCGGATGATGCGTCATGTTTTCGCTTTGGCCTTTGAGGACTAAAAATTCCAGTTGGCGTAAACGGAAGGGCACGAAACCAGCGGCAACGCAATCGATAGCCACACAAAGGATCGCTACGCACCACCAAAAGCAAAGCGCAGATCAGCCAATCAAAGGGAGCCCCAAAGAAGCGGGTAGCCCCACCATATAGGGGCATTGGTATTCCATTCAATCGACTCTGAACCGACTGCACAGAGCAGAACAAACCCAGTCAGCGCTCAAGCAGCACCACGTATCCCGAAATGAGCAGAAACAGCAGCAGCCACAGCCGGAGAGCAGCGGAAAGGATGAGGATGCCACCAGCGTGTCAGCTGCTGCTGTGGATGGGAATGCTGATGCCATTGATTCTGCTGCAGTTGGGGCAGGGCCACGCCACGGCGGATCTAGAAGCCGCAACACTGGCTGGCGCGCAGGGAGTAGTAAAGGCCGTTGTATCCCCACGGGCTCGCATCAAAGCGGAAGCGGAAACCCTGATGGCGGCAGGCGACAGCTTCAACATTCGCCACGGACGCTCCCGCACCTCCCATATGCTTCACAACACAAACATCAACAGCAATGGCAGCAATGGCAGCAATGGCAGTGGGACCAGTGGGAGTGGCAACACCAGCACACGTATCACCCTAGTCGCGCCCACACAGCAGCCTGGGGCAGGTGGCACTACAAGCGCCCCAGTCACGCATAAAATACGCAAATTGCATAAGAAGAAAATCAACGAAAGCATTCGAAAGAGCGTGGACAAGAGCCTGGGTGTGCTCCATCCGGCCAAGAATCACCGCAGCCTCGCCGAGGCTGAACATCTACAGGGTCGTCGTCCCACCCACGATGACGACGACGACGACACGGCCGCTCTAAGTGAGGTCATGCAATTGGCGGACGAGATTGATCTGGAGAATTCATTAGAGTCGGCTTACCAGAATGTTGTCGTTGGCTTGACAGCCACGCCCACGCCAACACCACCAGCAGCAGTTGGAGGCTCCTCTGCTGCCAAGTCAGCTCCGACACGTGGCACAGACACAGGTGCAGCCGATGAAGCTCTGGACCGGCGGCCATTTGTGCGTGCCAACATTGATGAGGTCAATTACGTCGAGGATGAGGCGCCGATGGAAGATTCCCAGGAGTTAAGTGTGGATGTGGATGTGGATGAGGCCGAGGACGAGACGTTATCGACCACTTCAATGCCCAAAATGGCGAAATTTGCGCCTCATCATGTGACCACTAGTGGGGCAAGAACACGTCTGCTGCCCGTGAACAGCAGCAGCTGGCAGGAGCCGGCAGTTGGCGAAGACAAAGGCGACGACATTGGACTCCGCCCTGAAGACTCTACAGAATCCGATTACCGTCTCGATGACTCGCATTCACGCAGTGAAAACGATGCCTTTAATATCGCTGATGACGAGGACGATGTCAATGACGACGTTGACATTGACGCAGAGAACGCAGCAAAGCAGCAGTCGTACGGTCGGCTGCCCTTTGAAGAGTTGCAGCTGCTCAATGAGAGCAGCAGCACCACAGAGTGGATGGATGATGGTAATCGCAATGGCATCGCTGGTCCTGGGGCCGAGGCGCGCTCCCAGGCCAACATGGAGGTGAAACAGATCCATTTCGAGGGCGAAGGGGAGTCCGATTCGGTGCTGGATACCTCAGAGGTAACAATGGACGATGGCTATCCGCCGGAAGTGCAAATTGATGACAACACCAAGCAGCTGGTCATCGAGGATGTAGTGGGAACTGACGAGGACACAGACGAAGAGAACATGGAATCGAATCAGCTAACGGCGGACGTGATCAATGCGAGGGATAGCAAAATAGATTTGGTCTCCAAATTTCTGCAGTACATCGAGCAGCAGCATTTGATGGGCTCCAATTGTGTGGCCGGCACTTCACTGAATCTCGGTGAGGGCGTGGTCGACCGCTATGCCCAGGACCGATTCCGTGTGGAGGCCGAGGTGGCCGTCAATCGTGCCAACATGTTGACCAGGTGAGCTAAAAGTCAAAGCGAAAGTTCTCTCCTCTCTCCCCGTACGTATTATTATACACATGAGAAACTTTTCCAATCGAAAGTTTTGCACACAGCGATGCCGAATGCAAGTTGGGCAAATGGAAATGGGAAATGGAGCTGCTGCTGCTGCTGCTGCCACTGCCACTGCCATTAGAGATGTGTAAAGAGCAAAAGAACTCAACTCAATTTGTGTTAAAGATAGATTTCTCAGTGGAGTTTTATCATGGCGTGGCATTTCCCCTATTAATTTAGTTATCCTCGCTGTCAGTGCTCCCAATGCTATGATTTTCGAACGCATCCTCTTCTGTTGGATCACGTGGAATGTTGAAGATAAGACGAATCTCGTCGGGGGTGTGACCCTTGATCATGTTGGCCACCGTCTGACAGGCGGCATTCATCAGTGCCCGAATGTCCAAGTAATTGGCGGCCATGATCAGCTCGAAGAGCGTGCCCTGATCGATAGTCGACAAGAAATCTGCGTCCCACTGACTGATGAAATATTCCTCCGGTTTCCCATCCTGTTTATTCGGATCGTCCGCTGGAGCTGGGACGTCATGCTGGTGGTATTTGGCCCAAATCAATATTTTTTTCAGAGTTGTCGAATTCACGTTGGGCACGGGTATGAAGGGTTGCTCCTCCTCCTCCTCCAGGCTGCAATTCTCTAGCATATTTTTAATGGTGCCCGAGCATTTGGCAGTTTCTGCATCGGTGTCAAAAACGACACCATCGGAGGACTCTAACCTGATGTCGGGCATTGCCTTTGTAAATTTCGAATTTGGACCAAAAACAAACAACTATTTTTTGTGTGTGTTTTGGCTTTTTGTGCCGAAATGTGAACGGTTCCACAAAGGTAAACGATGCGAGTTTTGTTCGATTTCTATACAATAAATAACACAAGAAAATAACACAAAAAAACATACGACTGTTCAATCATCGAATTCATGGTCCAATTTCATCTTCTGCATCGTTCGTCAATTGTCTTTTGTCAACGTTTATAATGTCTTGGTCGTCCTGGTTGCCAGGACTACTTTTTAACTCTCGGACTCTGTGAGTTTTCTGTTTAGCTGCGTGCCTTACTTATTTTTGATAAAAGTTCAATTACTTAGCTGAACGAAGGCGCCTGGCAAAAAGTTTGTGCCCAGACTTTGATTTATCCAAAGAATGACCGCAACTGTGGTTTTTCTCTAACAATTCTCCAGCTGGCCAATGTGTGGAAGTCTTCTTTTCTTCAGTTTTTTTTGTTCCCTGTCCCCTGTCACTGGCCGTGTCCATTCCTGATTCTGTCATCGATTCGGTAGTAGTAGCTGGCCAAGTGACAAGACTCAAGGACATGCTAGTTCTCCTAGTGGCCTCTCCTTCGACCTTTCCTGCTGCGTGTGGCAGCAGCAGCAGCAATCGCACCAAAGTTTTGCCCACAGTTTGTGCGTTCTTTTTTATAGAATTTTTTGCTGCTCTTTGGCGTTCCTTTGGTTTTGTCTACAAGCTGCCCCAAGAAAAACAATAAACACAAAGTTTCATCATTTGACGCATATGTGGGCCTGCTGCCTGCATATGTCCATGGTATATATATATATGTCTATGTCGATGTGCTTGCTATCCTCTACACGGACATTAGGCATTGAATTTATGTCTTTGTGAAGCGAAAAAATAATGTTAGAACGTTTTTTCTACTGGTTTGGCTGTCGCTTCAGTCCGGTCGTTCTTACCTCAGCAATGAAGTGGAGCCAAAGGTAAGAGACTGCCCGTAGTTACCATTTTTTGTTGTTATTGATGCCAGGGAAGGAGCAGCTGCAGCAGCAGGGTTTGGGATTGGGATTGTTGATTGGATTAGATTGCTTCAAGCAACAGGCAAACAATCGACAAAAATATTGCATCGAAAATATACCAAAAATTGATGGAAATCGTTGGTAAAGGGAGCTCATTGCTCTAGCTCTGGGTCTGTTTGCAATGGATATAGGTTAGTCGAACCCCACAAAAAAAGAAATATACTTAAACGTTTTTCTGATTTTTTCTTCTGATTACAGAATGAAATCAAAGCCATTTGTTCGAGAAACTCATTTGTTAAAAGCCACACAAAAACACTCACAAAGATAAAAAGCAGACCAAAGCAGGAGGAGAACAGCACTTGGAGGAGCAGTGGGGAGGACAGCTGAAATGGAGGGGGAAAGAAATAACATGAATGACAAAGCTGACAAATCTAATGAACAAATGCCGCCTGTCAATAAAACGCACAAATAAACAATTAACCAGGCCAAAAGCGACTTGACAAATTAAGTGACGGCAAAGCCGTAGAGTAGGGAGGGCAAAGACAAGGGCAAGGGCCATGCTTTGGTCTGGGGAGCAATAAAACGTCAAATTCACACAGAAAATGGCTGTTAAAGTCAAATGTCAATAAATTAAACTGCGTCCATTGGTTGGGGACTTGGTTGGGGAACTGGCAACTGGCAACTGGGATCGGGATCAACCTTATTGCATTTAGCGTCATATGCTTGTCATTTGTTTTCATTATTTTTGCCCCCAATATGAAATGTTGCCCCTGGGACTGCGGCCCAAACTTATGTTTCAGCAGCAGTCTCAGCGGCCCGGGCTTTGGCTGATTTATTCAGCCACTACGAACTCCTGGCTGCCATAAATTTGATGAAAGATACTTCCTGCTGGTACGGAGTCTGAATCGGATGGGGCAAATCTTTTGTTAATAATTTCAGGAGGTGTGGGAGGCAGCGGCAGATAGCAGCAGCGCTAATCAGGGTTGGTTTTAATCAGTTTATCCTTGTGTTAACACAATCAAGGGCAGCCGGAAAACTTTTAGCTCTAGCTAAAAGGGAACAATTTCACAGGATGCGAAACAAAGAGAGAGAGAGAGAGAGAGAGGGGGAGGAGGGTTGGGAGAGGCCAGCATACCATAGATACTAATTGAAGTTATTGTTTTGTGATACATTGTTATTGCTCTTCCATCGTGCCTTCCGTTCCTACACTGGTTTTATTTTTGCTTTGCGTGTTTGGGTATTTCCCGTTTACTTTGTAGTGCAAACGAAAACAAAGAATAACATTTAACGAAAACAAAAGGATACAACACAGTTGCTGTAGCTCCAGGGCTGTCCTGGAGGTCAGACAAGTGGCAGGGAGGGAGGAAGGCAGGCAGGCAGGCAGGCAGCAAAAACAATATCAATTCAAGTTGAAAATTACGAGCTTCAATTGTTTTCTTGCCTTGGCCACTTTTCGTTAGTTTCCGTTCACGCCGCACCGCCAAAGTGGAGACAGCAAACAAAAACCAGAAACGACTCCAATGGAAGCACACACAAACACACACACACAAACATCCACATGGAAGGAACATGCAACAAAAGTGTTGAAACGTACGTAGCTGAAAGAATCGGGGAAAACTTTTAAGTACTTAAATGTGTTGTCGTCTAGGTGCGAGAATGCTGAATGAATGGCAGAGGAGGAGAGCAGCTTAGAGGGGTGGTTGGGGGAGGGGGAGGATGGAAAATTGAGTTTCCGGTTTCTTGTTCTCCGAACATAACAGAGATAGATATATACATACAGCTCCTTTTTCCCTTCTTGTTGTGCTTTGTACCCCCCAGCGCTAAACTCTTCTGATGTGACATATTCCTCTCACTCTCAATCTCCCTCTATCCCTCTGTCTGCCTGCCTTACTGTCTGTCTCGCACAAGCATTTGTGCAATGATTTTGTTTTTCACTTGAACTTTTGGCAATAAACTTGGCAAATAATTTATTGCTTGTTCGTCGCTTGTTCATCGCTTGTATCCATTCTGTTCAGTTGTTGTCCCAAAAGTTATTTTACTTCTTTTATTTTTGTAGGGAGTGGCATTTGATTTCACCTCTTAGAACACATCGAAATTGAAATCTACATAAGCGATGCAGTTTTCAATTGCCAGCGGCAATGAAATGCGACAACAGCAAGGACACCAAGCCAAGGCCCCACTCCACCCCCCACATGCCACCACCGAGGAAGGTAGAGGGTGGAATCCTCCACTCGTATTGTTAATCTCCTTCAAAGTTTTCTGCCAACGGAAGCAAATACGAGTACCAGTACGAGTACGGATGCAAGTCAATGCGCATGCATCGAAAGAAATTCACTGTGAATATCCAATGCCGCGTCAAAGAAACACTTGCATATTGCATTGTTTCACTTGATTTCTCTCAGTGTGCGCGCGCGGGGATTTTGTGCCGCTTGATTTAGTCTGCACTGCTGGCGTCGTGCCTTGCCATGCTCTGCGGGCGGTGCTAATAATGCCCCTACCCCTGCCCCTGCCACTCCAAAAACTTTTTATTGTTAGATGCGCTGCAGTTGTCTACAGCCGCCGAAATGGAAATTGTTTTCATTCTGCGCAGAACAATCCTAATGCGGATGCCCCATGCCCCATTGCCCCCATGCTCCCTTGCCCCCATCCCCCTTAAGCACGATCACAGTGCAACTGACATGGACATGTTCATGCCTTCTGCCAGCTGTAGGCCACCACCCGCCGGTACATGTATTCTATCCCCGTCACCGCCAACTGCACCACTGCCACTGGGCCGCGGCCTTTTTCCAGTTGGTTTATTTTAGTATCCTCGCATCTGAGTTTGACTTTTTGTTGCTGCCTTCTGACTTGTTCTGTTGCTGTTGTGGCCCTTTCTCCTTCTGGCCGCTACCGCTACTGCAGCCCCGTGGTACGCTTTGTGCAACACATGTTGCCATAACTTAACAGCTTAACAAACTTGTCGAGTAGACACCGAAAAGCGAAAAAAGGAAGGAAGCACCCCCGCCCCTTGAGAGTCGCTTCCATTTCCACTCTCTGAAGTGGCTGTCGTGCCACTTGGCGAATGCGTAACATTTAAGCCGCAGCTAAAGTTCTCTGGGGGCGCCGCAGTCTATTTTTGCGCAATAAAAACATTTGCCACTCTAGCGACCAAAGACAGGGCCAGGATCATAGAGCCCTGGACCCCATCACACAGACAGACAGACCGACCGACTGAGACTCATAGACGCATAGCTGCCGCATTGTGGCAGCAAAAGTTGGCCTCTGCAAAGGCTGAAAGGCACAAGGCCCGAGTCGCTAGTCGGGACTCATTATGCTCGACTCATTGCCATCCCTGCCCCTTCTGCCCTCGACGCCTTCTGCGTGTTTCCCAGACGAAGGCGAATTCAAAAAGTAAACTTTTTCTGCCAAAATATTTGCCAACTTCTGCTGGCACAATGAGCGCCAGCAATAATAATCATCAGGCTGCCAAAAAGTACGTTGAAAAGAAGTTACCAACTTGAAAGCAATTAATGGACTAAATCAAAAAGGCATTTTTCAAACAACAGGGGAAATGGGAAAATGGGAAAGGCGAGTGGATGCTCCAAGGGAGGGCAGACTGGGGCAGAGTTGGGGCTGTGGCCAGTATAAACATGTCAACAACAAGTGCTGCCTCGAGGCTCATTTAGCCGCAGAACAACAAACAGCACAAGCCAAACAGGGAACAAAGCATGAAGAACAACAACAAAGAAAATAACAAGCAGGAAAGCAGCCTTAACAGGCAGTAGCAGCAGCACCAGCAGCAGCAGCAGGAACTTTTAATTAATTGAACTCCTTTTTCCTTTGACTAATTGAACACACATATTCAGAAACACACACAGGAGGCACTTTTCCTTTTACGCCTGACTTTTGATCTTATTTTTTTAACATTTTTTTTCTTTCATGCTTATTACTTCGAATGAAGAATAGGAAAATTGTCAATTAGTTGTCAATTGTAATGTTTGACGATGAAACGAAAGACTAATGAAATTTCATATGTGCTGTAGACCCACAACCAAATGCCATTGAAAATACCATGAAAGAATAAGACTTTTAGTTGCTATGCATTTACGTTGATCCATTTGATCAGGTTTCCGTAATCCACTGATCCACTTTCATATCGAAAGTTACCTACCACGGCAACGCTGCATGATCGATCCACTGCTGCTTGCATGCACTGCTTGCACCGCTTGTACGGCCTGCTTGTATTGCGAGCATGTACTGCTTGTGCATTCATTTCGATTCGAAATTGGATATCACTTTCCCCTACGATCAATCAAATACGAGTAATATCAAAAGTAAAACAAAGAACTCAATTAGTATGGGTGGGGATCAACTTTCGAATGTTTTCCCTTTTGATCATTTAATTATGGCCTAATTAAAATTGGTTCAGACGCCTTGACCGTTATGGGCTATTAAAAAGCACACCCGCCAAACAAATAAAAGGCAAAGAAACTTTGAATAAAAGGGTCGCTGACAGCTTGGCCAAAAAGGTTGTCGACAGGCAACCTCTGTGCCTTCGCCATCGCCGATTCATCAGCTTCATGGCCAAAAGCATTTCATTCATTGAAGCATCCTTACCGGACCAGTAGCAGGTCCAAGTATCCTGGCCAGACTCCTGAGCTGTGTGTGCTTTGAATAATTAAACCGGAGCATTTCGCTTTCAATTAAGATGTCGACGGCAGTCGAAATCAGATGCTTGAGGCATTTGCCCAAAGGACAAACCAAAAGTGCTCCTGGCCTGCCCTGCCCTGCTCTGCTCTGTGCTTCTCTTTAGAGTTCTGCAGAGGATTCATCAGACTGCAGGCTGTTTGTAAAACAGTTTCGCTTCTCATTTTCACCTTGGATGGCATTTCCAGGTGTTGAAATTTGGAATTTCATTTGCAATTTTCTCCCCAGTCTCCTGTTTCTGGATCATGCATAATGAATTGCTTTTCACGCATAACGATAATAGAATTTAATTTGCTTGTTAATGCAAGTTGGCCACTTCAAATATTTGTTTTGTTTTGCATATTTTGTTCTCACTTTTCCTTTGCTTTATTCTCTGCCGTTGCCTGTTTTCTGTTGTTATTTGTGTTTGCTATGGCAAAATCAATACCCGTTCATCATTTTCCCATCAGTCAGCGGAAGACCTTGGCATCGACTTGAATGCAAATACCAGTTAAGAATGAAAATGGCGAGTGGTGAGTGGGAGGGGGGGCCTCTGGGAAAGCACTTCACCCGCGACATGCAACGACCTTCTAAAAAGTCAAATAACAAAAAAAAAAGAAAAAAAAGCGGCTTAAGTGCCAGTCAGGCCCCTCATGGCAATGTTCTCCCTCAACCGATGCTCCAAGTTCCAATTTGTTCCAAGTTTATAATACGCGTTTTATTGGGCAAAAGGCTCGCTGGTGCTGGCTGTCCGGGGCGGGGATCATGTGCTAAACAAATAAGCAAAACAACCAACTTATGGCAGTACCTTTAAGCTAGAGAGTGAGAGTTTGGATATGGAATAAATTGCCCATGCTGCCTGATGGCAGATATACAGAGAGACATTAACCATCAGATTTTCATTTAGAGACTTTAACTCGACACAACTTGGCATCCGGCTGCAATTATGTGTGCAGACACATGCACTCCCTCACCTGAAGCAAGGGGAGCTTGTAGATTTAGAGAATTCCAACACACAACCACATCAATGGCTACGTTATATTTCTCTGGCTCTGGCTTTGCCTCTGGCCCTCACCCTTCACTATCGTTACAAAAATGCATAGACAAAGGCTAAAACGTAAAGGGGGAAACAGTTTCAAGTACTTAGTGAGTTACTTACTCTTGGATCTCAGACCAGAGCCCGCCCCAGGACTCTTGTGTTGGACCTGGTACGTACCTGAAGCTTGTTTGCTGCTTGTTTATTTCACTCCTTTCCCGTGCACAGCACTCGAGTGTTGAAAAGCGCCTTAAACACACTTCTCCCAAATCCAGACGTAAGCGGGGGGGGCCCCACTGCTACAGCTACAGCTAATCATAGCTACAGCCAATTGGGATTGCACTAGAGAGAAGCAACAGAACAAGGTCTACCATAGCACGCTGTGCAGGAGATTTTAGAATGGAGAATGCAGTGACCATTACAGATAAGTAACCTTAGATGCACTGATATTTGTAGCATAATTGAAGTGAGCACTCATCGGCCTGGGGGGGCTCACAGGTCAGAGCCATAAATAACGAGAGGCAGAGGACGCAGAAGATAAAAAAGGGAAGCTGTCAACTCCATGTTGAGCTCTGCTAAGTCAGCATTATCACCAGAAAAAATTGTCGGCATCAGCGGCATCAGCGTCATTAGGCGACTTTTGAGCCGTGACATGACCTTGGACATTGTCTGGGATATGACTGCGCTCTGTAGAGGGAAAACGGGGGTGTCGCCGAGATGGGCGCTGACAAATGCTGTTGACATTTACAAATGAGGCCCACAAGTAAATTAATGAGCCACGCCCAATTAGCGAGCGAGTCACATGAGGGAGCCAGAGCCAGAACCATGTCTGTTGCTGAAAGTTGCCCCATATGGGTAGGTGGGTCTCTGCTCTGGATGCTGCTCCCCGGCTAATGTATTGGAAAATCAAATTGAAAGCAATGTTGTAACTGTAACAGTGTTCTCCCCATCTTCTCTTAAAGCGAAATTTTAATTAATATTTTCCCAGACAGAGAGCGAGCGGAAGGAGGTCACCTCCGTGTACTCTTGGCAGAAATCTTGAATGTAATTTTCTCGTTTACTCATTTTCCGCGCCCACATTTCTTTTCACTGCTCGCAAAAGCGGAGGTGAGGATGAGGGGGCCGCTATGCAGGCTGCCATTGTGGGAACGTGGGCACAGACAATAGCCGGCAGCCGCCCAGCGCACTTGAGCTCAGCTTGAAGCAGCTTGAAGGCGGCTACGCCTATAAGCATGCACTTGTAACGAGCCAGCAGTAGACCACTCCGTCCCCGTCGCACCCATCCGACAGCCTGCCACGTGAAAGTGAGCCGACTGAATGGCCCGCCCACGACTCTCGAGGGGTGGCTATAAAAATAGGAATGACAGCAAAAATGAGAGAAAGGCAATCCAAGGCGGTCGGTCGCAGGGTTCGCTCCACTGAGCCACTTTCGCTTTCGGTGAACTGCTTGAATTTCGGACAGCCAGGCTACTGATTATATTATATTCCAGTAATCCAGTAATATATCCAGGGTATATTTATGTACATCTCCTGCAACGGGTAAACTAATTGTATAGGAATATTATATGAAATTATCGAGGGTCTACTCTATCATCTATCCTCCGTTAAAGAGAGAGTATACCACATTCCATAGTCGCCCATAATCGTCGCCACTTGTTCATCTATTTTAAATGCAATTTCCTGTCGGCCTTGCCACATAAATTGCATTTTCTTTGTTTTTGTCCAGCGCAGCATTGCAACTAATATCCGATGTGTGTCCTCTTGTGTCTCTTGCAGAATATTTAAGACAACGGGGCAACGGGTGCAGGAAGATGTCAATTTGCTGCACGCCTCTGTACTATCGATGGTTGAGTTTGACGATGATATATTCGCGGCCGGAAATTGCTTCGATTGGAACGAGCATCCCGCACAGCCGGGCCTCTTCTGTCCGTTCGCCTACCGCCTGCCACCACCGAATCTGGGGGCAGTCTTTGCCAAGGATCTGGCCATGGAGTATCACTATCTGGGCAATACCTCCGAGTGGTTCTTTCTGGCCCGCAAGAATGCCGAAAAGGTGATAGCCCGCAACGAGCAGTATCTAAAATGTAAGTACCCGAAACTCATATTAAAATACCTTACAAGAATGCCCCTGATTTATGCCACGGGCAGTCAGAACTCTCTGTCTCCGTCTCTGTCTTATTTATGGGGCCGCCCTGATAGCGCGCCTTTTGTGCGACATGTACAATATATATGCATATATATATATATGGCATTGAATATTTATTTATTTTTCGGGGTGCTTTAATCTCCGACTTCATTAGTCACTGCCCACCCAAACGACAGGCTAGGCAGACCCCAAGGGGATGCTGCCTAATTGCGTCGCCATTTGGAAGAGGCATATTTCACCATGTTTTATCATTGCCACTTGGCAGAAAGAGTCCACCTCCGACAGGCCAACAATTAAGCGTATAAATAAAACGAAAGTGTCCCACTCGACTTCAAAACTTTCATTCCCAACGTGGGCTACTTTAAATGGAAATTGCCTTGCCACCGAATCTCACATTCCGTTGTTAATTAGCTGCGTTGGCCAGAGCAAGAGCAAGGGCCAGGCCAGGGGGCGCCTGAGCGATTACATCTAATCCCATCACACGGATGGGATGGTGTGCTTGACCCGACAGTGACAGGGACAGCGAAAGCGACAGCTACAGTGATGCGTGTAAGCTAATTTAATGCAAGAGTCGTCGCTCTACCTCCACTGACATCCGCTCAACATCAGCATCAGCCTCATCATCCATAGCCCATAGCGCAGCAGCATAGGAGCGTGGGAGCGAGTTTGTCAGCCTGTCTGCTGCTCTTCGTCTTGAAATTCTGTTGTCTGGTTACTGAAGTTTCCTGGATTATCCTCTAGTATTCAAAGTTTAACACGCAAAGTTTTCGCTGCGAAGCGAAAAGTGATTACAAACAGCACACAAACAATTTAATGGCGTTGAATTAGTTTTAATGATGTCAACTTATCCTCACTCTCACTCACTCTCTGGTGCTGCCTTCTGCTCCACTCATCTTTCCGCTGTTTCATTGCACAATTTCACACTCTAACACCTACGTTTGTTGATAGGCTCGCACCATCCAGAGGGAGAGTAAAGAGAAATCCACGTGACATGCCAATGCCGCAAATTTTCAAAATAATTTACAAATTAAAGGTTACGGCTGCACTCCTCGCCGCTCCTTGTTTACTTGCCTACCACTAATGCACACTTAATATTGCACAAATTTTAGGTATTTTCATGGTATGCGGTAAACGTGTGCCGGCACGGGCACGGGCACAGGCAAAGGCACACAATTGCATGAGCGAGAGTGAAATTTCACGGAATGGCAATTGAAAAATGTGTAGAGAATGTCGTATTCGATTGTTCTGTAGGACTGGGGCTGCGACACTCGCCCACATACAACCACCACACAGTCGGACAGATGGGCAGAGTGACAGAGGAACAGAAGAGCAGATTGGAACAGAATAGAGGGGCAAGGGGACACGCTGTGGTAATGGTAGGACACAAAAAATGGAATTGAAAACAAACATGCAGCTCGTTGAGAACGACAGGGGGAGACAGGGGGACAGAGAGGCAGGGGGACAGTGAAAGAGAACAGATTTACGTGGGCTATGGTTCGCCTATAGCCCATTGGCCCATGCATACTAATAGCCAGTATAGTTTTTGGCCAGGCTAAGAGAGGGGTTGGGCTAAGAGCTGATTGCTTCTCATTTCTTTGTTTGCCGCTGCGAGATGGGCAAAATTGCAAACACAAAAGTTGAAGGAAAGGAAAGGAAAGCTGGCCGAAAATGGAGAACTGCTCAAATAATATTTGTGGCTCAAACAATGCATTAAAGCAATGGCCGTGTTGGACATCGGCGTCATTTATCTATTGGCCGGCCACACGGAAAACTTACTCGGAATGTGGCATGCGCCTTAACGTACGAATGCGAGCACTATGTACTATGGTACTATGTGTGCGGTGAACTATGATTTATGGCCTGCTGAAATATACCCCCAAGCAAGGCTGCACCGGCACGGCACGGCATGGCGTTCGCTGACTTTCAATTTATGTGCATTTGCATATTTGCATTCGCCTTTGGCTTTATAGTTTGCCCGCAAAAACTTTACCCTCGCTGCAAACTGAAAACTTGCAACTTGCAACTGTCAGGCGGAGGCACTGCCACTGGCAGAGCCGCTTTTAAGCTGTTTCAATGCTTGAGCCAATGCGATACCCGAGTGGAACGCTGATTAAATTTGCAACATTTTGGTTCTTTGTCTGCCTGCCATGGCAAGGATAGCCGCCACATAAGGCTGTTTCAATTCTTGACACCGCAACTAACCAACAACCATTTGCGGCCAATTCATGTGCTGTTAATTTGATTAAATTGTATATTATATACGTACGTACTCGTCTAAGCGTGTTTGTGGTGCAGAGTGCAAATTTGCTTATGAGCCAACAAAAGTGATTACCTTTTTCATTGCGTAATTAATAAAATGTTTGCCACTTTAGCACACCAAATGAAGTACTCAAGGCGTAACGAGTGCATTAAATAGCCTTTTCAATATCATTATTTTGTTCACATATAATCAAATCATTTATAATAGTCATCATATTGAGATTTAATTATAAAATATAATTGAATTCAATTACTAAATCAACATTAATTTTTCTGACACCGACTGAAACTGCCTGCCCCAAAGGAAAACTACACAAAAAGCACTACAATATAGACTCCTTGAAGTTTTTTTGTTGGATCCACCATTTATGTACATGCTACATACATACAAATATATGTATGTACATATATGTACATATATATACACGTACGTGGATATTCTTTGCAAATATAAAGGAGCGTGTGTGGCAAGCACAACCGCAAAAATATGTCATAATATTTGCTTTTTACTGAACCGCCGGCATATAATAGATTTCAACCCCGCTGTAGTTGTTATGACTGAGCGAAGCGATTTATATTATTTCTCGTACACGAGTACGGACAGGCGAATATGGCGGTGGTGGTGTGCCTTCCTTTTTGCTGTTTACAAGTCACGTGTTTAACATAAAATTTAAATAAAAATCGCATACAATATGTAAACAGTTATATGTACTTCCTGTGCTGTGCTGTGTAGTGCTGTGTGGCTGGCTGCTCCTTCAGTGAAATGTGTCTCCTGTTCTATGCTCTGGCGACTGCTTCCCTTTCCAGCTGTACCAATCGTCTGGCTGTCGGCGTCTGGCCTGTTTGTAATTTCCGTCTGTTAACACAATTTACCAAAATTTAGCCACGAAATTTGGCCTCCCATCCACTCCGACTCCCACTCCCACTCCCGCTCCGCTCCACTCCATTCCCATTGCCATTGCCATTTACCAACTGAATCAGGCAAAATCTTATGCGGATAAGCCGCCAACATATATAAATTTTATGCAAATGGCAGACTCTACTTTTTTCCATTACAAGTGCAGAATAATTCAGGATTGGATAGTAACGTGAAAGTTCGTTTTACTGGAACTGCTCCGCCAGATTCATTTGTCGCACAATTGTGATAATGCTGAAAGCAAATTTGGCCACCTAAAAACGATGGCCAACCGAAAGAGCACCAGAGATTATCAGCCATCGAAATCTGTTCAAATGTGAATTGAGCAAAATTCGCAGCATACAAAACTTACGCTTATGTTCGTGCTCATGCAAATGGGAAATATGCCACCGGCAATAAACATAGTCGGGTGCTGGACATTGTGAAGGAAATAGACCAGGGTGGCCTTGTAGCGCGGCTCGGCATCCACCCAATTGGATTGGAAAATTGTGTTGGCCAAATCCTCGGCGTCGTCGATGAGTAGATTGCAGGTATAGCAGAAGGGAAATGTCTGCAGCAGGATCGTGAGTACAAACAGAAAGGAGGCCACGCCCTTCCAGAAGTTCGAGAAGAAGAACACATTGATCAGAGTGAGACCCAACACGGATCCAATCAGCGTAAACTGCACAAAGATTGTGCGGGTAATAATGGGACGGATCATGTCGCAGCATCTGGGAAAAAGAGGAAACCATCTTAGCCAGTCGCCATCCGCGTCCCTTTCTGTGAATGTTACCTCAGTATTGTCTTGTGATCAATCACACAATTGACCAGATCCTGATAGTTTTCCGCTTCGCTTTTATCGGGATCCGTGCGCAGAGTCCGCACATGATCCTTCAGCACATCCATGTGGGCCCGAAAGATCATGGTGTACATGAGGGGATATATGTCGGCCAGCTGGTCCTGCAGCACGACAAAGGACATGATGATATACTCGAAGATCGCCTGTATCCAGAGGCTGCCCAAGCCGTTGCGCCACTCGATAAACGGATTGTACACCGACCAGGGCGGACGACCGCTCAGCGTATACGAGAGGAACGTGGACGCCGCATAGTTGCAGTAGATGAAGGTGTAGATGAGAAAAGCATAGTTGCAGCGTGCCACCATATCGTGGATCTTCTGGCGATCGCTTTCGGTCTGCAGCCGCTTGTCCAGCGTGTCCAGCAGCTGCTCCGTCTTCCGCAGCCTCCAGATGAACAAATACGTGATCGTTGACTTCACCGATGACCCGTACACATTGATGCACACCTGCAGCGACGTGAGGAACTCGCCGGGCGAAAAGTTCTTGAACTCCTTCACATAGCTGATGACGAAGCCCAACGGCAAATAGAACACCCCAAAGACGAACGGCACGCAGGTCCAGAAAAGGTAGACATACCGGAGTACTCCCTCCTTGGGCGGTGTCCAGCCGATCAGCCACATGGCCCTGTGAAAATAAATGTTCGCCTCGCGAGACTTGACGGACTGCGTCAGCGGAGCCGGATTTATCAGCTCAAACAACACCATTTTCAGCTTGCCGCCCAGTGCCCAGTGTTCGAGGACTCCGTGTCGCATGTCAGTTTTATAGCCCGTGATATTTGGACAGGTGCTCGCGGTTCACTCTGCCAGGCACGCCCTGGCCCACGACACGGTGGTCTCTGGCCTGTAATTAGACCCAACAATCGGCCATGTAAAGTGCCAGCCAATGATTTATTATTAAAGTACGAATAAAGCTGCCAACAGCCAAGTGCCAACTGCCAAGTGCCAATTAGACAGAATTGGTAAATAACTCAATAAAGGATTAGGTTTGCTCTTAAATCTTTGATGGCAGATGGGTGGTTGGGTGTGGTTTCAGCCACTTGTAAACTCATTAGAAATTATATATCAAGTGTTTGTGCACTCGAAAGAGCTTTAGGGCCTTGTGCAAGCAAATTTAAATTCAAAGTGAAATTATTGAAGCTTACAGCAAAGGCAGAGGCAGAGTGTGGCTGCCACTAGTGCAGTTGTTGCACACATTAAACTTCCTTTCGAAACTTCTCCGCCAGATTCATTTGATTGACAATCGTGACGATGCTAAAGGCGAACTTGGCCACCGTTATGTTGCTCTGCACGGATATGGGAAAGATGGCTCCAGCCCAGAATTGTATGGGCTGCTGCACTCTGTGCAGAAAGTAAATTATTGCCGACTTGTACCGCCGTTCCGCGTCCATCCAGTTTGAGTGAAAGATGCCAAAGGCAAGCGCTTCGCAGTCCTCGATCAGCAGTTCGCAGGTCATGCAGAGCGGAAATGTTTCCGTGCAAATGGCAGCGATGAAGGTGACGTTCGACAGGGTCATCCCAATGCTGATGCTGAAGAAGAGTATGTTGACGAGCGCCAAGCCCACGACTATGCCAATCAGCATAAACTGCGTAAAGATGCTGGCCGACAGGGTGGGTCTAATAAGATCGCAGCATCTGCAACGGTCGAAAGGAGCGATGTTAAAAATACAAAAATAAAAAAATTTATGGGAGTTTTATCTGTTTACTGCACGATAGTCCGATAATCCTTGATGCAGTCCACCAGCTGCTGGTAGTTCTCCTTCTCGGTGAGCTCGGGACTGCAGCGCAGATTCGCTATGCGATCTTTGAGTATGGCCAGATGTCCGCGGAATATGGATAGAAAGACAATCGGATAGGTGTCCGATAGCAGCTCCTGCGTGACATTAATGCCAATGATGAAATATTCCAGGATCGAGGCCTCCCACAACTGCAGCGTACCCTGCCGCCAGTCAATCAGCGGATTGTACACCTGCCAGGGCGCCTTTCCCGCGTACAACGACGCGAACAGCGTCGTCGTGGTGAACCCTACGTATATGCTGTAAAAGGAAACAACAATTAGATTCGCTCGGGCCACCATCGCATGGAGTATCTGGCGCTGGTTGGGCGTCACACAACGCTCATCCAGGGGGGCAATAATTTCGTTGATCCGCCGCATGCGCCACATCTGGGAGAAGGTGAGAGACGCCTTGATCACGTTCCCAATGCAATTGATGTCCACCTGCACCGAGGTGAGGAACTCGCTCGCCGCAAACTTGTCAAAGTGCACCACATACGTGAGGGTAAGTCCCACCGGCAGCCACACACCCAGCAGCATGGTTGTGCAGGTCCACAGAAAATATGCCCATCGATGCAGTCCCGATGCCGCCTTGGGCGGCACCCAGCCCAACCCGGTGGCTACGCGATACAAATACACGCAGGCGTCCTCAGAGGCGACGCTCTCGGTGAGTGGCACCAGGCGTAGGCGTTCAAAGAGCGATTTCTTCATCTTTTGAGGTAATTTCCCACCGCAAAAGGTTTTATATACGAGTATCGGGCGAAGCAGCAGATCCCTGATAGGTTTTTAATGACTCGTCATTTTTGGTTTATTCATTGGACAACGGCCCAATGTCTCAATCGTGGCTCAATGTTTGCCCATTTATAAAGACATTAGGCAATCCTGCACTCAAGCTGCAAAAATCCCCCAATAATTTCCCTCTGTGTGGATGCCACGTTGCATTCTGGAGGCATATCGATTCGTGGGTGTTCTATAATTACAGATTGCATAATGGATCAACGCTATTCAAAACGCTTTCTGAGTATTAACCCTCCCCCTCACTCTTTCCATTGCAGCCTTCCATCTGTATTCGAACCGCACCGAGGAGCGCATTGAGACCGATACGCTGGCTGTTAAATATGAGGATGGAAGATGGTCGAAACCGTATTACGATTGCGGCGGTGGCAATATTTGGATGCTAACCTATACGGTCCCATTCTTTGGCTATGAGAATGGCAGCTATCACTTCAAGTAAGTAAGCCCCCCCCAAAAACAATGGCTGGCGCCTGCAAATGGCTGCACATGACTGGTGGTACGCCATCCAGATGAGCATTCATTCTATAAATAATTCACAGCCGAGTGGAATTTGAAAAGGAAACTGCATTGGCCCCGAAAAGTGCCACCAGAGCGATTTTCCAAGCCAGGACGAGGAGACAAAGACGCTTAGAAAACTATGATGAAGCGCCAAAGTCAGCTATCTGGCTTTTGTCTGTTGCGTGGAGGAGTCCTCCTCCTCCTCCCCCCCCTACACTGTAAATAGCAAAAGTAATTGAATAGCTGAATGACTGTTTTTACTCAGCTTGGCTCTAGGTCCCGGTGGCACGTGCAATGTGCTTTAAGTTTTAGGACTTTCCCTTCCTTCGAACAACCATCGACAGTGGTGCGGGGCTCTCTGTTGGACTGATAGGAAATTTTGCTCACGCACCGTTCCAAATGGAATACGTTAAAAGAGTGGAGTGCACAACATTCTTATGAAACTTTACCGCGTGCTGTTTTTCTTGATTCTTTTCATCATCTTCCGCATTTGAAGTAATTTTCAATTTTATCTCCTTTTTTTGCACCCCACCCCCACGACATAGTTCCCTTTGGCTTCGCTTATTTTTTTTTTTCCTTTTTTTGCGAACTTTTTCAATTGAATGTGGAAATGGTGAAAAAGTTGGCCAAAAAGGAAGAGAACTCGGAAAAGACGAAAACCGAAAGAAATTACAAGTGGAACTCGTTGAGCAAGTTATGTAGTTTGATGGTAAATTGATTGATGATGCTCTTTGGCGCATGGCACAGATCAATAAATTTCAAAACTGCTGCCTCCCTTTTTGGAATATTTAATTAATTCCACGCACAGGACTTTGAGTCTATTCTTTTTTCATTAAATTTGTTAAATCAGCCGTGAGGGCGTTAGTCTCTCTCTATTAGAAATTCTTACATTTTCCAGCCTAAGCGGCTTAACGAAGCCCCACGAAAGCCCAGTTTGCAGCTTTGATGAATTACTGACAGTGAGGCCCGTTCCATCAGCATAATGACAACTGCTACTGCTTGTGGATGAAAAGCATTTAGCATATTTATGACTAAATGGCCCAGCCCATTGGATGCCACTCAGGATGCCACTCAGGCATCTCTACCAACGATTAGTCGTCACTCATCATCGTTGTCTGCGCTGATTCCACTGCCATTGCTAATGCCACTTTCCCTCTACTCCATCCATAATTTCAATTATCACTTGGCTTGCCAGCAGAACCAAGAAGTCTGACAACAGACAGCAAGTAAACGTCAAGCCACAACAGAAAGAACAAAACACATTTTGGCCAGCCAACTATTTTCACTTAGTGGCCGAGCTGGTGTTGGCATAACGCAGCAATTTTGTGGCTGCCGCAGTCTAAGGAGGGGAGATAAATGCTCATCTGTTTTTGTTATCTTAAAGTTTGCTGCGAGTGAGGGAGGAGCTGTGGGCAAGCTATTTATTCAATATAAACAAATCTTCGTTCTCAACCATATACCTCTCGTAGTTGGCGGTTGTGGCCTCACCTTCCTGTGGCGGCTTGTAGCAGTAGCAGGGATACACCATCCGCACTTCATGCCACTCGGGTGTGGCCCCCGGCACGGCAGTTGTGGTGAAACGAAATCTCTGACGCCCTGCAAGTGCTTCCCCCTTGAGTGGCTAATAACAAGCAGGCCTCTAGCAGGCCAACTACTCGTACTCACATTTCGATTGGTAATATTGCTCCTGCCACCAGGACAAAGGCTTCTGGCGTTGTTGCTGCATTCCATCGGACAGCGCAGCTGCTGTCAGCGAGCAGAAGAGTATTAGCTGCATGAATGACATTTCCCCACTGAAACATTCCACAGCGCTGCAGCTTTCCACTGCTGTCAGTGCCTGTCCAATCCATTAGATTGCGCACGATACACGTACTTAGCGTTTAAAATGTAATTACACTGGGCCCATGGATGATCCATATGCGAATGATGCCGTTTGGTTGTGGGCCAGAAAAGCTTTCAACCCGCCAGCTCTCAGGTGGGAGGGCAGACCGCGTTTTCTAAATTGAATTAAAGCAATCAATTATAAAACCCACAGCCCACACTTGGTACGCCTACTTAGCGCTCAATGACTTTCTACGCTCAATAAATTTCACATGTAACTAGCGACAGGCCCAGGGAGAGGAAGTGGTAGAGGGACGCCCACTATCTGCCGCCGATGTCGGAAGCTCGGCAACTGCCTGCAATTAGTTGCAACATAAATTTGGTCTGCCCTAATGGACGGAAGCGCACAGTGGTACGCAGAACAGTTTAAAAATAAGTGCTAAAATCATTCGATATTCGCAGTGGCAAACGTGCGACTGGAGTGCTTGTGCCAGGAGTACTTAATTGACCAAATTTAAGCGTATTAAGTTGTATTATCATCCGATATGAATTTGCATACATTCCATTAGTTTTACCGACTTCATGACCCTCGACCACTGTGTGCTGGAGAGGAAAATTAATGTGCAAATGTTAAAAGTTCGTTAGTTGAGTTCATTTGAGTTTGGTCCCAGTGCTGCAGGTTTTAGATGCAGTCTCTGGCCACGTCCCCGGGGCTCGCTCCTTGTCAAACAAAGCCCCCTTTTGTTTCAGCAGCTTAGGCGGGACGAGACTGTCGGAGGACAGCCCGAAAGTGAACGGCAAAAAAATGTGAGCTAGCGGAGGGAAAAGTTTTTGCGGCTGGACTAGGACCAGCGACTGGAACAGCTCCCGGCATCCTTGCATCCCCAGCCATGTATCCATGTCCGTGTCCGGCTCATGTTAATAATGTTCTGCTATCAGTTGCCTATTAGTTGGGGAAATTAATTTGTTTACGTGGTAGCGGAAGCGCAAAAAATAAAACAAAGGAAGAATGCAAAAAAAATTTAAAAAAAAGAGACAGAGCGGGGGCGAGCGAAAACTTTTCCTAATTGATTTAATTTGCTATGCGGTGTGTGTGGCAGCTGACTGATTTTTCTCTTAGCTCCATGAAATACATATGCAGAGCAGGCAGACGAGGATAAGCAGCCTGAACATGAAGTTAAAGCTAAAGATTATTATAAATTATTTGGCCAAACGAAATGGTGCATTAGTCCGCCCAGCAATGGCAAAGCCCAAAGCACAAATCACATTAGCCGCCCGCTGTGAGCGAACGCCAAGGGACATGGCCCCCCACTGGGGCAATAATTTTATTTGATTTCATTTAAGCAGCAGCAGTAAACTTTCAATATTAAAACGGAGACGACTGTGAAGCTGGTACAGCAAGAATGACAGAGCCGGTGAATGTGTAAGCCGTAATCCCAGCATTGTATTTATTTGACTTATGCTGCAATATTGCCTGCCTTTGCCTTCCCTTCGACCCACTTCACAGATATAGAGCTACTGTATGTGCTATGCCCTGCTCTCTGGCAAAGCATAATGAGGCAAACGGAAACGGAAATATCAAATATCAGGCAATAAGCAAGCCTTGTGTTGCAGTGCCTGGATGCTGCTGCTTGTTATCCTGTTGCAACTTCAACGTCTGAATGTGGACTTGATTATAAATTCTCGTATATGCATGTGTACCTATGTTTCCATAGCATTTCCATGTACTTTACTTGGGCCAACATAACTGCTGCTGACAGCGCTCTAATAGAAATCTACGCATTTATTAGACATGTCTTTTGAAATATCTAAAATAATTGCTGTGCTGCGGCAACCTCAAATCAGTTGGAAATTTATGGAATCCCTTTTGATGCACCATCGAAAGTTTATGCTTTGAGGGAAAATATTTGAGAATAGCTTAGAATATTTTCTGGTTGAACTCCTTGAACCACCACATTAAAGTCAACAAAAACAAAGTTTTAGGTAACATTAAAGCGAACTAGCTCAACTAGCTCAAACAATTTTCCCCCCCCCCATCGCTGGTTGCAAATATTTTTGACATCATTTCGGGCCCATTTTCGGCAGCGTAGGCATTGGCATTTATGAGCCGCCGCAAACTGTGCCATCGAGGTGCAAACTACAAAACTGATTATGTGCATTAGTAGCGGGCTGACGTGTCAGCCACAACCGAAAACGGGGCGTATACGTAGTGCCACACAAATGAGTTGCTTACAAACTGGTTACAAAACTGCGTGCGTGACAGAATGCACCCTCCTCCATGTGGGTTTTCCAGTCATAGCCATTCCGGTAGCTAGCTTTATGAACTCGGAAATGGAGCAAGTCTCAAGGGTGGTCGTGGGCGGAGGGGATGCCATCTGTATTAGCTGCCATCGCTGCCATTTTTAAATAGCTGGCACGTTCCTGAGCTGGCACGCGCGATAATAGTGGTAGTAGTAGTAGTAGTCAGAGTGGAGCATCTGTATCCTAGCTCCAAAGCTCTTCAGATGCACTTCCACTTATTCACGTAATGCGTTTGTGTTTGTTTTTGTGTTCGTGTTCGTGTGCGTGTTCGTGTGCGTGCGTGTGTGATACGTGCTCTGCATTGCAATCCACTGATTTTACGCCTCACCTAATACGTAATCCCACCTTCGTGCATATGTCCTCTAGATTCTATTGGCTGCACAAATATTTGTCTTTTAGACTTTAAAGCCATCCAAAAATTCTATTTTAGTGCGTGGATTAAATTATGCTCCCATTTCCTGAAAAAGAAACAAAATCCCATCCACATTTATGCCAAGACAAATATACAAAAATCAACAGGCAAAACCCAAACCCAAACCCCGCGTCTGTTTGCAAATATGAGAGCCGAAAAAATATATGCCAACAACTGCGTTTACGTCTCATTTGTAGGCATTAGGCATTGTGTTGGGTTCTGTGTGGGTGTGTGTGCGTAGGGATCATACATATAAATCAAGTATACGCCAGATAGGCAAACATTGTCCCATCAGCAGCAACAGCAACAGCAACAGCATCAACCGTCTCCAAAAATACTCGCAGCTTAAGGCGCAAACTAATAAATCAATATGCGACACGAACGGATATGGTCGCAGACCGGCGTCCAAACTCATTCGGGCAGCTCAATCAGCTTATTTTCTAATATCCGTTTACAAATTATCTTCAAAAACTGTCAGCAACAACAGCAACAAAGAGAGAGAGAGAGAAAAAGGACGGGCGGGTGGGCTGATGAGGGAATACCATGAAAATACAGCCACAGAAAATGGGATATATCATTCGAATACGAAAACGAATACGAACTTTAGCCAAAAGGGAAATAAGAGACACAGACAGACAGAGAGACAGAGAGATACAAATAAGTAGAAGAAAACTGAAAAAAGGTCAAACCGGATCCGGGTGCAGGACATAAAGGCGCTGGGGATCAACTGCTGGGGAATTAACATAATCATTACTATAATGTAATGATGGGCCATTGTGCAGCCAGTCCCAGGCAGCCGCTCGCTGTGCTGCTCACTTTGCAGCAGTAGCAGGCCTTTGTTGGCCCTTTTTTCCCCCTTTTGCAATCAATAAGTTGTCAGAAACAATCAAATAAATACAAACTGATATGTCAATATTAACTGACAGTCACATGAACCTACCCGGACACGGTCTCAGACTCGGACCAGAACCAGTGAACCCAGACCGAGCCTAGACCGAACACAATATTCCCGAAACCATTGAAACCCCACCCAGCCGCCAGTGGATATGAGGCAGGGACACACATAACGGCCATCTGGGGTTGCCACCAAAAAATTCGGGAAATTGAAGAGGAAACCGAAATGTTTTGCCTTGCTGCTCCTTTGGAATTACGAGCATGAAATACCCTAGAAACCGGTTAAGAAAGAGCCAGAAGAAAAGGAATTCAGGCCTGCTGAATGGGTGATTCATTCCAATTCCTGTTTCTTCTGAAAAGTTATGGGCTACCAAATAAATCCCAAGCTGATCATACCTTTTCACTTATGTGTGTCCCACCAAAGTTTCCTTTGACGTCAGTCTACCCTAGCAGAGGGACACGCGACGGGAAGGGTTTGAGGAACGGCCACAGCACCGGCAGCTGCACCGGCGTGAAAATGTGTACAATTCTGAGATTATGCGTAAAGTTCTACATGTGTTCCGGCTGCCTTCCTCGCTGCCTTTGGCTGCCGTAGGAGACTCTCTCCGACCACCATTCTGCTTAGGTATGCGTGTAATTGGGTGGCTGTCCATTTCCAGGGACGACCTTTGAGGGAGGCATACAGAATTTCAGGCAGCGCCGACAGCTTAGTGCACCCTTTTCATGGCTTTATGTCTTTGTAAAACGACAAGCAAGGAATCTTTGTTACGGCCTGTCCTGTCTCCATGTATACCCCAATGCCATTCTCCATCAACGACAGCAAGAAAATAATTTTCTGCTATTTTTCCCTGAGCTCGTTCTTCCTAGTTTATCCCTAGGCTCTGTCTGCTGTGTGTGTGTGTGTGTGTGTGCGATGGCGGTAGTCCATAGACATATGCGCAATCAAAGCAGGAATTTATTGTTTGTTATCGAATTGGCAAGGCCCCGGCAAACAAAACCCCAGACGCTGCCTGATATAGAAATAGAACTTAAGCGTGCCTCCCCGCCTTCTCCCATCCTCTGTATTTTGCACTGTCCATAAATATCGGAATATCAGCGGCTGATGGTACACACGTTTTATTGAATTGAGTTTTATAAATGGCGCCATTTGGTTTAAGTGCCGCCGCCGCCGCCCAGTTGATTCTTAAACTGACAAATTAATAACATAAATTTGTAACGCCTTTTGCTGACTCTCTCTCTCTCTCACTCTTTCTGCTCGTTGTGCTCCATTTTGCAGGGGAACATCTGGCATTGATATTGACTTGCGGCGCGTGGACATCGACCAGTGCCCGCAGCGCCACACGCCCGGCACAAAGCGGCCCCTAAACATCTTTGCCGGCACCGACAAGTGCAAGCAGCGGACCACAATGGTGAGAAACCGACAAGACCAGACCAGACCAGATTTCAAACGCCATCCGATACTCCAAAGTCAGCACAAAAATTTAATTTCTCCATTTTTACATCTTTCCATTTTCCCATCTCCAACTGCCTGCAGTGTGAGGCCATCATGGGCCTGGGCTTTCGACGCGGCTCCTACAAATGCCTCTGTCGCAAGGGATTCTACTTCCCCGACGTGGTGTCGATCCACAAGTTCTTCAATGGCAGCCTGCTGGAGGAGGAATACGAGAAGCTGATGCTGGTAAGTGCTGACTCAAGTGCTGAGCGAAATTCCCACTCATTAAATATGTATTAGGGAAAGAACTCCACGTACAACAGCAACAGCGAGTACGAGTGTCTGCCCTGCGCCGAGGGCTGTGATTCCTGCGAGGATTCGTCACCATGCATTGCCGCCCTCAACTGGCCGATGCGCGCCAGCATCCTGGCACTGGCATGCATTGTCATTGGCCTCCTGCCGCCAGCGGCCTGGTTTACGTTTCGCTATCAGCAAGTTAAGGTAAGTTAAGGTTCGCTCAATCACAATCGGATAAAGTACTTCCGAAGATACAGTTCTGATGGAATTTAAAGCATTGACAAATCTTGTTAACTCCGAATCAGTAATGGGTAATCATTATAATAGCATTATGCTGCTGTGGCAAGTATTTTTTTGTGGAAATTGTTCTCGCTGTCAAATTCCTCTGATCCCGGACAAGGCCAACCAAAGCTGCTGCCATCATTGAGCCACTAAGCGGCTTAGCATTGTTAGATTCGAGTTAATTTGGTACGTGCCGCCAGGGACTCGTCCTGCATTCTGATGACAGCCGGCAGCAAACCAACAGGACAACGGATATTGTCGCGCATAAGCGGAAGTGCAAACATCCACACAACTGTCGACTTCCACTTTCACGACAGAAGGGAAAGGCGAAGTCAGAGGCACCGCCCTGGACAGTTCACTTCGAGTGTCACCCGGACGCTCATTAAGCCCATGAACAAGCTCAGCCATCGTCCAATTGTCTCTGGCGTATAGTTTTAAACCATTTTCAACTTTCCACTGGAGGAATAATGTTGGGGCAAGTGAGTTATTCAGCGTCCCCATGTTGCTGTCTGACATTTGTGTGGATCCCAGCCCACCAGGCCCCCAGGCCACCAACACACTCCAGCCCTCAGTGCACTCCAGGCCAACTCTCGCGTTCCACTTGCCTGCGTCCCAAGGCAACTAGCCAACTAAACTGTTTTCATTCGTAATACGATTCAGTCGCATTTGTGTCTATGTGGTTGTTCTCTCTCTCTCTCTCTCTCGAGTGCTCGAGTGTGTGTGTGTCCAAACTAATTAAATGGCGCTAAACATGCCACACGACATTTGCCAAGTGTGCGAACAACTCGACTCCGTCTCGGCACTTGGCACTACTTTTTCTTCCTTTGTTCTTCTTGGGTCTCCTTCTGGCTGTCTCTCTCTCTCTCTCTTTGTGAAATTGTGCGACTAAAACGATTTCAATTTAAATTTCAAAAGTTCTTTCACACAAACTGCTACACATGAGTTATTCCCTCAAAGGAAAAATTAAAAATATTTTTGTTTGCAGGTTGTACGAGCCGCCAGTCCCGCATTGTTGCGGGTCATTGCGTTGGGTGCCTTCTTCATTTATTGCACGGTAAGCATTAATTCTCGGTGTTATTTATTTGAAAATGCACATTCAAGCATAAATTGAAGGTATTATTATGCGATCCACGCACTGCAAACATTTTAGAATAGAAAAAATATCTGTTGCAAATTATAGTGGCTCCAGCGGTTTGTATGCTGAATGCTGGTCGATTCCGACGGGGAAACATTCAAAAATTCGAAACCATAAATCGCCCCAAAATAATTTCATATATTCATCAGTCCGTGCAAAGACAAATGAGTGGGAGAAAAACGTTTGGCAGTGAATGAGCGACAGACAGAGCTGCAGAGGGAGCGGTCTGCCGCTTGAACCCAATTCCCATCAATTTCTGAACAATTTAATTTGATTGATTTATGGGAAGCGTCGAAAGCTAATGGAATACTGGCCAAATAAACAACTTTAAACGAGAGAGAGAGTTCATCGAACACTCGCTTGCCGACATGGGGCCGACATGGGTGAAGCTGAGGATTTATTTATCTATTGCTGATTTATTCAGCCGCCATGAGTGGCACACAAACACACAAGACACACGATACACAATAGATGTGTCCTAGAGACGAGAATATATATTTTTGGACATTTTTTTTTTGTCTCTGGCTGTGTGCGTGTGTTTATTATATTTCTTTGTTATTCTTTATGGATTTTTGTTTGTAAAAGGTGAAAATTATAATAGAATTATAATCCTCGCCCACATAAATATATCGCACTTGGAAACTTGACAACTTTAAAGAGAATTTCAAATGTAATAATTTAAATGCATAAAATTGTCACTTTTTTGCGTACTTTGTTTGCATTTTTATTTTTATATATCGTATCATCCACGGTTTTTTTTTTTGTTTTGTTTCGTCTGTCCATTGCAGAACATTGTGATGTATCCGAATCCGAATCTCTACACCTGTACCGCTCGCATCTGGCTGCGAGAGATTGGCTTCTCCCTCACCTATGGCGCTCTAATGCTGAAGACCTGGAGGTGAGTAATGATGTGAATATTGTTTGGTGATGCAGATGTTGATATGTGAAAACTCTCTTGTAATTCTTTTATATTCGTTTACATAGAATATCAGTGATTTTTCGTGTACGCTCCGCCAAAGCTGTCAAAATCACCGATGCCGCTCTGCTGAAGCGTTTGGGAATCATTTGCGGTGCCATTGGCACCTGTCTGCTGGTGAGGACACTCGTATCGCCGCCAGATGTGGTTGTGGGACGCACCGCCGATGACCTGAAGGCGTTCCTATGCAAGACCGACTGGTGGGACTATTCATTCACATCGAGTAAGTCCATCACTCCATTCCTCATCATTGGGGAGTGATATTAATATTTCCGCACTTGAGGCACTGCTCACTGTCCAAAAGCCAATAGCCAATAGAAAACAAAAAAAGGGCAATGCGCACGTTGCTCATACGCACTGTGTGCTGCAACATATGAATTGCAAAAAGGGAAATGGAGAAGAAAAGAAAAGCAAATAGCGTTCCGCTGCCAATGGACGGCAGCTTATGGCTGCTCCACCTCCACTCTCTTCCAGTTTACTTTACGCAACTGCCTGGGGAGGCTTAAAGGGAATTCCATATTTGCATCCACACAGCTGTGTGTGCCGACCAAAGGCATGTGCAATGTACATATGAATATGCAGGCATTTTTTCGTTGCCTTGTGGTAGGCATGCCCGAGGGCCTGCATATGCTGAACTGAAGACGGATAAGACTGGGCATAAGCGCTGGCTTTGCTGTGTCTGGTCTCGTCTCGTTTCGCTTAATTAAAAAAGTTTAGGGATGGCGAACTTGAAGCACTTTCCATCATTGTATCCTTGGGATACCATGGCATATGGACAGACAAACGGCAGACTCTCGCATAGTAGATATAGACAACAATTATCGTTGATTCTTGCACTGCTGCGCCAGTCACGCACTTTGACGGCACACAGATGCTAAATAACTTAATTTTCTGTCGCTGTTGCTGTTGCTGCATGCATAGAGAGGCACGTAGCGCGTATTACGTATTTTTAATTGCACGCAGCATGCAGCATGCTGCGCCATCACCTTCTCGTTCCCTTTCTTAGTTCCCTTGTTGAAAGAGTTTATTGCTTAAAAAGTGTATGCTGTGTTTTTTTATGACTTTCCTGTGCCCTGGTGGCTCGTTCACTTTCATTTCACTCGCAAATATCGCAGATTCTCTTGCTATTTCCATGCCACTGCCTCTCATGCTTTTTGCTTAACAGCAACAGAGGGGGAAAATGAAAATGATAACGTAATTACTTTTCTCTTTGCTAATTAATGTACAAAATGTGAGCGGCGAGGCCATTGAAGTGCACAAAGGAACTAATCCTTGCTTCCTTACCCATTACTCTTTCCCGCGCTCTTTGCAGTGGAGGTACTGTTCCTGGCCTGGGGCGTGCGACTGTGCATCATGGTGCGGAAGGCTCCGTCCGAGTTCAACGAAAGCCGCTTCATATCGATGGCCATCTACAATGAGTTCCTGCTCACCTGCTTCCTCAACGTGTCCATGTAAGTGCGGTGAATCGCAAGAGCAACATACGTACACCATGCCTGGACAAATTCTATCCTTTCCAATTACTTTCTTTCTCTCTGTCTCTCTCTCTCTCTCTATCTCTCTGTGACAGGTTGTTCCTGCAGTCGCCGGCCAATCCGGATCTCCTGTACATCATCTTCTTCTGCCACACCCAACTGACGGTGACCCTGTTGCTGGCCCTTATCTTTGGCAGCAAGGTGAGTCTCTCCCTCTGCATCTGCCTCTCCCTCCCATTGTTCCATTTTCTGACTCTGGATCCTTGTGTTTCATCTTTTGTTTTGGCAGGTGTACATCGTGCTGCGCAGTGGCAAATCGCATCAGGAGAACATCGGTATGGGCACCAAAGCATCCGGAGCCAAATTCAATTTTCGTCCCCAAGTCCGGACCTTTGCCAATCCGAGTTCGGTGACCACCTCAACGGTACCAGTGGCGGGCACCACGTCAGCAGGTGAGTCCTAAGTCTAGCGATAACAGCCAATTGCCTCATTTGTCCTAATGGACAGACCATATCGACACTTATGACAAACGACAGTGTCCACTTGACAAATGTTCAGCGCAGACAGATTGCCTGCAACACAAACAGTGGAAGGCAGAATAGCGAATGGCGAATGGCGATTGGGGAATGGCAAATGAAGGTCTGCCGATGAAGTCTTCTCCTGCCCAGACTCTCGTGCTTTATTTATGTCATATTATTTGGCAAATTAAAAAATGAGTGAAATAGGCAACGGTATGGCATCACTTTGCTTCTTATCTCTCCTGTCTAGACACGAGTCATGTGGTGCGAGATGGGAGTACATGGTCCTAGCCATATCTAGTGACAGCTTTGACTTCTGATTTATGTGCTTTAGCTCATACAAAAAACAGTCTTAGCAGTCTCCTCTGCGGTTAGCTCAAGGGACTCTGTGTGCTTGAGTATGTGCGCTCGTGTGTGCGTGTTTCCGAGGAAGGAAATAGCTACGAAGCGCAAACTTCCGCCAAGCTGCCGCCGACGCCATATTTGTTTATCGCTTCGCTGGCTTTGATGTATAAACAACTACGAGTATGTGTACCATTTGTGGCATCTCTGGCAGGGCAGTCAAGTGAGCCATCATCCACAACGAGGATGCTGGGGCTGCTGTTGGTGTTGGTGCTGGTGCCAGTGGGTAGTGGTGGATGCAGATGCAGTTGGTTGTTGTGTTGGCCAATTAAGTTTGGCAAGTTCTACTTTAAATTTTGGTCCACCACAAGGCATCAACGCTGATTCGATGGCTGGTGCGAATAAGTACTTCTCTCAGCGCAAAAGGACAGCCATAGATCATGTGATACCATGGCAACTTTATTTAATAGTAACTGTAACTGTAACTGGCAGTAAGAAATTCAGTTGAATAACAATTTAATCAGAGTTTCAGAGAATGTACAGACATTTTATTTCCAGTTGAATATTTTTTAAAATATTTTTCCCCATAAGCAGACTGCATGTCCCTCTTGACATGGACGGAAATAGTATGAATATGAGTATACGAGAATTTTTGTTTGGTTTCGTTGAATGCCACTCAACCACATTCTAATGGACATTGAGCAGTGATTCCCTTTCAAATTCTTGAACATATATAAATAACTTTAACGAGAGGAAAGCTATGTGCCTCTTAGCAGATCTTCTCGGAGTTTACAGGCTCTGATGCTGTCCTTAGAGACGTTCTAGTCCCCGCATTATTATCGCAGGGTCTCTTATTGGGTTTCATGGCGAACCTTTTTCATTTGCAACGCTCTCAGCATTTTATTGCGAGAGAGCGACGCTTTATGTTTTAATGCTTTATGACCACTCGGCCTCTCTCTCTTTCTATCTCTCAGTGGGAGCACGGCTTTTATTTAATTTTTTATTACTCGTATTTCTATTCTAACACAAAACCTTAGCCATTTTTGTGGCTGCGTAAATTGTGCGTTAAATTTACATTTTTTTTCTGTTTTTTGGGGCCTTCATTTTGCTACTTTATACGCGAGATTTTTTTTTTTTTTTTGTTTGTTGGTACTAGTCGACTTTTTTAAGCGGCTCTCAATTTGCATATTTAAATTGAACAATCACAAAATAGCAAACACTCACCATCACATACACACATACACATGCAGCTGTAGCGAATTTTAAATATTTTGAAGGCGAAAAAAAGGGACAAGAGCGTGGCGGATGGTGTTGCATACTAAAATAACTGGGGGGGGGGGTGGGCTCACATAATAAATTCAATTTTTGCCACTGTCGACTGACTGCTCCACTCGACTTTCGCTTAATTTCGCAGCCATAAATCTAAATTCAGCGGCAAACAAAGCAGCAAATAAAAAAAAAAAAAAAACATTGATGCTTTTAATATACACTTCCCCGAACTGTGGCCAGTTTCGCATTCCCAGGAAGAGTGTTTCCCTTTGGCCGAATAACTTTCCAAGAATGTAGCCTCACAGAGAGAGAGAGAGTAAAGTTGAATATTTGTTTTTCTTCTCAGTATTTTGTAGTATTTGAAAGTTCGGCCTGGTTCCACTTAAATCATGCTGACAGGCTTTCAGTTGAATTGAACGGCCATTCATCATTCCGCCAACAAGGAGGGGAATGGAATCAAACCCAAGTCGTAGCCACAACAGGCTCCTCCAACTTTCGTTTCCATTTCCACAGAAGCTACATACATTACGCATTTAAATTTACGGTCTGGGATCGGATCGGTTTTGGGGATTCGGGGACGTGAAACTTTTGACATGCTCGTGGAAGTTTTTTAGTGCAAAAGTTGCTAGAGCCAAAATCATGGGAAAGGAGAGAAGAGAAGAGTGGGGGGGCAGGGTGATAGGGTGACAGGGTGAGACTGAGAGGTTTTTCCGTGGTTCGCTTTTGTTTTCTACTGTCGCAATCGCCATCCCATCTCCACGTGTAAACATATTTTTGTTCTTCATTCTCAAACAGAAAACAAATTGTCCGACCAGGAGGCTCTGGAGGAGATCCGCCAGCTGAGCATGCAACTGCAGCGTATACAGGAGATGGCACCGCCCAAGGGGGTGGCCGTGATGACGATATCGAGTCTGCTCGATGGACTCAAGACCTCCGGTGGCATGATGGCCGTGGCAGCCGGACATGCGGCAGCGCGTCAAAGTGCCCTGCCACTGTTGGCTTTGAATGCGGAGATGCAGAAATACAATCAGCAGAACATCAATGCGAATGGCCGGGGTAGTGGAGTGGCAGGTGGTGGCAGTGGCCGGACAAGCATACCCACAATGGTACTGGAGACGCCACCGTCGTCCACGCCACCCTCGACGGCGTACGAGGAGCGGGCCATCAATACCGAGCTTAGCGGTGACGACTTCCGGGAGCAGCTGCTCCGTCGCACCGCCGACGGTCACATCATCTGCAGCCGCTGCCTGGACGCGTCCAAGGAGCACTACTACTGCTGTCCGCCGCGCAGTGCCTGCGACCACATGGGCTCGCCGCAGCAGGAGGGCAGCATCAGCTTCGCCAACATCAAGCTGGACTGCATGTGCTCGCAGTCGGAGGACCTCGACCAGGACTACATGCTGCGGCAGCGGCGTCCGGCCGTGCGCTCGGCAGCCACCAACACACCTCCCCCCAGCTGTAAGCGTGGCCCCCGAAACCTGCTCGAGGCCGACGTCTGCATTACGTATCAAATTTGTGATAACTGTAGAAGTAAGTATAAGCTTAGTGGCCGCCGGCGCAGCGGCAGTTGCACCCAGGCCCAGGCCCAGACCCACAGCCACGTCCAGACGAGCGGCGGAGTTGGCGCCACGGTTCAGAGCCAGGTGCAGTCGCGCAGCAGCGAGCTGCTTCTCGATCGCAGTGTGAGCTTAGCCGTGGCCAAGGCAGCGCATTCCACAGACGACATTGTCCTCTACACCAGCTCCACCAAAGAGGAGGATAAGGAGGAGGAGTTGCCCCAGTTGGCACCTGATCCTGCCCCGGCGCCCTCGCTGGGCAATGTGTCCAATGCTTCGAACAACTCCACCAGCCAGACGGACAAGACAAATGGCAGTGGTGGAACAACGCGTCCCAAGCGGCCGGATAAGTTGGTTTTGGATCTGAACGACCGTTCAAAATACACCAAAGAGGTTTCTGTATAAAGATTTAGCAGAGGTAAAGCTAGTGGAGTGTCAAGCCAATGGTTCTGCAGGAGTTTCAAACTCTCAAAAGGTTTTTCAGAGGCTTTAGGTTGAACCGCGCTGCCTGGCATTCCTGTTGGCAATTGAAAATAGTTTATGTTTACGCAAATTGAATAACCAAAGACTTTAATAAATTGTATTTCCATAGCCACTTGTGTAGATATCGTTACGATTGAGCTAAGCCCTAAAACCACATAGATATAAGACATGCCCAGGGCCTAAAACACCTGACTTTAGTGAAAGGACAGTGAAGGATGGGTGTGGGTGTGAGAGTGGGAGTGGGAGTGGGAGCGTCAGGGATTTGCATTGCTAGGCAAAATGTTTTGCAGCTATAATGAGCCCTTAAATGCTGTGAATATATTTTGCCCAAGGCAAACGCAAACCCATGCAAGACAAACAAACCAAAATGCCACAGACTCAGAGCACCCACATGCATAAATAGACACAACATTTTGCTGAAAGTCATGTGTTTAAGCTGGCTATTTAATTGAATTTACATTTCATGCATGTGAATAATTGCAACTAAATTGCTTACTAATTGAAAACGGCATCGAATCATTTCCGATAGTTGTTCAAATTATACTGACGCTGAAATGCATTTGCTGTTTAATTAATTAAGTCATATTTAAGTGTCAATCTATTCAAAATAAAATACTAAACAACTTTCCAACGCAGCTCTTTCTGTAAAATATAAAATATATGATAAATGTGGATGGAAACTGTTTAATATACATATCTCTGCCAAAACAAAACAAAAACTGCATGTAAAAACCAAAACAAGTATGCAAAATTAAATCAAATTTAGATGTAATTGTATTTACAAATATCTGATTATTAATTAGTTAATTAGTATACAATTAGCTGCAATATTATAAATAATTCCAAATAATACACACATTACTACTTCAAATGCAAGCAATTGTAAAATACAAAATATTTATTGTATTTATTGTTTGTATTGTAGTTACGCATTGCTGTTATTAAGTGGAAAATACATTAAATGTATGGCTTAAATGTTGTTTAAAGCAATTCAATAAATGGTGAATAATATGGATGTACGAAGGCTTTTTCTTTCGATACAGCATCAGCTCAACACCAGCAGCTCACCTCAAACCGTGCATCGCCTGACAGCTTAATTAAGCATACGCAGCGTGGAACAACTTTAACAACACTTCAGCACCTTATCGTAGCAGGCACTGCAATTTGAGTGTAGTACGCACCCCTGCAGAGTGTATCTGACCCCGCCTATCTATCCCATGTGTGGGTGGGTGTGCCAGTGGCGATGAAGAGTGTTGTCGTCTTTCTTACGCTTTATGAGCACGTTATGGCTTTTATCTTTATGGACATGCCTGTGTGTGACCCTTTTTGCCATTTATGTCTGCCATTCTGAAAATGCCTTTTCAACTCTCTCCCACACACACACGCAGAGTCGCACACTGATACACACACTAAGGCACTTATACTCGTACAATGTAACTGTTTCGCAGGAGACGTTAATTTAAATGTTTTACGGCCTGCCGTCGCGCCGGTTCCGCCCCATCGGATGTTGTTTTGTTTCCTGTTCTCTCCTGTTTTGTTTTGTTTTGTTTGGTTTTCCCTTTCTGTTTGTGTTTCAAATTAAAATTTTCCTTAGGAAGCCCTCCTCAATCCATCCATACCTCACCCCGCTACTCGGGGTGCTATCAGCACAGTAAAGGACTTCCAGGATGTGTGCGTGGCTGTGTATTGAATGTTAAGGCGAGAAGTCATTTAAAGCGGCACGTTCTCGAGTTTTCCTTAAATTGAAATTCAATCATTTCACTCCAACAAATATGCCTGAATAAATATGTCTGCCATGGATATACAGAAATACTCATATATAAATTTTTACTGCTGCTTTTTTTTTTGGGCTTATTTACTCGCACAAACAAAAACTTTTACTTTTGCAGTTCAAGCCCGTGACGCCATTAATTAAACTTTCAGCATATGCGCCTGCCGCATGCCCCAGCTACCCAGGACAATAGTAAGAGCTGCTAAAAGACAGACAGGCAGATCGGAGCGAAGCGGAGTGGAGTGGAGTGCAGTGGAAGGCAAAGAGAGCTGAGAGAGTCTGAAATTCCGCTGAAATAAGCGTATACGTAATCGGGGCATTTTCCACTGCTAACGACTGTCGCCGGAAAGAGGTTTTTATTTTTATTAACATTTGCATTGCCATGGAAAAGCGAAAATATGGGCATTAATTGGTTCAATTGGAGTCCACCATCCGCGCTTACAGCCCTGAGTCCTACGGTAGCTTTTGTTTCCCCCCATTAAAAACCAAACGTTTTCATGGTAATTAAAATCACTTTTCCACACGACCAGAACAAAGGGCTTAAACAATTGTCTGGTACGGTAAACGGTGTAAAATAGTTTTACAATTGAAATGTATTTGTATAGGTACTAGCTACAGATTGTTGATATGCTAGTTGGTTTCCAGTGGATATACAAATATCACTTTAATCATTGCAATAAATCTGCGATAAATTAACCAGGACTATCAGTTGATAATGTAAATCACTCCAGTAGACTGCTTTGATTGCGTCTCGTACCTGAAGCCAGCCAGCAATGTGTGTAACTTTTGGAAACTTAAAGTTCAATGCCTAAATACACATTTCATTAGATTCAAGGGCCTGAGGCCTGTGTGCGAGGTGCTTCAGCTCAGCGGCTTGTTGCTCGTGCGACTTTTTGCCAGTACACCAAAAAGTCGAAGCCAAAAACTTCATCTCCCTCAAAAACTGGATCATAAATTTCAAAGCGAAATGAGTGGAAAAGGGACGATGCTGCAGGGACGATGTAAGTGAGAAAAATGCTCTGCGTACTTTGCCAGAGACGGAGCGCAGCGGAGGTCGTTCTCTAAACAATGATAATGGAATTTAGCAGAAAACCCAAATTGCTTTTTTCGTCGTCGGCTGGCAATTGCAAAATCTTGAACAGTGGCTCGAACATATTTATTTCCATGTCGTTGTCGATGCCGATGCCGATGCCGTTGCTGGTGTTTGATGGCTGACATTGGGCTGGTTTGGTTCGCTTTTGATTATGGCCTGGCCTGGCCTGGCCTGGTCCCTGTCCCCCAATCGTCTAAATGTATGTGGGTTATTTGAGCATTTTTTCCATCACTTAATTACGGCAATAAATGCCAATGGCAATTTCTTTGGCATTAAATAAAAACATGTTAACGACTTGCCAAGCCTGAAAAGAACAAAAAGCGATGAGAAATAATAAAAAGAAACGAATGGCAAAAAGGCAAACAAACGCACTCACACATATCTGGGAATCGGGCTGGGCTGGGCTGGGCTATGATAGGGTAACATGCTGTTGGCATGGACACCGCTTGTTGGCTCACGTGCTGCTGGGCATGGAGCCAATTAAAATTAAAGTAGGCTCGCACCCGGGCACCGTCTCTAGGCGTGTGTGTGCGCGTGCCAGAGGGTACTACCAAGAACAATAAAATTAAATTGCTCAACACCTTATTAACATTAACAGCAGATGGCTCAGTGCCCAAATTCCCATACGACTTGTTTCCTTTAGCTTTTACTGATGTTTTTTTTTTGCTCCCTTGGGTGTTGTGTCGAATCGCTTTTCAGAACTTTGAAACTGAGACTTCGATTCCTATAAAAAAAATATTCACGTATTATTTTTAATATTATTATAAGTTAAGTACACAGACAAAAATAGAACGAGCTCCGCCAGCGCAGATGCAGGTAACCTTAAGCATATATATGTATGTATGCCCTGTTTATTTGTTAAATTTAATTGGTGATTTTAATTGCTTTTCATGGGTCGTAAGTCCCCATCTCGTGTGCGAAGAGGGGCCAATGATAGCTTTATCTGCTGCTGTCCTATTTACACAGACATAATTCAACAAAAAATATTGCACAAATATTTCAAGGATATTTGCATTTGCATTTGTGTGTGTGTGTTTGTGTGTGTGTGTATGTGTGTGTGGATGTATGGAAGTCAGATCACACGATGCTACTCACAAAATATTTGTATTGCATTGTAAACACGCTGACTAACTCATAAACTTCAGTGGGTTCATATCTTGTCCTGTCAGCCATTGAATGGAAATGGAATTCTTACACCACTGCATCTTGTTTGGCACACCACTGAAATTCTTTAAACGTAGACGTTATATGCACCACACACAATTGCATTTATGTGCATACGTGAATTGCATTAGAAAGCTGCCGGCACATAAACTAAATCTGCCTCAAGTGCAAAGATCACAGTCCCCCACCCACACCTGACAGGAACAGTAGGACAGGCACAGATGGGGAGCTGACTGAGTGGTGAGGGGTTGGTTGGGTATCCATTTGCATTAGAGATGAGCCCGTGATCGCTTATGCATAGCATACAGACACCATTGTTGAGGTATTACATACAGTATTTAGTAGTGGTACTCGTATTATCTTCACTGTAATACTGTTGCAATGCAACATAATTGAGCAGAAGTTCCCATCCCTGGAGTTCACGCACTCTTTCGGCCCAACAGACATGCACATCTCCAGGCAAAATTCAGACATCTCTTGGCAGTGGAAATGACAATGGCATATCACAACCAAGCTTTAGTTCCAGCTCAGCCCCAGAGCCAAGGCTTAGTGTGAGTGTGCGAATGTATTTTCTTACGTTTACGTTTAAATTTGGACGTGGTTGATGTGTCAGTTACAAGAAGCAATTGTGGAAATGTGCCGGTTGGTATATTTGGGATGAGATGTGCGATAAGCGCCAAATGCTGGATCCTAGAATAACTACAGACGTGTGAGAATGCTGAGCGAACATGTGAATGGAATGTGGAAGTGTGCAAACTACTCGGAGTATACTTTGTATACATATATACGTATGTACATATGTATATGCGAGTGGGTGTTTGTTGCCAGCTGCTGATTGAGATAGCAAAGGAAAAACTACGAGTAGGCACCAGAAACCGGCACCAAAAGTTGACAGAGACAATAGTTGTTTTTTTTTGGTTATTTGGTTTCTTATGCCCCCCATCAAGTTGAATCTTGCCTGGGGCAGGGGGCAGGGGCAGGGGCAGGAATTGAATAGCTAGCTCAATGACTTATTGGCTATAAAGGATAAATGTGTATTTGTATGATAAGTTTTTCAGGTTCGGCTTCCTATTCGTGTGCAAGAAATATACTCGTAAATGTTACACGTGTGTTTTGCCTCCATTTGCTGGCTGAAATCTTCTGGCTTGCTTTACTCTGATCAGCCATTAAATCTTCCTGCAGCTGCTGCATATATAGAGAATCATCCACTCCAATAGTTTCACTTTGATTGCATGCCATTCCCATACGAACAATAGCCAGATAAAATCATTAAATGAAGTCACTTCACATGCGTATACTTAATTTGTGTTTTGCAGAAATTTAATGTTCTGAATGAATAAAAATAAGAAGTGACATTATGAGCAGCCAACATGTCGCGACGCTTTACATACCCTACGAGATGGATATACTCTGCTGTGATTTAACCGAATTAAGATAAGTTGGAAGTACGTCTGTCTCTTACATACACACACAGGAATTCAATACATATACCCAAAAAGGAAAGTAACCAGGTGATGATGCAACAACTCGCGACGCAATGGGTCGCAGCACAAATCCGCAAAAGCGTCAAAAGTGTATGTACGAGTATGTATGTATGTATGTATATAAGTTACCTAGACAACATCCGCACTAACAACACACATCCGTATCCGTATACGCATCCGTAATCTGCCTGTTCCTCGCCCGCAAATATGCATGTATGCATGTGTAGCAAGTCGACTGCTGTTTTATGTTTTACGTATGCCGCATTTAACAATAAAAACGTGAAATGTTTTAGTGAAAAGCGCAAAAGCGGTCAAAATAAAACACACGCACACACACACACACACCTCTCTCGAGTGCTGTACCTGTGTGCTTTAGCGTAAATTCATTTCAGCATTTAGGATGCTCTTCAAGAGCAGCCACCTTTGAGTTATTTGCCCGAGGGAAGGGGATTGGCAAATAGATGTATAGGAAAATTCACCTGAAGAGCAATAATCGGACAAAGCAAAATGAAATTCAAGTGATTCAAACCATGAGTGGTGACAATTTAAACACATTTACGGCATTAATTGCCCCCAACGACGTGAGAAATTCTCAACCAAATTAGTTGTGGTCTCTGCAGGGCTTATGCGGCAATGCTGGCAAGTACTCTATCAGAAGACAACCAGAGGTAACAGTATCCTTAACGTACAAACGCTAAGTGGTGGCCTGTACCGACAAAGGAACCTCAACACACTTGCCTGCTGCTCAACGAGCCCTGAAATTAATTGAGATTGCTGCCATCATAAACATGCCAAATGAGAAAATTCTAATTAATTCTCCAAGTGTTCGGCAAGAATGCTTCAAACAGTCATATATATTGTGTGATTTGTGACAGTAAGACAGCCAGGGAATGGCCTGCACTACACTTAATCAACGATGAATTAGCAGGCAGGCAGGCAGGCAACCAATGCAATGGGAGATGATCCTGAGAGAATTTGAGGAAATTAGCAAAGAGCAGTAGCAGTAGCTGGAAGCTGGAGATAACCTCGTAAACTAGAATAATTTGTGGTTGACTGTTCGTCCGGATGTGTTTTTGTAATTTTCTTGCGACTAATTGCTTTGAAAGCCACGGATGCCACTTGACACAGTACTTCGCGCTCCAACTCTTCCTGATCCCCATCTGTCCCCTCTGTCCGCCAGCAGTTGCATGCGTCGCTAAATTAAATGGCTGACAAAGTGAGCAGCAGCAGGAGTCTGCAGCCCGCAGCTCAAATCACCCCAGCCCCAGTCCGTCCCGCCCTTCTAGCTGCAACCGAGAGCATGGCAAAAGACACAACGAGTTTTCTTTTATAATTTGTCGCCAATTGCAGCCGCAACAGCATCAGCATCAGTAGCAGTAGCAGTTGCAGTGCCACTGCCAGTAGCAGTGGCAGTTACATTCGCAGTAGTCCCGCCCCTGACAAGGACGCGGAAAGTGCCAACTGGCGCAACTGTGAAAAGTTGGAGAGCACAAGAAGAAAGTTTGCCATAAATCAGAATATTTTAAAAGTGTTTGCTCTGACAGAAAAAAGGGAACAGAGAGAATGAAAGTGAACTGTGGCAGTCATAAGCCAAGATTACGGCCAAGAACTAGCAACCGTGTCGAAGCAGAAAAAACAGGAAAATGGAGTGAAAAAGAACAGCGCTTCTGGCAACGAACTGATTAGACACTCTCAACGAGCAACGATATGCCGGGGAATGGCAAGTAAAATACTTTTGTAAATTTAATCAAGCAACCATTGGGCAATTGTCTGTTCTGACCGCAGGTTCGCGTTCGCTTTCGATTTTTCATTTATATTTAATGGCAAAGATCAAACAGGATGACGGCACGGATGTACCACTCAGTGGAAGTTCTGCGGCGAGCTTCTGGTGTCCTCCGGCTGGGCGGTGCCATCATTATGCTCATCAACGCTGTCGCTTATCCTTCGACTGAGTGCACCTAATGCAAGTATTTTGTGCCATCATCCATGCTGAATGACTCTGCCATCCAATTTAAGTTCCAGTGCAAATTTAACTTCAACTAATCCCCGATCCAGGGAATGACTGTAGACAGGCCTGTGGGAGCCTGTAGCTGGTCATGGATTTGCAATGCGCAGATGATCTGCAGATGAATTGACATTGTTCTATAGTTTTCGATGCCGCAGCAGGCGTCAGCATTGACTTCAACAACAAATAGACAAACAAAGCACACAAACGAGCTACAAAAGTTTGATTGACATTTCAATTAAATTATTGCCAAAGTTGCTGTCGCTGACGCTGACGCTGTCGCTGTCGTTTTTATTGGCGCCTCAGCGGAAGCTCGGAATGTTCCGAGTGCAGAAAACTTTGCTCGCCGAGTACGAGGAGATCTATGAGCCGGTGCTGGTCGAGAATCCATTCACCCTGGTGGACACCCGTGGCATAGGTCTGCGCCAGTATCAAGTGGCCCTCACCGCCAGCCGCATTATATTTGGCTGCGACAACTTCTTCAAGCACGGACAGCCCGGCAGCGTGTCCAGCAGCTATGGGAATAGTCTCGATCCGGAGATCGAGTGCTTCGAGCTGGTTAGCCTCATACCGCTGCAGTTGATCCGCTTCAATTTCTACCGCTATCTCGATCGCTGCCTCATGATGGTAAGTGTTAACCATCAGCTGCAGCTGATACCCCCGCTGTCGCCGGAGAGGCCAATGATCTTGGAGTTCGGGGGACACATCTACAAGACGTACTTCTGGCGCACCTGGCGTGAGCGGGTATCCACCATTCGGCTAATGCAGCCGCTCTACAACCAGATCACTGGCCACTCACCCTTCTCCAGCACGGACGTTATGATGGACGACGAGGAGACGGTTGCGCTGGTTCATAAGGCGCCCAGGACACCGTCAGTCATAAGCAGGTGCCAGGCCGAGTTCTAAGCAAAGTCATAAGAGGCTTTCGCAAAGCTTTCACATCATTCCTTCATTCACTTTGCAGACTTCTTTTTCGTCCCGTTGTCGATTTATTTATTTATTTTAAGTACTAAAAATGTACCCAAACACCTTTTAGTTCCCTGCTGGAATTTTGTAAGCCATTTGTACTACGCTCGGTATCAAATAGTCCAGGACCTTGCGGCCACTGGGCTTTTTTTTCATCTTGTTTCTTTTGGTTAATGCAATCAGGGCCCGGAGCAAGAAATCCCAGCCGCAACTAGCAACCAAAGCTCTGGTTTCGGCGGCTTGTTCTGTTGACTGTTTATTTTGGGAGGCAGTGCGATGGTGGTACAGCGGGGTATGACGTTGGAAAGAATGCTGTATTGATGTGCCCAGGCTTCGGGCCATTTCTTTTTTCCCCCGCTTTTCGTCCAGCCCTATTTTCACAGACAAGTTAACCAACAAAGTTTTCAATTTGCCGACAAACTTAAGCCGCAGCCACAGCACTTGTCGAGTCGAGACGGGTCGGGTCGAGTCCAGGGAGAGCGGAAAGGAGAGGGCAGGACATGCCTGTCTCTGTCTGAGCGTGCAGCTGACACCAAAAATCAATTGCAATGAAATGGTTGGCAAATAAAACCAACAAAACAGAAAATAAAACAATCGTCATTGGCCTTATTTGGTTTGCAGCATTTAATGGTCAAAGTTGTTCAACTTCTCCGTAATTTATTTGATTTGCTTTTTGCGGGGAGGCCGTTTAATAAATTACAATTTATTTAATGAAATGTACAGAGACAGACTGAGAGAGAGAGAGGGGCAGCAAGCATTAATCATACGCCATGTGGTGCGCAATAAACAAAAGCTGAGAAGGCCCTGAGAACCAGACAGCATTTTAAATTTGGCAAAACTTTAGTTGAAGTTTGCCCACAAAAACCGTTTGCCTGGCAACGCCATTGCGAAAAGTTAATTAAAAAGCCATGGGACATGGACAGAAACCAATAAAAAGAATCACACGCCCACAACGCCAGCCACCAACTACCACCAACCACCACCATCAGCGCACACAGCACCGCTGTGCTCTCTAAACATTTTCGGCTTATTTTTTATTAATTTTTAATACACCTGCCTGCGCTGCTTGCCATTAAGTGCGGACCTGTTCAATTTCATTTAATTAGCCATTAAGGCGTTTAAAAAGGGAACTCCCTGACGAAGGGGTTGGCTCCCCCAGGGGTGCAATGAGGCAGGCATTTAAATTTGAAATGGCTCCGACTGGGGCACCATCAAGCATCAGTCAGGAGCGGATCTCCTTAAAGCGTTCGCCGAAATTTCGCGCATTGTTGCTTTGTTATTCATTTATTTGCTCACGGGATGGAGTTCAAAGTGTCTAAGCAGCCACATCAAAGCCTCAGTCTGGTAATTGCTTCTTGGAAAATTTGTATTCGAAATTTCGTTCAGCTTTCAGAGTCGGCAAATGGTCGAGAGAAATTCCATTTAAGGTGCTTACGTTTGAAAATCATTGACAGCCTATGCGGCCACACATTTAGGAATAGGCCTGAGCCATCGGTGCGTATACGTAACATTTGAAGTGGGTGACTGGCACTAGGTGAGGATGTGTGGGCGGTTGTGGGATGGGTGTGTGGGTATGGGAGATATTCCATTAGCACGCAGCTTCGTTTGACATCTTGCCAGGACATTAAGCGTTAAATTTAAAGCGGCGACGCCGGAGGCCAGCCTTAATGCCCACACAAAACACACTCGCATGTGCAGCATAAGCTGACAGTGATGGATGTGTTTCATATTTATTGAATGCCAACGGCTGTCTCTCCCCACTCTGAAACTCTCTGTCTGTGCCCGTGTATCTGCTGGCTGCTGCTCATACTCGTATGCAAATACATATGTAAGAATCCACCATTGCCAGAGGCCTTTTGTATTCTCTGAAATCAATATTTCATTCGCATAGGTCATTGATTTGTGTAAGTTGTAAAAAAATTGAAAACAATTTACCCCTATTTTCACACACACACACACGATCTCTGGGGCTAATTCAATTTGAACTTAAACGGACGCTGAATTTAAGTTTTTAAACTAATTGAAACGTGCCTGGCATGCCGAGAGGCCGCCAAACCCTCTCCCCCAAGCCAGTGGCTAGGCAGTCGGTCAGGATAGCGGAGACTTTGTTTGTTTGTCGCTTCTCTGCTTTCATGTGGTTGCACTCTCTGAATGGGATTAACAAATAGAGACCCGGGCAAAAGTGTTGCAGAATATTATTCAGCAAACAATTTTGTCGCCTTTTATCGCACTGCGGGCAAGAGGCGGTGGCACAAGCCTCAAAAATGCCGCACATGCCGCATGAGAAATCGCTGCAACGATGCTAAAGAGACATGGACGTATTTGCTTTTGTGTGAAGTGCAAAAGAAGCGCCCACGAACTGCAAACGAGAGTAAGTAAAAGCCGTTAATGTTTATGATACTGATGGCAGCCACCACAGTGCCACTCTGCCAGAGACAGGTACACACACACACACACACACACACCACACACACACAGTGAGGCATGAGTCAAATTTATTGCATACTTTGCAGGGCGTGCATTAGAGTGGAGCAACCTCGGTCACGTCACGAATCTCTACCAAAACAAAAACCGAGGGATATATGTACATAGAGTGGGTAAAGCCAAGAAGAGCCAAACGCGAACGTGACTTGACGTTGCTTGCGATTGCTGGCCCCGTGATGAGGGTGCCTCCTGCTGATGGCCACCCCCACATCAAGCCCAAATGGCTGAGTCATTAGAATTTAGCCAAAAGAAAAAAGAGTTTGGCTCTGCTGATTGCATTTCGAATACATAGATCAAGTGAAGTAAATTAATTTTAATTATTCGCAGCTGCGCTCAAGTGTTAATCTCTATGAGATATGCAAGTTTAAATTGGTTTTGCCCATGGGCTTGTCAAAATAGTCTCAGAAAATGCCTGATAGAATACACAATGCCCCAAAGCAGTACTCGTATTAGGAAAGCCAGCAACGCGTGACTCCGGAGGCTCAAGTGAACTTCTGTGCATTAAATAAACATACTCGTTGTTGCTCAAAGGTTATTTCGTCTCTGGGTTGGTTCGTGGGCAAGATTTTCTGCTTCTGATGGATACCTACTGTTTACCCATTCAAATATGCCACTCGGATCATGTGAACGCATTTCAAGTGCCCTGAAACGAAACTGGAAATCAACCAAGTCGAAAATGCAATCGCATGCAAATCTCTCTCTTGAAATTAGAGCAGCACCTGGCTGCCTAAATCCTTAGGGCTCCGTACCCTAAATGCCCCTCCCCTCCTCACGTTCAGGCTATCCGGTAACAAACACACAGTTGAGAGACCATTAAAATGCAAAACTATGCCCTTGTGCAACTGTATGGACATCTATTGGGCACATGCTCCACAAGTCGATTCATTTTGTAGCAAGTCAGTGGGCAGGGGCAGCCACCAACAGGCACTTGGAGATAAACTGCAAGCAAAGGGAGGCAAGGCAAGGCGAGGCAAGGCGAGGCCAGGCCTAATCCTGCTGGCATTTTCGTTTCAGAATGTTGCTGCAGCTCCATCACCGAATGTATTTGCAGTTCATATTGTCCATTAAACGCCTAACATTTGGCAAACCTCAGTTCGAATTTTAGCCTGGAGCAAGCACACGCACCTGCCCGCTTGCCCTGCATTCGAATTTTTTGGATGCCGATGCCAACATCTGCCATGTGCGGATGCCCAGCTACAGCTTGACCTACAGATTGGAAATCGTAAATGTTAATGGGTGCACAGATTTCCTGTGGCTTGGACTTTAGGAAAGGATGCGTTCCGAGTTGTCTCGATTCCTAAATGCCCTAAGCAACCAGCAGTCAATGAAAGGAAAAGGGCAGAGCCCATATGGCCTGGTCTAAGCCTCCCTCGTTGCTTCTAACCAAATCCATTTAAAGCGCTTGGAGTGAATCACAAATCCAGCCGGGCCAACGGAAGAAATACCCAGGGAAATGCTCGTTAATGCTTTGGGTCTGGGTCTGCGTGGGGGTCTGGGTCTCTGCAGGGCATTCGAATGGTGAATGGTAAATGGAGAAATCATTAAGCTTTTGTTTAGCTTTAAGCAGCTGCATTTTCCTTCAGGCCCCCCGAACAGATAATCAAACTTAAATCAGGATTTATTGCCCAATGATTGCAGTTTATTTGTCATTCCTTCTTCCTTCCCAAAACTAAATGGAACATGCTGGGGTGCAGATTTAGTTGAGATTTACAAGCCACACATACATATGTATGTCCATATGTATGTATTCATCATAATTCATGTGAGTCCAACAGCAGCTGACACGATTGTAGCCATCACGTACATCGTGGCTAGATAAATCTTTTGCCCCAGCCAGCCACAACCCCAGCCCTGCTTTGGCAGTACTCAACGCCATTGTCGTCGACAGAGACAGAGTCAGAGTCGCCACCTTTTGTCCACTCTTCAGCGCTCTATCACCCCGTTCGGATCTCGCCTTTCCCCCGTCCCTCTTCCACTTTGGGGCAGCCAGCACGTGCACGCTGTTAACCTCAAAAATGCGCTGCTAAAACATTTTTTAACGCTCGCCAGCTTTCCAACACCTCTCAACCGCTCTGGCCACCCTTGTCTCCTACCGCCTCCATCTCCCTCTGTGTCCCTGTCTGAGTGTGTGAGTCCGAGACCAGACCGGATCGGAGCAGACGGTCGGTCTGGTCTGGCCTGGTCTACTAGGTGGAAGCCACAAAACATGACCGCAAGGGCGGAGCCAGGCCACAACATCTAATCGAGCTGATGGCCAAAGAGCGCCCCATGCTCTGAAGTTGACCAGCGCGTGGACAATCCTTTCTGGGGTGCTGTGCTGGCATACGTGGCCTGTACGTGAGTTGGATGACAAAGTGGTTGGGCGGCATACTCGTACGTACCTACTCGTATGAACATGTCCATCCATCTAAAATACAAAAGCAATACAGGGTGCTTCACCCAGCAGTCGACATTTAACTCTGCCCCAATGAATTGAGTAACCCTGTTGGCCTAAGCATGTCCCTGTGCGTGTGACGTGTGACGAAAGGCGCGCACGCTCGCGCTAGTTAAACCCAAACAGACTTTTCCTTCAAATTAATGACCACCAATGGGAATGGAAATGGGAATGGGAATGGAAATGACCGTGGTAGGATTGCTGGACCGCAGGCCGCACTGAGCCCAGACACCGAATGCGAATCGGACTCCGAGTCTAAATACGACGCGCGCGCGAAGTCACGTACACGGCGAGGGACATTACAGGCCAGGAGGCCGACCATATTGGGCAGCAGTCAGAAAGTATGCGACAAAATTTTAACATCTGCATACAAAATGCAAAAATTCTGCGAGTCTTAAAGAGGCCTGGCCAGGCCGCAGCTTTAAGCGAAAATATCTCCGTGGGGGAATGGGATATGGAAAAGCAACCAAAACGGCACACAAAGCGCCAGTTTATCTCGCAAACATTTATTTACTTTGCCCCAGACCCAAGCCAGGCCCTGTCTGCTCTGTAGGTTAAAATATTTGCGCTGGTTAAGAAAGCAACGCCCGCATGTCCACTTTAGGGGACGCAGCGCAGTGCGGGATGGGAGCAGGTCGGGGGGAAAAGCGAGAGCAACAAAACTATTCTCCACGAGCGGAAAGCGGGCGCAGAGATAAGAGTAAACAGAAAAGAAAAAAAATAATAATAATGCTGATGGCCAGAGTTCCCAAGCTTCAGCAACTCTTGAAAAAATGCTACAAAAAAAAAAAATGAAAATAGCAGAACTTTTGGTAGGGTGGTAGGGGGGATGGGTGTCTTTATGAGTGTGTTTTCTTGTATAAATCTGCCCGACAATTCGAAAATCTGAAAAATTTCCAATTTTACTTATAATTACATTGAATGTCCTTGCAAAAGTTGTAAATGGAATCATATTTCCATTCGCTTACTGCTTTTGTCGCCATCTTTTGCGCTCCCTTTTAGTGGCAAATGCGTTGGCATATTGCCAATTATTTTTTTTTGAATTTTTAAATTTTTATAGCATTTAACTTTGTTAAAATAATTATACATATATCTGAATGCATTCTTCAAATTTACAGAACAATTGTTAGCGGTACAGCAACTTTAAAAATTAAATAGAATGAATATTTAAAGCAGCTGTCGCATTTAAAGTTGTTCTCCGGCAAGGGCATTCAGACTTTAGTCTGCTCTCTCGAATGATTTCCACCATTTTTTTTATGGCGTCTCATTAAAATGCCATCACTTGGATGGCATTGTTCATTGCCTGCGAACAGCAATTGCAACGATTGCCCATGTCCTTGTCCATGTCTGTGTCCGTATCCGTATGGAGACTCTTAATTTATGCATTACTGGGAACCGCAAATTTCACTTAAAGCACTTGTTAAGTGGGCAACAGAATTGTCGATTGAATTGCCATAATGAAATCCTAGCAGGGCAATATTTTATTTATCAATTACAGCCAGATGCATTTCGGTTTGGCCCCCATCAACGACCCAAAGATAAGTTTCACTTCGCTCAGCCAGTGTTTCCATTTCAGCCATCGATTCATCTATAGATTGAGGCGCTGGAGCACCGGAGAGCCATCGCCAGTTATGAGTGGCCATAATGAGATTTGCTGGCTGATACTCGACATTTATTTATGGCCATCGTGGTTTCACTTACTGAACTCGTAGGGAGCTGACCACCGATTGCGTATACCATAAATCTGAAGTGCTACGAGAGCGTGGCGTTGAGAAAACATTCGAGACAAGGGCGTGGCGAAACGAAACTAGCAGAAGTTTTATCAGCAAAAACAAAACAAACAAAAACAACCTTTCGATGTTCAATACTCAAACTCCATGTAGTGGGAGCAAAAACTAAGCATCGGCTCTGCATATGAAAGTTGTAGGCAAGCTATGGTCAAGCGTTTAATTCAGACGGTGTTCTTAAATCACATAGACTCTTTCACTATTCGTTCCACGGCGATGTCTTGCATCCGACCATGACCCACATTTAGTTCAATAAAAAAGTAAAAACCCCGTTCGTCATGCGGAAAGTGCTTGCGTACTGAATGCCTCAATTATATAGTAGTATTCCAAGCGGGCAACTAACTCGATTTACTGCGTAGAGACTTTGGTATGGGGTGGTCGGTGAAAGTTCGCAGAGAGACTGCCTAGCATATTGGGAATGAGAATGGGAATGGGAATAGGAATCAATCGGCTCCAATCGCATTTGTCTCAGAGCTGCAACAGCAGGATGGAGTAGAAGGAACGAACCATCAGCATCAGGCTTCGTTAGTGTAATGAAATTTTCGAACGAATCAAGCCAACAAATTGTTGCAATTCTCATTCAGATTTACTGCTGTTTTAGCAACGACAAATTTGTCCTCAATTGTTTGGCTTTTGGGTTTTTCTAAGAACTGCAAAACCAAACTAAAATGTCCAATTCAGTTACTTGAATTTACAAATAGAAACGATTTGAAGCAAACTATTTGAATTATCTTTATATTATATTCATTGATCCGTAGAACGCTCAGCAAATTTAATACGTAAATTAAATTGGTATAGCTGTCAATTCAAATTTGCGGAAATATGGTTTTAAATCATTAAATAATTACAGGTTATAGCATTGAATTGTGTGTCCCACCAGGATGTGTTTTTGTGCTAATGAGTTTAATTTTTTTAATTCTCACACCTCTACTTTTTTGTATGCCTACATTGCGGGGTATTGTTTTTATCAAATATGGTTTTTAAATTGGATTGCTTATCAGTTTTCAGTTTTTAATTAAATTGATTCGCTTTTTTAATGACAAGCAACTTTTGTCTACTCAAATTAAGAGCAGATGTTAATTTAATTGTAATGTCGTAATGCATGACGAAAAATGATTCTTTGCAAAAATACTTGCATATATGTATAAGTATATATATAATTATAAAACTGTAGGCTTTTCATTCACTAATCCAATCACGCTTCAGACAGCCACTGCGTTAATTAATTATTTCATTTCGGCATGCAGGTTATTTCCTCCTACCATAATGGGGTTTTCCTTTTTTTTATTGTGATTAAATCTACTGCACCCACTAGCAAACCAACAGCGTAATGAATTCAATGACACGTAATGGGAAGGCGAGGAAAGCGACAGCAAAGATTTTGGGCCAACAAAAAAATCAAGCAAAAGTGAAAGTGAAAATTGTTTGCGCACGTAAGTATGCAGCGATTTATTTCGTTCATTTTCGCTTACATGGCAATGGGTGGGGTGGGTGGGGGTGGTGCTGAGTGGCAGGCAGGCAGACAGTCAGGGAGAGTGGCGTGAGGTAGGGGGTAGAGCATGATGGCTGCCAAATAGGCAAACGTTGCCACATCTCTCCATTGACCATGCTGTGGCAGAGTAAAGTGTACTCGTTCACGCATATCCAGCTGACTGGGCAGCAGGTTCGACTGTTTGCATACCGAAAAAAAAAAAAAATATTTATAATATATAGTACATGAGCTACAGTCATCTCTGACTGATGCAGCTGCTTTAAATCTTCCAGCTTGTGCAACGTTTCTGTGTCCAATTATCAGCTGTTCATCGACCAATAAGGTCGATAAAAGCAATTTGTTATCTCATCAATGCACTTGCCCTTGGCCTAAGCTACTTCAAGGATACCCATCCATCCCCTACACGGTTTTAACATTAAGCCAGGCCAACCACAGGACAAGATAGGAAGGAGGCGGCCAATCCTGAGAGTGTCTAGAAAACCAAAACAACTTGTCGGCATCATTCTCTTTGGTCCTGTCAGCATGTCCTGGTGCCCAGCCCATGCCGAGTAATTCATTAACATTTAACTTGATTGACACACGAGTCTGGGGATGGCTATGGCGCTGAAGTACGAGTCCTGAGCTTCCAAGGCGAGGGCTGATGATTTTTCTGTTTGTTTCTGTGGAAAGCACGTAATCCGGGGGCACGGAGATGGCAGCTGTTAGCTGGGAAGCTGGGAGGCACGCATACAATTTGTTTATACAGTTATAATGCATAATGGCATCGGATTTGCTGGCTAAGGATCTCCACGCACCTACACAGAGTGTGTGCGAGTGAGATTGTTACTTTGTTAATTTAATAAGAGGAAAGACGACAACAGGTGCTGCGCCACAGAGCCAGCGCCTCCCTTGTTGTCCAAAATGAAGTCACGTAGCAGGCATAAATCAATTGCTATGAGCAGGCATTTGTGCCGTGCAAATTGCACGACTGCATACGCCCTGTGCCGGGCCATCCTCATACGAGTAGCTTGGCTGACGGTGAGGTAGGATCGCAAGCAAAGGCCTGGACCTGGCTAGCGACAGCTGCCAACTCGTAAATTGAGCACAAGCAATGAAAGTGTAACGAGTCTTAATTTGTTTACCAAGTGCCATGCCACCTGTCCCGTAGTGTATCCACAATATGCCTGAATGATGGCAAATCAAATACCCAAACTGCGACAAACACTTGCCCAGGCAATGTGTTTCAACAATGTTTAAAGAGAGACAAGAAACTTAAGTTAACAAAATTATAGATCGATTTCTTAGTTTGGTATGCCAATGAGATCTGTCTTTTCTTCCTTCCAGTTTAAAGGGAGAACGAACTTATTTATCTGATTTATCTGCTGCTTATTAATCAGCTTTAAAGCATTTCTATAAAGCTATTGATCCGAAAAATTGGAAACGAAAGCAGCTCAAAACGAGCAAAACCTGCCATCCCCGGACAGGAATCCTTCCTTCCTTCCTTCCTTCCTTCCTTTCTGGACATTTCCGCTGCAGTGACAAATCGTACGCAATTTCAATGAAGAAACCCCATAAAAACCGAGAGAGCACAGTGGAACATCGTTATTCCCTACTCCTCATCGACAGATGACAGCATTGAGTAGCCCATCCAACAGAAACGAGAACTTGCAGGGGCAGAATCAGTTTTTTTTCTTTTAACTTGTTGCTGTATTTGGTTTGCATACAATGCCGAGTTGCGCACAATGGTTGTGGCGGTGGCGTGTCCTGTCAGCAGGTCACCAGGAGAGAATGGTTATCAGGGCGCGCAGCAGCTCGGGAATGTCCCATCCGTACCGTCGCAGGGTCTTCAATGGATGGGCCAAATCGCGCTTCTTCTGCAAATTGGAACAGAAAAGGATAAAGCTCGATTATAGGCGGTGGCCGCACATCTCTCACAACTCACAATATTGGCGCGCAGAGTGGCCTGGAAATCGATCGACGTGACCGTGCGGGAAAACAGGGCAAAGTTCGATTGCCTTGACTGGGCATCCACGGAATATTCGTGCACATCGCTCTTGGGCATGAGGACCAGCAGGTCGGCGATGAAGCTGCAACTCTTCTTCTTGATCTTGCTGCAGTCGCAGCTCTTTTCGGATTGGGGAACCGGCAGTGCAATGCACGCAAAAATGTCCAGGATGATCTCAATGTCTGTGGTGTTTACGCCGGCAAACTGGAGCTCTTCCAGCGCCGTCTGATAGGCTTCGCTCGCTTGCAGCTGCAGGGCCACCTCCTCGAATGCGGGGGTGTTGAAGAAGCGAATGGCCTTCCGGAACTTGGCGTCGCACTGAGCGTGCGTCTCGATCAGGGCCTCCAGCGCCTCGAGGTCGATCAGGCCGCGCACCTCCTGGAAGGCAACGCACAAGCCTTCGTCGACGCCACCCTTATCGGTTTCGTTGTTGTCCGGAATTCCATTTTCGGGGGGACAATCTTCGGTGTTATTGCCCGCATTGGATTGTGCAAAGGTGTGGCAAGCAAACACCGCCAGCACCACGCAGAACAAGGACAGCGTCTTCGTATCCATCATCATCATTACCATCTTCTAACTGACAGCGATTCGCGTTGATTGCTACTCTGTACTGCCGCCAGCCACTCGCTTTTATAGCCACCTTTCCAGCCGTAGAAGCTATTACCAGCATTTCCTTTCCAGCCACTTTGCTTATCAGGCAAACCGAAAGACCAATTAGTGTAATTTACCGCCGTGCGAATGTCTCTGGGGACATGTTTTGTCTTATCAAGCAGCGAGATTCTTGGAATGACACATCTCGCCACATGCTGATACCCTTTCCTGGAGCATGTAAAAAGTAGAACTACAAGGAAGTTTACTTGCATACAAAAATCCCGCTCTTAGTGGATGCATTTGTAGTTTTCTTCAATTTATTCCCCCATCAATATGGTTTCAGCTGAACTTTGCGAGAATATACTTGATAGCTAAGAGGCTTCATTAGTCATCCTCTAGCAAGGGGTGTGTTGCCGAGACCAGCATATACCCTTAATTCTGTATGATCCGCTCATTAATGCCACAAAGTCAAGGTACTTATAAATTGTGCACTCGACGTTGCTTGTTGACGCAGCAGCCACTTTGCATGCGATTATGGGGTGATTAAGTAATTTCTAGCTGGCTGGTCGGCAAAGGGAGGGTATCATGGCTGACAGGCAGCGGTACGTGCAACAAGTGGATGAATGCAGGGACAGGGACAATACTGGACAGAGTAACAAACTCTTTGGCCCATCAGATGACAGGGCCAGACAAGCAATGGACAGACAGGACCAAACTGTACTGCATATGTAGCCATTCTCTAGGGGTGTGTAATTGTTAGGGGCATGGAAATGGTTCGATCAATGCTCATTGTTTATCCAGTAGTTGGGTTTCAGAATGGACTCTGTCCCAAATGATAGACAAGAGAATGCAGCAATTGTACAGCGTGCAATGAATCGAATGAATTTTTTAAATTCATTGCCCCAAAACAACGTAAAAATCCTTTGTAATAATATTAATAAGCATACGCACCGTTGCGCCGAATTTCTCTCGGGAAATTGCCATACACGACTCCCCCTCCCTGCCACTTATACTCGTATCTTTCACCATAACAACCAATAGTAGCAAACATTTGCCAACCAATGTAGCGGAAATAGTTGCATTCTTTTTAAGTTTTGTTTCTTGTTTACTACACTTTTTATCTGCCTGTAAAAAATACTAGTATCACTCAATGGCACATGATGATACACGATTGAAACAAAGGGCAGCTTGCAAAATCTAAAAAACACTTTGGAAAACTTTAGTTTTCCGGCTCAGTTGAGAGTGAAGCTGCTCTTCAGTTCAGGTCCCTATCGGTGCCTCCTGCAGCTGAGAACTGAGATTCATTTCTAAGGATTAAATGGTTTAAATAGCAGGTACTACATATAGTACATACAATTTATCCGTTCAGCAAAGCATCAAATGAAGCAGATAAACTGCCAGCAGGATAGCAACTTTCAGCGCACCCAAAGGTTGAGCAGTTTAAAAGTGTCTGAAAAGCGTCTCCAGCAACTTGCTGCCAAGGTTAAGTGCAATGAACATTCATGTGCACAGAGAAAGTTAACTGAAATTGCACTGAAAGTTCGTGCATATATATGTACATACGTATATATACACATGTGGAGATGAAAAGCTTGTCGTTTTTAATTTGCGATCGATTGGCATTAATAAAACGTCATTCCAAAAAGGCAAACCGCAGACAATTGACCCGCTGTCAGTGACATTTCTCTCTCCCACAAATACCCCATGTACTCGTATTGTGTGTATGTATGTAAATACTTGTAATATATGTTTCTATTCGGACTCTGCTGATGGAAGCCCGAAGCTATTTCTGATGTTTCCACATCAACCACAAGGCAAAACCATACACGCTCACCTCCTGCCATATACATACATACATACATACATATATGTACGCATAGGTGCATAGGTGTGTGTGTGTGTGTATGACAATGCCACAGACTTGTTTGCCGCTGCGCGTGCATGGCAAACCATTTTCATTTCCCTGGATCAATTAGAGCCAAACTTGAAGGCTTTGTGGCATTTACGAGAATCGCTTTATTATTGCACTTAAGAGGAGTCCACAGGCAACTGGCGGCAGGGGAACACGACACTGACACACTAAATTTAGTTGGCTGATGAAACTAAAACTGAACTAAGCTGGAGAGGCTGCTAAGAGGAGCTAGAGATAGTGGAGGACAGATAGAGCGACCAGTAGTATGAGAGTGGGGAGGGGGGACACTGAAAGTTGAACAGCTAACTTACTTCGATAAACAGGCTTAATTAGCGACCAAAGCTGAAAGTCAACAGACTGCCAACTGGAGCTGGCACTAGGCGCATTAGAACTAAATCCAGGCACACACACACACACACACACACACATACGCATACCCATAAAGCTAATGCCACTAGTAGCAGCAGGGCCAAAGCACAGGATTACACAGTGGATGTGAGCTAAATTTTCCGACTATAGAAAATCACTTTTTATAGAAATAGAAATTAGAATTATAAAATATTTTTAATCTTTATGTTTTGATGGTTAATATTTCCATTAAATATGTAATAATTGTACCTTTAGTTTTTCATAATAGCTAAGAAAACCGTGGGCCATATTTGCTAAATTTCGCCCCACAGTGCCTGATAGCTGGACAAGAGTTTCCTGAAGAGTTTCGTCGACTGTCAGGCTTAATTATGTGCAAGCAACAATGATATTTGTATTATCAGCCAGTCAATGTCAAACGACAGAGCCACCCACTGACCAGCACCAGATGCCACATCTCAAATCCATACCCCACCCCCCCACAGGACTTAATATAAGTTGGAGAACAAAGGCAGCAGACAAGGTACCGAGTTCAGGCAGCCCAAAAGGGAGAGAGAACGAAGACTTTAATAGGTATGCGCCCACATACACACATACATATTTATGTATATGTACATATACTGATGGAAGGGTGGGCAATAGCACAAAGTAATTATGCACACACACACACTACAGAGTGACCTTCAGAGTCGTGACTATACTCGATTCAGGAGTAGGATTCAGCCAGGACAAACGAGAAGCATTTGAAATGCTGGCTGAAATATGTAATTGCAGATTCATGACTTGCCCAGTCAGCAGACAAATGATGTGCAGTGAAAAATCAGTGAACCCCAAAAATTTCAAGAGGCGGCCTTGGCCCTGACCATTAAAGCGCATGAAACGCGCTGAAGGGACGCGCGGTTGCAGGTCAATCAATTTGTAATATTTTCCACGGCATTTTTTCCTGCCAAACAAAACCTTTGTCGTCTATTGTTGGGCGGCAAACAATTAAAAATGGCAAATGGCAGCATACGGCAGTGTCGGGGGTATCCGGGTAGATGTACTCAGGGCAGCAAAATGGCCGAATAGAAGGTGACAGCCCAAAAACACACACAATGGCAAAGTGTTGTCATCTCGACAACAGGGAAAAAATGGTGCACCCTCATGTGGCAGTCACATCTCTCAATTTTTATGACACCTCTACCTCCAATGGTGTGTGTGTGTGGGTGAGATTAATAGAAACAGACAGAGGAACAAAATGGAAAATAAAGAAATAACATGATATATGTATACCCTATACCCTGCGTCAGACCACATTCAACGAGTTTACTTAAGGATATTGGTTTCCTTTGCCCATACTTTTGCGCTTATCTCAATGTTATTACAAATTGAAGAAACGAAGCATTTTCCCTTTCAATATTTCTGGCAGAACAAAATTCCCCTGAAAATAAATATTTCCCAAATTAAAATGAGAGACAGAAAAACTACATGTAAACTGTAGAGAGAACAAGCACTTTTGTGCTTAATCACAGAAAAAGTTTCTAGGAAAATGGCAAGCAAATCAATAACCAAAAAGAGATAAATTCATACAAAGTCAAGCAAATATTATGCTGGTTTGTTGGTCAGGTCAGGTTAGTGGAATGAAATTTATTATCAGATATTTTTTTAAACTCTTTAAAATTTGTTCTTAGAAATCAGATTCTGTCAGTAAACATCCCGTAATTCCATATGCCCCGCTCTGATGATTGGCTGGTTAGGGTAAAGGTATAAAACGGCAGAATATAGAAAAGACAAAGGCATGCTGGAGTTTGTCTAGACAAATTTTTGTCCTTATGCCACTGCCACACACACGCACCCAAGGACAACACACCGGCATGATGGAGGCTCATTTCTGTCCAGTCCGTCCATTTTCAAACTCTGTGCGTGTATGGGTTGGGGTTTGTGTGTGTACTCGACTCGACTTCGGGGGGTTTATCAGTTTAATGGCTGCCATATTCGTCGAGCTTCCATTCAGGTGAATGACTGTTGGGCCTCGAAATTGGCAAAATGAGTTGGCAGCAACACAGGAACACAAGCAGCAGCCTCATCTGTGCGTGGAAAAGTAATTTGTAAGCAAATTATGATAAATTATACCCGTAGATGAACCCAGCTAAAAGGTAGTTCGGTGTATACCCGTAAACAGGAAAACAACTGCTAGAGACTACCATGATTTGGGGGGTTAGGGGGTTTCTATTCTATTCATTATTTTAGATAAATTATAATGTGGTGCAGCAGCAGCCCCAGCACTCTACTCTGGCTGCAAATTCAATTTGGGTCAATGCGCAATTCCTGACAATTTATGGCCAAACAATTGCATTGGAATTGCCAATTTTGCGGGAATTTATTTAATGAAATGCAAATCAAATAGTGTTTCTCGTATTTGTGTTTGTCCCATAAATAACTGGAGGCGTGGTAGACTCGGGGGGAAAACGAAAACCCTTTTGAGCATGCGGTATATGGGAGTCGCATTTTTTCAGGAAATTCGTCGAGACACTGGGCGACACTCGCCAGGCAGCTCAATTAAAATGACATTAAATTGCATTTGGATTGCGTTTTCCGAGCCAGCCCCTTTGGGGACACTCCCTTTTTCCCGTGTCTGGAATTGCCTTTTTGTGCAGCCAGCATCAGAAGCGGCTGTCTATGCATTTGGGATTTGAGCTTGAGACAGAGACGAGAACGACATTCAAACGACTTGCCCGCAGCGCCTCCATCTTCATCTTCATCCCCAACCTTCATCCTGCCATCTCCTGTCTCTGTCCCTGTCTCCGTCTCCGTCTCTGTCCCTGGCCTGCCTGTGTGTCCATGCATTCTCTGCTGTGGTATTTTCCATGTCGCTGCATTGCTTTCAGCCACCAGCTCTGGCCAGCTTCGACTCAACTCGGCTAACTTGGCATTCAAGCAATTTCCAGCAATAGAATCAGCAACAGCACAAGTATAACAAGGACTAAAGCTGTTGAAATTTTTAAATTTGCACTGTTTGTTGATTTAAACGGGGGCCAGGCCCCCAGTGTGTTTCATTTTTAAATGGTTTTTAATTTGATCAATTGACTAAATGGCCAATCCATTCGTAGCTCCATTATTTGGCCTGGCACCGAAAAGAATTGCAATGAATATTCAATTGAAATTATATACACAAAATAGACAAGTAAATGTACATACATGCATATGTAAAGGTAAAGGTACATATGCGGGACAATTCAATTTTGCTAGAGCAATTCGATTGAGCACAACACTTTGATTTGAGCTGCAGGGTTTGGTTTGGTTTGGATTGGGTTTGGTTTGATTTCGGAGAAGGTAAACTTGTTACAAAATAAATTGCACGAAAAATAAACAGACACGAGTTGAATCGAAATAAACATTATCGGGGGGCGAACTCAATTTGTTAGCCCTTTGTCGATGGATATTGACACGAAAATTACAGCACAGTTGTTGCGGAAATACAAATTGTCTATGCACTTCTATTCATGGCTGCTGAGGTCATTAGAAGTTCCATCAAATTTTGTAATAATGTCAAAAAGTTGACACGACCAAGCCATACATACACACACACACACACATACACTATTTCTGCCACTCCTACACACAGTGAGAGAGAGAGAGAGAGAGAGTGGGGAATGCCCATAAAGTATGAATCGAAAGCGTGAACACGCGCTGAGCTGCTGCAGTACCGAGCATCGTACATAGCCGAAGCGCTTGTTAAATATTCAAAATTATTTGCATGACCGGCTTCGACAGGATTCGATGTCGATGGCAATGGCAATGGCAATGGCGATGGCCACAACGATAGCTGCTGCGATGGCTGCTTCGGGGGATCGGAGCATAAAGGGAATTGTTCATAGGACACAAACACCTCGCACACACACATCGACATTTGTTCGTTTGCATACTTGATTTGTGCATATGTGTGTGCATTTTATGTGGCTCTGGGAACTTTAGCAGATTTGATATTCAAACGCTGGCCAACATACACACACACACAAATATGTTTATAAATACATATGTGGTACGAGTATCTGTGCATACCTATGGATAGGCTCGTAAATATGCCAGAGCGGACATGTAATACAATTTATATGCATGGGTCATACACAAATATTCGAGTGTCCGTGTCCTGCCCTGCCCTGACCTGCCCCCGACTGATGCCAGCAATCAGGAGGTATTAAAAACAATCCCTAAAATATGGAAAATAAATGGGGGCTCATAGTCTGTAGCGCTAGTTAGTCAAGCGGATTAAAAATATAGCCAACGAATCGCGTAAAATCCCAAAATAATAGACTTAAAAAAACAGTTAGCGAAAAATGTCTTTCATGAATATTAAAACTTATGGATGGAACATATGTACATACATGTGTTCATGCTAAAACTGTACGATGCCAATTAAGGATGGGTTAGTTTTTGTAGTACTTGGACATTCCCGACACGACACTACACCAATGGAAGCCCCTGCCAGACACAACGTGTTTACAATGTACATACATTTTGTAATGTCACACAAATTGCTTTAAAATCATAAATTACTGTTAAATCATTGATACAAATATATGTATGTATGAAGTAGCTAACCAACAGTCTTATTTGTGTGCAATCAGAGTGTAATTCCTGGCCAAACTGTCAGAGTGCTAATGGATAATTTGGTAGAGCATGCTGGCCTATTAGTTCAACTGACATGCGAATAAAGTTAGCAATTTGTTAGGATATCCAAAATGCGGTTAACCAGGCTGCAGACAAAACCACAATGGTTTGGTCAAAGGGCCTGCAAACTGTTCGGTTCTAAGCTGCTGCCGCTCCTGCAGATGTTGCCTCACCTTGATTACATTGATGCATTTCTACATCATTAAGCCGTCTAAACACCATTAGGGGACAATTTGTGTGTGTGTGTGTGTGTGTGTGTGTGCACAAGCCAAGATGTTGAGATATCTGGCTTGTTGTAGTGTAGGGAAGGTATAAGTCAAGGATATTCGTATCTGGCAGACATCTACATAAACACACGTGTGCGCGTGTGCTGCCATCACTTCCGGTTGAGTGCTCAAGCCCAGAGACAAACGAACGAGTGGTGTATTGTGGCTCCCGCACTCATTTACTGTCCCCTAATGGCAAATCAATGAGCTGACTGAACCACAATAGATCCCCCCCCCAAGTCCAGCTCCAGTTTCAGGCTTAGCTAGAGCATTCCAGACACCGCAGGGCCCAGGACACAGGAGCCAAAAGCCAGCTGCCTGGTAAATGTGTTGATGACACTTGAATGAGTTTTTGGTCTTTCGTGGATGGTTTTTTGTTGGCGCCTCACGCTAAATTACACATATTATTTATACATAAGGATTCAACTGACCATAAGTTATGTATATTAGCTAATCGTTAAAGTTGCCTTCAGTTCTGGCTTTATGAACTTGCGCCATTCTGCCCATTGTCTCGGTGGTGGTGGTGGTGGTGGTGGTGGTGTGGCCTTTCCGACTTGGGCCCCAACTTGCTTGACTTATGAGTACATTTAACCATTCAATTTAACCTTTCGCTGGGCCTTGGATTCGAATTTAGGTGGGTGGTTTGAGCTGTGTAGGGAAATCGAATTGTAACATTGGTTTGGGCGAATACAAATGGATGGCTCCGATATGCCTAAAGGCATTCATTGATTTTCTATCAATCAATCAGTGTCAGCAGGCAAAAATCAATCTTAAACAACAAATTTTAATAACAAATTGATGATTAAACCTGTCATAATCCATTACAAAAATAGAAACAGTTGTATTTGAAACGAACTTTAAATTATTTGCAAAGAAAGGTAATCAGAAATCGATTTGTGAGAGCACCAAAGTATCTACACAAGAAAGTCTCAAACTCAGTAGTTGTGCCGCACAGGGGTTAATAATAATAGCTGGTCACGCTCCTGGTCGCTCCCCCACAAGGAACTTAATGCTCTGGCACTAGAAGCATGAACCAATACAATTGTAACCCTTGGCTTTATTATGGGAGCATTAAATTCCAATTACACGTTAAGTTGCCGCGTTAATGGCCAAGTTAATGCATTTGCATTGCTCCAACCCCAAGCGACGAACCCCCCAAGCAAAGCGAGGCGGGGCGTGCCCCCGAAAATGACAGAGCACGTTAAATACATTTTCACATCTATATTTATATTGTATACGCATCGGTGTTTAGTATGTTTCTTATTATTCGTTTCTTTTTGTTGTATGCATGCTGTATAAAAATTGCTTTGTACATGAATTAGTTGGTGTGTTTGTGTGGGTGTGTGTATATGTGTGTGTTCCCTTTGTGTTTGCTTGTTGTTGGTGGTTGTATATTTTTGGTTGCAAGGTCAAATGATCTTATTCACTCGTTTAGTTATAAATAATATGCATACGGCGATTGCTGAATACGCTTAGGATCTAGCATTAAGATTAAGATGAAGATGAAGCGGATATTCCAGGCGCCTTGTCAATGGATCAAGCAGCTCCGCTCTCTCTCCCTCTAGCCTAATCAGTGTGTTTAACAGTAGGTATAGCTTCAAGCCATTTTCGGGTATTTCTTTGCTGTTATTGGGATGGGATAGCGATAGCCATTGGTAAACATATTCGAACTAAAGTAATTCGGATTTTGTTAACATCACATTGTTGGTTCTTTGATAACAGTCGCGGGTGCCGCTTAATAGCAGCACCAGCTGGGCCTCTCCACCTCGCCGAGGGCTATGTGCTCGATGCTCCAGGGTGGCGTCTCCAGACGGCCGACTCCATTCGTTTTCACATCCTCGCCCTCGACGGCCACGCCGATGTCCACGTACGGCAGTCGAAAAGCAGCATTGCCCGGACTCCGAGCCAAGGCGGCCACAGTGTGACTAAAGGCAGTGTTGGTGTTGGTGTAGGCCAGTGAATCGGTGGACTCGAATGAGCGCAGCGAATGGCTCTTGCCCTCGTCGGCGAGACGCACCATACCCAAGGCCGTCGAGAGGAAGACCTGCTCCAGGCCCTGATCCGTTTCGGTGGAAGTCTCAAAGTAGGTGGCCCCAATGGAGGTGGCAAACAGGAAGGCCTCGTCGCGGGAGACGGCACGCTGCGCCTGCATGTCCATCTTATTGCCCACCAGCGTCAGTATCATCGGATCCTGGACATTGCGATGCAGCTCCTGTATCCACGACTTGATTTCCGTAAACGTCTTATACTGCGTCAGATCAAAAACCAGAATGGCGGCATTTGCATTCCGATAGTACATGGGTGCCACGGCCCGGTAGCGCTCCTGGCCAGCGGTGTCCCAGATCTGCAAGAGATGGACAAATGGTTGAGTTGTTGAATGATTTGAGTTCGCCCGTGACTTGAACTTTAATTGAGTCATTCAGTCACTCTGCGTTTATTCTGCAATTGTGCTCTTTATGCCCTCGCGCTCCCACAGCAATAACAATCATCTGGAGGATTGTGGAATGTGCACTTCAGTTGTGGGTCCCAGGTCCCGGGTCCCGGTCCTCTTTGTGCCCTCTCGCCCATTCAAATCTTCATAAAAATTTGGGGCAACGACATGTTCATTGTCGAAACTGAATCGAAGCACAGGGGAGCCGCAAAGCGAGACAAAGACCTCCACAAATCCACAAAAAACATACAAGAATACAACACAAAACTATATTCCATTATGTATTCATTCTTATGGTTCTCAGACGGGTATTTCTGCACGGTTGTTGGATTTGACTAGTCCCGCTCTTCAAAATAAAGAAAATGGGGATTTGTTGAAAAAAAGGGACACCTACAAAATGTATTAAAGATGGGAATTGTGGCACCAAAAAGTTTCGCACAACAACTTTCCCAATTAATGATTTACTCTAAGGTCTAGACTATAAAGAGAGGATTTTATCTATCTCACACCGAAAAACACCCACTTAACGGAATTAAATTCCACATTTATCTTTGGGTTAAAATCCTCTCCCCTTTTTAGGGTACAGCCCAGTCGCGAGTGTGCAGGGGAGCTCTCTCTAGTTATTGCAGCTTCCATTGTTATATGGCTGCGTATAAAAACGGAATCACCCGAGAGTAAATATGGCAGAAGAAGGGGTGGCAGCCCTATCACAATGGGGGGAAAACTGCTGTTGCTGCTGACCGCCGATGCTCGCGCTTAGCTTATCAATAAACTATAAAAAAAAGAAAGTGAGCTAAAAAAAACAAATAACAGACAAAGTGCAGTGGACGCAGAAATTGCAAAATAAAAAAAACAAATAAAATGACCGAGCAGGGGTAACAGGGACAGTGCCCAGGGCCAGGGGCAGTGGAAGCATAAGCCCCGATTAGCGTGTGCCCCCAACCGTTCCGGGGATTCAGCAAGCAAATAGGATTAGTGGGCGTAGGGCCGAGGAAAAATTCCTTTGGCTTTCGGCTTTTTTACGGCCACATTCCACCAGTTGTGTGGAGGCCATGAAAGGGATGTGGGGTCGGTGTTAGGTATTCTGTTCGGTGATGGTACGCACTTGCAATTTGATTTTGACCTCGTCCAAGATGATGTTGCACGTGAAGAAGGAGACGGCTATGGTCGGCACCTCGCTCTCGCTGCGGTGCTGTGTGTTCTTGATGTATCGGATGACCAAACGCGTCTTGCCCACGCCTGTAACGACAAACATTTGAAAATTAAGACCTCCATATGATACGAATATAACACCAAAGAGTCTTATCATGGACAATTCGCAGCGCACGCATATATTGTCCGCTGATTCGTCATGGCAGAGTAAACAAAAACATAGAGCGTAGTTATTTTTGAGACGTAGCACCCTCGCAAGGTGGTAAACAATGATAAGGAAACCGCACCAGAGTGCCCCCACCACCCCACAACAACCTTTCTTTGTCCGAAATGCACATGCACTTGCACTTGAGAATCTCCCGCCCTGACTGTACCCCCGCTTTGCATCTGGATGAATATGCAGATGAATCACAACTAGGCTCAGGGAAGAACAGTTGTCACTAGAAAAGAACCCCAGATGAATCAATGACAGCAGTCACAACTGGATAAAGCATACACATCTGTACAGCGTACATACGTATACAAATATACTCATGCACATATGTACATGACTTAGTGAACTTTGCATGGCCTTCAGCAATTTAAATATTAGCATTACAACAGCCGATTAGACGCAGGCGGCCAGTCGAACGAACGAAAAACAGCCAAAGCAAACTGAAAATGTTTGCAAAATCGGCTACAGTAGAGGCTGGCGAATGGGAACCACTTTGCGGATTCGTAGAAATCATGTGTAATAATGGGAAACTACTCTTCAAAACTTTGCGCTGCTATCGTTAGTTGGCATACAAACTTATCATTGGCTCTGTTATCTCTCCCTTTGCGCTAGCTTTTCTGACTGTTCAATTTAGCGTGCATCCACAGCTTCTGCTGCTCAGATAAGAATATTTCCGACCAGACACCCTGACTGACTGCCAGACACGCCTCCTTTTTAGCCCGGACAATGCCTGCAGAGAGACGATCCACCATCCCATGCCCCATTATTAACCCGATTGTGGGAGCAGTTCAAGGCTGACGCTTATCGATTCACCCAGGGTATGCTGGTGCTGCCGCTGCTGCTTATCACCTTACAATTTCTGAAATTACGTGCAATCTACGGATCGTCGGCTAGGCCGCCTTCTTATGAATGAAATTCCAGAGCCATTAAATCGAATTGCAATGCAAATTTGCTCTTACCTCGCGATCCAAGCACCACAACTTTGCCCTCAATTCCGCGCATCTTCGGGGAGAGCAATCAATCGACTCGCATGGCAGAGAGTGAGAGGGTGACGTCTGCCTTGATTTAGTCAAAATTGCTTAGTTGTTATTACTAATCACAACAGGCCACTGGGCGCGTTCTTAAGCCTCCAACAGGTCACAGAATCACTTGATCTACGATGTACTCTATATGAAGGCTTCAAATCACTAAAGTTGTGTAGCTGGCGAGCGAGTACAGTCTGTTGGTGTGGGTTTATCGCACTTGGGGGGGATTTTGGAGTCGAACGCGCTGTACCAGTGCCAAAGATAAAAGTTTAAATAAATTTTAAGGCCTTGTTTGTTGTTATACGCAAATCAGCTGTTTCGCAGGGCTGCAAGCCTCACCGATAGTAATAGCGATATTTTATTCGCAAGGAGGATTTTGCTGCTTGTAGCAGATATGTTGAAATTGAATTAGTTTTTCTTTTTAGTACACTAATTTATGTATATATGCAAGTAAATAAATAAGAATTAGTTTATATATAGTTTTTAACCCGATTTTATAATCATTTCAGCCTCATATCATTCACAATGAACTAAAATGAATGCTCTTGCCCACTTTAAAATATCGCCCATCACTAGTGGCATTTCAGCGACGCGTTAGCACCACCGCCAAAATCTCGCTGCAGAGGCAGATGTTCACGCTACCAACTTTTAAAAACACAATTAAACACATAAACTAACTTGTGAATACTATTATTAAGATGAACTAAGATCAAGAAAAGTCGCACGCACATTTGGATATAGGCAGAAGGTGTGATTGCGTGCGACTCGACCGCACTAAATGCGCGCACAACTTCATCATCTACGCGCGTTTTTTGCTTGGCCAGTTTTAGTGAAGTGCCGAATTTTCCCACACACCTGGGGAAAAAGTGCCACATTTCCAAAAGGTAAATGCACTTTCAGCCTGATTGATGCACCACAGATAACCGACAAATCGAGAGTCAGCGGCTTTTTTGTGTGCTTCTGCTTTCATTTTCGTTCGGATTATGAGCTCCAAAAAGTGGAGCGAGCCTGTACATAATGCCGCGTGCCTCCACAGACAGTACTACAACAATAAAATATATTTTTTCTTATTAAAGAATGGCAGCCAGCAACTCTTTGAGGCACAAAATTAACAATAGTTATGAATCGGAACCGTCTACAGGAAGCGGGGTATGCAAAAAATAGCTTTTCTCTATGAGAATTTTCATTAAATTTCCCGTGTTTTTCCAGTCTTCGCTCAGTGAAAACAATGAGGGACACATATCTGACGAGGAGCATATGAATCTGCCATATCTAATGAAACCAAAACCACTGAGCAATGAGCCCGTCCTGGCTTATCCAACACCAGCAACGGATACGCCGCCAAGCAATAATAAGGGCAGCCAAGAGTCACAATTCCGTGGCTTTGGCGACAGCCCCTACGGCCAGGTTAATAAGCGTTTGTATGGCTCCCAACTGCAGGAGCTAAAACTGCCAGAATTACAGGCCTCATCGGTTCAACGGCCGTCCCCGGGAAGGATTGTCTTTCCCAGATTCTACGACACCCTAATGGAGGATAATAGCTGCAATGCTGTGGACATGGCTGTGTCAGTCACAGCCGAAACAGCAGTCACGACCACAACGACAGACAGCAGCTGCCTAAGCTTCGATGGCAAAATCAAAAGTCTGACTGAGAGACCTGCGGAGGAGGAGGAGCAGCCAGGTCCCTCCACTGCCGATCCACGACTACCCACTGTGCTGGAAACCTCTCTGAATACCTCACAACATAAATACAACAACGAACGCTCGCCAGATCTCTTTGCGGACAGCGACGATGATGCGGAAAACGGTGATCAAGTGCCCTACAAAGCCCAGGCAAGAACTCTCGAGGATCTGCCCGAGGTCCTGGAGGAGTCGCAATGTGTAAGCGATGTTCGTGCCCGCAGATCTCTCACTGCCCCAACAGAGTCGAGTTTTGTGGACGAGCAGACACAGGATGCCTCCACCTCTCAACTCAACGCTAATGACCCGCGCTCTCATTTTCTTGAAAACTGCCGACGCGAGCGGGAACTTTATCGAAGGATACGACGCTGCCTGCAGGGCGTACGGCCGCCACCGACTGTCACCACCCCCGATTTGGATGTGATCACAACGGTGCTGGGCATGAAGGAACAGGTTCTCAACTTTCTCTGTCAAGAGCCCTCCACCTCAGTGGCCAGCATTGCGGAAAGCGACATCAGCAACAGCTCCTCCTTGTTCAAGCCCACGCACAGCCTGTCTGATGCACAGAATATGGGCTGGCGCGAGGTGTTGGGCGTGAGGCAACATGGACTGAGGTGAGTAACCATCAAAGCTCTGAATAATGGAAGAATTTATGTAATTATTTTCTGTTCTCCCTCTGGTTAGTTACAATCTGAACAAGGCTGCCGAACAAAATGAATACCTCAGTATGTCCGTCGTGGATCGCTATGTGGGCGTGGAGACGGCAACGTCGTATGTACGCTCCCCATCGAGCGCCAAGAAGCGTAACATGCGCATGAAGTGAGTTTGAAAATCATAATTGGATTTTGTAAACTTATGTAATTTGTGAAATTCCTCAAACTTTATAGAATGCTCACCCAATCGCCTGGCAATCGTCTCAGTCATCTGGCCAAGCGACGGGCCATTTTTTCATCTGCAAATCTGGCCACGAATTCCCTCAAGTTGAACAGCTCTATAGGACCGCAAATCTTACTGGACACAAAGTGAGTTGCTTGAGTGCCTTATGGCGCCTTGTGGAAGTTCCTTATAAATTTGATTTTGCCTTACAGAAAAGTGCGCAACAAAAGGAAGGCCACACCCAAAAGGAAAACGCCCGGCAGCAAGAAGAAAGGTATGCTTGAAGATAAGATAAGCGAAATGTGAACCAAAATGTATTTCATAATTTTTGTGGTTTAGCACGCAAAACGCCAACTTCGTCGGCGCGCAAACGACTCTGTCGCACCGATCTCATCAAGCCAGGACCCTCGAGGGAAACCTCCAAGCGCGCACTTTTCCAAAGTCCAGCCAAGACGCTCCAGCAACAATTGATGCCGCCCAAGCCAATATTCAAGCCGGAGATCGCCAATCGAGTGGAGAAATCGAAGCGTGCTCTCTTCTCGCCCGACCACCAGGGCAGCAGCAGCAGCAATCACCTGGAGACGCTGCTCAAGCGGAAGCGCAATGCCTGCGACGATGAGGATGCGGAGCTGGCTAGCCAGAGCAGGAAACTGTTCCGTGTTGACAGCAGCGGTGCCAGTGGCCTGACGCCGCGTGCCCTAAAGATCAAGAGTCAGAGCTTTTGTATTGGAGCTGGTTCCTCCACAGCAGCACATCAGCAGAGGGTGCTGCAGTCAACTGTGTCTGCGTCTGGCAGCAATGCCCGCCTCGGTCTAGGACTAAGCGGCAGCAGCAGTAACCTGGCCACCTGTTCGTCCATCGGCACGCCGCTTCTGCACAAACTGCAGCGGGCGCACTCCGAGATGAGTGGCACGCCCAACAGCAGCATGACGGATAACCAGCGCAAGGTGGGACAAATTGAAGGCCGTCTTTGATTCGTATTACTCACATTCGACTCTTTTTTTTGTGCAGAAACTTCTATGGGCCGTGTCGCAAGCTTTGCAGGAGAAGAAGATCACGTCGAAGCACGAGAGTTTCCGCCAGCTTGCTGCGGACCTGACGCGCGTTGTGAAGCGAATCTTCCAGGAGTTCTACTTGGGACAGACGACCAGCAACAGCGAGACACTGCTGCGGTAGGTTCAGGCTAGCCCTCAGTGGTTTTCATGTTTATTGAAAATTTGTTTTCCCTTTCAGATTGGCCAAGAAGTTTGCCTACAGTGTGATAGTAGGAAAGAATTCCGATGACGTTTACATGAACGCCCGGAGTCAGGAGAGCGAGGCCAAGCGACTGTCGAGCACACGACTGTCCGGGTACATTGGACCCGAGGAGTTTGCCCAGCGCAAGCTATTGCTCTCGCAGGCCACCAGCTGCTCCTCGCAGCAGTCGATCTCTCAGCAGACTTCGCACTCCATTCACAACTTGTTTGGCAGCGAGAACTCGATCGACACGTTTGGTATGAGTCAGACCACCGCCTGCACAGACACCCAGTCCAGTCTGATGGATCGCATTTCCGAGGATCTGTTCAGTAAGGAGCAGCAGCAGCCCATCAGACCCAATCCAGCATTGCAAAACAGCTCCTCCAAGAGCAATTTGGGCGGCCTAGCGCTGCGCGAGAACGTGGACGGTGAGCTGCGGCGATCGGCGCAGAAGAATTTCACGGGCAAGGATCAGCGCAACATTAGTCCCTACTACGGAGGCGGCAGCAACGGCTCGGCTCGGAAGTTCCAGGTACCACCCAACAGCAGCCACAGTTCTGGGGTCAAGGCCAAGCGGCAGATTTCCTTTGACAGCTAATGTAACATCAGTAGGAGATATTTGTTGAAAGATAAATGGGGTAATGGAACACCCCGATTTATGGACAATGCAAGCAGAATATTCCCTGGTGAATTGTGCTTGCATTATTATTAACTTTTTTTTGGTTGTTTTAGCTTAATTTATTTAATTGCAAGTGCATCATGAATGGCAGGCAGACAACCCTTTGAATTGATTGTAAAATGTATCCTATATATGCGTCTTTTAGATCGCATCCAGCCCACCACTAGGCTCGCCCGGAACTCGTTTCTTGTTCACAAATTAGTTACAAATTCAACTAAGATTAACGACACAATTATGGGATTTATTTTAGGCGACCCTCGCTCCTCGATCCATGCAATATTTTCCTCCGAAGTTTTAGGCTTAGATACGTACGTAAAGTAAACCCATCAGCAGTTTGTGCTTAAATTATACAAATTTTAACCAGCTCAGCCTCAAAAATGAAGTGCCGAGTCAATGATTGTAAAGATTTAAAATGAAATTGGATAAATAAAAAGTCCCCCACGATCAATCAATCAATAGTAACCACTGCGATGGATGTAGCGCCGCACGAGGCCGAACGAGACGATGTGAAAGACCACGGCCACCAGCAGGAGACTGAAACAGTCCAGCCAGTAGGTGTAGTCGGCGGTGCGATAGGAGGCCTGCTGTAGCACTTCCATTCCGCTCTTTACGCACGGATGATCCTCGTTGACGGGGCAATCTAAAACAAAGAGAATCCTAAAGAAATGTTCTGTGAATGAAATCCAATGGTATGCCCCCTCACCAATGGTGTCAATGTCAATCCAGAACTTGTACATCAGCGCCTCATTGGAGTAGAAGAAGAGCGACAAGTACTTGACCCCCGGCCACGTGTCCACATTCATATAGGTGCCACCGAATAGCAGGAAGATCAAATCGAATGGCGCCGCACACTCCGATGCCATTTTGTCCGACTCAAAGAGGCTGGAGAGGAAGACGCCATAGCCCACGGCGGCCACGGCAGAGAGACTCATCAGAAGACCCATGTACAGGTAGAGCAGAAAGCCACGCGTATAGTAGATGGAGGCATAGATAACCGACAGGAAGACGTAGCCCTTGAAGAATGCCACCGGCACAAAGGACAGCACCAGAGCCACATAGTAGGCGGACAGGCTGTAGGTGCCCTCGCCCACCTCCCGCCGTATGATGGGCAGGGCGGCTGGAAATATGTAGGTGACGCCATAGCTGAACGTGAAGATCATCTCGGTGCTCAGCATGAATATGGAGCCCCCCACATCCTGCACGGTGCGCTGCGTCAAGCCAGCAATGCCGGAGTACATCAGCGAGAGCGTCACGGAGGTGATCTGAAATAATTCCCACACATGCATTACAATTGCTTGCGGGAGGAGGAGGGGAGGATCGACATACGCACCATGAAAAAGCCAAAGCCAATGAGGCCACTTTTGATATTCCGCAGATCTTCGGTCATGAAGCGAACCATCAGCAGATAGACCTGGTATGCCCAACGTATCTTCTTGCTGGAATCGTTGTACAATTAAACCAAACCCTGCCAATATATAGCCCTCTTAGGGTGCCACTCACAAACTCTGCATTTGCTTCAGGTAATCGCCGCTGTAGCTGCGGGCCAGCAGCCAACTGCCGCTGTAGAGTCCATCCGTATCGTGCTCGTACCTAGCTCGCAGTATGGCGCCCGCATTCTTCGCCCCCTCATTGTCCGCCAGCGTCTTAAGATAGAAGTCGGCAGGATTGCAGTTCAGCGGGAGCTCATAGCCCAGACTACAGCAGAGTAAAATCAGGAATCAGGGAAGCTGTGCAAAATGAGCGACGGATGCTCACTCTGTAAAGAACTTGGCTGCCTGTTCGGTTCGGCCCTGGTAGACAATTCGTCCGCCATCCATCAGGATAATGTGGGTGAACAGCTCAAAGATGTCCGACGTGGGCTGGTGGATGGAGCAAATGGCCGCCTTCTTGTGCGTCCCGTTCGGGCTGCTGTTGAGCAGGCTCAGCGTGGGCAGATCCCGCATACCCTTCAGCAGGCTCTCATGCGATTTGGCCACAATCTCCATTTCGATGGAGCTGCAGCCGCTGCTCTCGCCACTGGGCGTTTCGAAGGAGTCCTCGCCGTATACCTGGCTCAGCGAGTGCTTGGTTATGCGCCGCCGGGTGCACAGATGGCGCAGCGTCTTGATCACCGAGTAGGCACTGAAGCTGTCCAGGCCCGTAGTGGGTTCGTCGCAGAACAAAAAGATGGGATCCGTGATAAGCTCCTCGGCCAGGCTGAGGCGCTTCCGCTCCCCCCCGGACAGCTCTTGGATTCGGGTGTGGGCGGAGTCCCTGAGGCCCACAGCCAGCAATAAATCCACCACACGCTGGCGCTTTTCCGCCTTGGTGGTGCGACGATGCATCTTGAAGTGCGACTGATCAAAGATTCAATGAAAGTGAAATTGTCAAGAGGGAAAAGGACCTACCATAAAGTAGAGATGCTCGTAGGCCGTAAAGGTTTTAAGATTGATCTCAAACTGCGGCAGAAAGCTGGAGATACGCGTCATCTGATTCCGCTCCATGGCCATTCCGTTCAAAACCACATCCCCGGTTAGGTTACCCCGCAATCGTTGGGAAATTGCCGCCAGCAATGTGGTTTTTCCAGCCCCCGAACCGCCCAATATGGCGATGAGGTCGCCGGTCTTCATGTGGCCGCTGGCTGCAATGATGACACAACCCCCCACCAGAACACCGCAAATCAGTCCCATTCCCACACTGGCGGAGTAGTGGCCTTACCATCTTGGAGTATCCTCAGCTCGCGCTTCTTGCGGCACTCGTTCCAGAAGCTGTAGTTGCTCTGCTCCTGGGCGGGCACATAGTAGTTGAGATGCTTCCACTCCAGGCACAGGGACGGGCCCTGCGGCTGCTGTGGCTCCGACACGTTCATTCAAACAGCCAGCAGAGTTCAATGGACGGATAAGAATGGGTCTCGTTTCGTTTCGAATTGGGCTCTTTGTATATTTATATTTGACTTGTCTGCTGCATCCAGCATTCACTAATCCCGGCCAGGCTTATCGCTCGCTCGAGGATGGAATGGAATGGCAGCCAGCACTTTATCTTATCTTATGTCAGGAACTGTAGCACACAATGTATTTGCATATCTGTCGGCGGGTACGCGGTCACACCTTCAATCTTTCATTCGCGGGGGAGAAACCTTAAATCTGTCTGTAAATCACGGCACCAAGAGAGAGAGAGTTCCGAGCTGGTACGGATGGAGATCACATACAACTGTTCGCGTCGAAGACTAAGCGGCAACTGGGCAATGTCTATGCCGGCTACAACGTTTTCTACCCCCAGCATATATGGCCCCAAAACCAGTCCAAAACCAAACCGCCCTCATAACGGAACACATGGCGGGTAACATTAAACTTTTGACCGCATTATGATGGCAAGCTAATTGTCGCCTATCAATTCACATAGTCAAACGGCGGCAGTTCCGCGGTGTCGGCCAACGAGAGACGCTGCTCTTTAGACGCCTCCGCTACCGCTCTATGGCTGGCTCTGTGTCGTCTAGCCTGAGCGTAGATCCAGCGGATCAGAATGGAAATATCTAGGATCATGTTGTGGAGCAGCACATGGCCCATCTCCACCAGACCCAGCACACTGACGCCCACGAAGAAGGCCAAGGCGCCGCCAAAGGACACTGCGAATGGAAGGAGAAAAACAATTCGCTCAGAAACATTCGATTCGACTGTGCACTGGCACTGGCACTGGCAATCGGCACCCACCAATGAGATCCTCAAAGCTATAGACAACATCACGACGCAAACGCACCTTGGGCGGAATCAGGTCCCAACGGAAGCTGGAGGTAGCCGTCTCACTGCTGGCCACCTCGTCGTTATTCTTTACGCCCCACGAGCTCTTCTTCACCGTTTGCATGGTGTACTCAATCTCCGTGCACGTCGAGGGACACTTGCAGATGTGCAGGGCCCAGATGGGCCACTTGAAGTCCAGCAGGCACTCGAATCCCGCCGGATTGCAGCCAGGCCCCTCCACAAACTGGTAGAAGAAGGGCACACAATTGCACATCTCCAGTGCCATCACAGCCCGACAGCGAGCCAGGCAAAGAGATTTGCTATAGATCTACAGAAAGATAAGCATATCTATGATAAGAGAAGGCATAAACAAGGCTGCCCGTTATAAGAATAATTCTATAAAAAATAATATTAATAAATATTTCTATGGGAATATTGCACACTTCGTTTCACGCGCATTAATTTGTTTTTGAATTGCGAAAATTGTTTTCTTGCTGAAGCGAAACGATAGGGCAATGATTCTATAGCCCACAGTGGTCAGGGTTACCTCCAGATTGGATGTCTCCTCGTTGTTGAACACGCATTTGCGCTGTGCCACGCTCAGTTGGTGGAGATTTTTCGACGCCCTAGCCGTAAGTTAGCATATAAATCAATCTCTCTATGGTGTCTAGATGTTTGGTCTACTTACACCGTCTCGAGCACCTTGAACGAGGCCGTTATCTCATCGGATTTGTGCAGCGCCACAATGTTCGCCTCTGTTGCGGATACCTCATACGGCGAGTGCACGTCCAGCTGGAAGGTGATAGCCAACGCCAACTTAGATGCAGTCTCAATAGAGTCAGTCATTGTGTGATCTTACCACGCCCGTGCTCTCGTACAGGTCCATTCGAATGTAGCACTGCTGCTTGCCGTACTGACAGGAGAGCGGCTGTTCCATATCCTCATAGACGATGGGTCTGTGAACGGAAATTTAATCCCTTAATATTATCTTTTCTTGTCCCTTACTTACTTTCCGCTGAGCACCGAAGACATGGGCGAGTTGATGGCATAGCAGGAGCCGCGCTCTGTCATCACCATCTGGACATGGACCTTGAAGTTGGCATCGAAGCTGCTGATGACCTGCTCGAAGGGCCGATCCACCTGCTGTATCAGTTCGTACAGATCAATCTGGTCGAAGCGCTCGTCCTCCGCAAACTTGGCCAGCTCCGCGTAGTTGCTGGCCGTGGAATTGACCACCGCATACATAAAGTCCATAAAGTAGAAGTAGTCCTCGTCAATAATGGACACGTTCCACGCATCCTGAATGTACTCGTTCGCCTTGAACGAGTCTATGTGATCGTAGTAGCACAGGGTGACTGCCGGCAACGAGCCATTCCAGCCACGATAGTCTCGGTCCACCGATATGACAGTGGGGGAGTTGAGGTACCGCTCGTACTGCAGGCCGCTGAGCATAATAGCGGCGTAGATACTGCTCAGGACGACCACCAGCCAGAGGGTCCTCTCCAAGGTGTGCAGCTGCCGGTTAACTATTAGACTGATTGCCAACACGCCAGTTTCGGCTCCGGCTATTTCAGCCATCTCTCGTAGTCGGTTGCTGTAGCTCTTAAAGAAGTCTAGGACTGCTGGTAGCCAGGCCAGCAGCCTCTTCCACGTCCGAGCAGAGAACCGCCTTAGCCAGGCCCACAACTGTCGGCTGTCCATGCTGACCAAATAATATTGCAAGCTAATGCGCGAGGGCTTTTATTCAAATGTGAATCCAGCTGGACTTCCATTAGCGATTTATGACAATGGCCATCAGCCCTCCGATAAAACTTTCAACGAACAAAGCAATGCATTAATTGGTTCAACAAAAGGGTTCGATTTCTTATCGCCAGCAATAATTCCGCAGGCGAGCAGGGGTCGTCCGTGTTGCTACGCCAGGAAACGATTAAAGGTGCGCACCAGCACCTAGAGCTTATAGCCCAACATCTACTAGCAACACCTCATAGCGTGCATGCAGGTTTGCAATACCTTGTGATGTGTTGTTTGGCGCAAAATATACTCCTCCAACTGGTGGCAAAGATTTGCGTGCAACAGCTAGAGAAAGTGCACTGCGGAGGCATATTGCTGTACACCAAGGCTGATTATAGCTATTGCTGCGGAAAAAGACTCCGTGTTCAAATGTTTTGGTATTTGCAATGTTAGAGACGAAATCAAATTAAATGAAAAAACGGTTTGTGTAATTCTTTTATGTTCTTTTTACCGGGCTGCAGCGCACAGTTCAGAGTCAGGGGGGTCAAACTGAGATGGCATCGCATTCCAACTATCGATCATCATCATTCCAACTATCGTACTTCGTGACTTGCCGGCACGGCCCCCACGTTACGCTAGGGGGCCGATTCTAGTTTTGCGTCGTGCTCAGGTAGGGGGAGGTGCAAAATATCGCCAGTGTTTACGGGAATATTTAATCAAATTAGTTTTGTTCAATTTGCCTGGGGTATTTAATATCATGTTTGTTTGGGGGGGTGTCGGACTTTGGTCTTTTTATCTTTGTGTTTAACCACTAGCCCCCAAATAGAGCCCAGAGTGGGGAACGATTTGTTCTGTTCCAATAAGGGACAAACTAATAATAACCGGCCTCTTCCACACCCATTTCGTGTGGTGGTTTGGACCCCGCGGTCATGGGGAGTCTCATTATGTTACAAGGTCGTGCAGGGAAGGGTCCGTAATTTTCGAGGGGGGGCAGCGTCCGTTTGGTGCGGATAATATGTGTTTGGCGGTATGGAGCGGGGGGCGGGGATACCGGCATCAAACGTTGAAGAGGGGGGGCACAGGGGGGCCGGGGCCCCCCGGGGGGGGGGGGGGGCGGGGGGAAAAATGAAAAAAAACCAAAAAAAAACCCTTAAATGTTGGGGGGGGGGGGGGGGGGGGGGGGGATACTGTTATTACCTCTGGTTACCAACAAAGTTGTTATTAGTTCACTACATCATCGCTTGGATCCTGCAGAAGTTTGATGTCATTCTGCAGCTCCTTGAGCTCCCGCAGCATGCTGCGCGACATTTGTCCCTCTGGAGTGGCCACGGGCTCGAACAGAAGCATACGTAGGGCTTCTCGCATCATAATCTCAGTCTGCTTCAGTTCCGCCTACAAAAAAAGAAGCATATTTGTTGGCTATACTCTACAAAATTTTGATTTGACCTACCAGTAGCTGCCTAGAGCTGTGCTCCTGCTCACTGTAGAGCTTTCTGGCCAGTTCCGCCTGCGTGTTGGCCAATTCGTAGAGAGCAATGGCCTTTAGCCGAGAGATGCCCGGAGCCACAACCTTCAGCACCAGCAAAAGCTCTTGGCACACACGAATTTTACGCTCGTAAACCTTCCTGCTGGGACAGTGGGCCATATTCTGAAGAATCTGACGGAGCACCGAGGCAATGTTCTGCTTCAGATCCAGCATCAGGTAATGGTTGCCATGGAGAAGCCGGCTCATCTTGACCAGCAGCAATTCCAGCCGATAGATGTCCCCACGGGCATGGAAGATCTCCTCCTTGGCTCTCTCCAACATGTTGGACACAAACTCCGACTTCAGTGTGTGCTCCGCATTGAGGAGACACTGCCAGGTGCCCGTTTCAGGCTGACGCACTATGTAGCCACCGGAGCAGGCACAGCTATTGCAGATGAAGCTGCTCATGTGAGTGCCCAGCTCGGTGGGATCCTGGCAGCGTGCACAGCGGCAGTCGAAGCACTTTCCCGTCTTAAGAATATGGCGCCGCTCCTCGTTGCCCAGCAGCACACTGGTGTAGCAGATGTAGAGGGTTTCTCCGGCTGCTATTTGGCGATTCGCAAAGACCTTGATGCGCCTCTCATCATCGATGGCCGTCTCCAGGTTGGGCATGCAACTGTGCGCGAAGAGAGCCGCTCTTCGGTACAGTCCCCGCATGGCGCCGCCCTGCTCCGGGGCGCGTATCTCGTACACATTGACATCCAGTATCCCCAAGAGCCTCTGCACCAGGATCTCATCCACTGCATTGCCTGAGCCGCTGTGAAGCTGCCTCAGCACACCAGTCGCCTCCAGCGGTGCGTAGGCATGCGCCTGGTGGCTTTTCCATATGGCTGTGCCTCGCCTGGCCTCCAAATGGTTCTCCATCTGGGACATTTCTTCGTACAGGGGCTTGCTGTGCTGGTGTTCACCCAGCAGCAGACACGCAAGTGCCGGCTGCACCTCTGTGTTGACCTTCTGCTGCAACAGCTGCACTTGCTCATCCGACAGCTGCAGCTCCTTCAGACGCTGGCAGTCGCGCTCATCGTGGCCAGCGCAGTCCTCGCACAAGACCAGGAGTCGGCACTGACTAAACAAAACTTACATAAGCCATGCTGCTGCAGAATCGGTGGAGTAATCGGGAATCGGGTAACTCGACCTACCTGCAGAAGCTGTCGGTCAGCTTGAAGCACTTGGAACAGCGTCTGTCGCCAATGTGGGGCAGGACCACAACGGGCTGCTCCAGGAGTACAGTTTCTCCAGCGCTGAGACTAGATCGGGCGACCACAAACCTAAAAGGATCGGCGTGAGTATTGGGAATGGATTAGCGGACCAATTTGTGCCCCACCTGCCCAGCGTCTCGTTGTGCTTCAGTTCGCATTTCTTGGCAAAATCGTCGGAGACTGCAGCCATTGTCTATCCCTTCCGTTCCCTTTGGCTAACTTTGGCATACTGGCAGTGCTCGAGTGGCTGTGCTGTCGCGAGTTATTTTTAATTAAAAGGCGTTTCGATTCTTTATTTATTTCTTGGTCAATGATTCCCCCAAACCCACCAAACGTTGAACCGTATCGGTCCGTAAGTGCACTGGCAGTGCACACTGCCACGAGAAAAACATTCTTTCCACTTAAATTTGGTCTAATCTAATTTATTTTATTTTAAATTTACATGCAGTTCGTCGCTGATGCTAACTACCGGCCGCCATACTTCATTAAATCAGAATCGATTCGCTCTAGTTCCATGGAGATCCGATCGGTGAGATATCCCTCGGCTGAGTTCTCCGGCTCAAAGCGTAGCATATCGAGCGCCTCCTTGGCCGCCTGACTGCCAATCCTCAGTTGAGCCTGAAACGAAATTAAATGCTGGATGGAGGAGGTGACGCACACAAGAGGAGAACTACCAACCGCATATTCCTTCTTGGTCAGATCGCTCTCGGCAAACTGCAGTTCTATGAGCTCCACAAGCGACAGCAAATACTCGAAGAGTGCAATGGCGTAGAGCTTAGAGAGGCCGGGAACAACTGCGCGACAGACCGGCAGGAGATCGGAGCACAGCTCGACGCGGCGGGCGAGGAGTTTCTTGCAGGGCTGCTCCATGGAGTTCATCAGCGCTGCTGCTCTCAGAATGCTGGCAATATTCTGTTTGATGTCCAGCAGCAGAAAGTGATTGGGATGGAGGAGCTGCTTGTAGCGCACCAGCAGAGATTCGTAGACTTGAAGGTCACCCTTGGCCTCCACCAGGGCGCCGCCCGCCTCGGCCAGCAGCTCATGGACATCGGCAGCTGGCAGAAGAGCATTGCAGTCCAAGCAACGCCAATCCCCACTACCATCTGGACCAATCTCGCAGATGGCGAAGCCTGCGGAGCATTCTCGGCACTTCATGCTGCTCATGTGGGTGCCCATTTCTGTGGCATCCTGGCAGCGAGAGCAGGTGCAGTCCAGGTGGCGGCTGAGGCGCAGCTGATGCTGTCGCTGGCTGGTGCCCATCAGTGGATTCGTGTAGGAGTTGTAGATTACATCGCCGTCATTCAGGGGCACGGCTGCGTACAGCTTCATGTTGAACTGCTCGTCGAGGGCCACAACCGTGTTGGGCACACAGTGATGGGGCAGGCCAGCGCCGCACACGTAGACGCCCTTCAAGGTCTCGCCATCGCGGCCAGTCACTTCGAAGGCGTTGCAATCAATGCGTATGCAGTGGGCATGCAGCACGTCCGCTGTCAACTGCTGCGTGGGCATGGCCTCAGCCAGTCCACTGGCCAGCAGCGGGCGCACCACTTGCTCCTCGTGCTCCTGCCACATGCCCTCGCCATCGCGATAGTCCTCCAGCTGCACGGTCCGCTCGACGAGCGTCTGGCAGTCGGCCCGTGTGGCTGGATCCTCGAGCAGCAGCAGCAGCTTCAGCAACCCACATATTCCATAGTTCTTCACCAGCAGATCCTTGCAAATTCTGCTTCCCGCGCCACTGGCAAAGAACTCGCACTCGAAGTCACTGTGCTGGCTGCAGTCCATACAGAGGGGAAACACCTGGCAACGGCGGCACATCACATACGACTCCTGCATGCACTGGGCGCATTTCATCTGGCCGCACTCCCAGTGTGGGGCGACCAGCAGCGGCCGCTCCTCCAGCAACGTTTCGCCAGCATCGATGTTCATGTTGGCCACCAGATGCCTGAATGGAATGCAAATTAAATCTGTTTTATATATGTATGTACCGACTGGGTATGGGTATGGGGTATTGTTTGGTATGCACCTGCCCAGCTTCTCATTGTGCGCCTGCTGAATCTTTTCGCTGAAGTCTTGCATCGATTACGTGTTGTCTGCGGAGCAAGAAAAACTATTCAATTCAGTGCCCAGCGGACGCAGTACGTGGCAAGGTACTCACCCAAAGCTGATGCCGCCACTGACCGACTGAGCGCCGCCATAAAATGGAGGAGCGGCAATTATAAATATACATCGATGAGATGCTCGCGAGG